GTCTCCTACAGATCTCTGAGATGTTCCTGTCATGGAGGCATACCTGGGTGACCACGCGGGATAGATGGAACAAGAACGCGTTCGGTTACCTGAAAGCACTATCACTAGGTGATTTCTACGGTTTATGATGGTTTATGCTCTTAATAGGTGATTTCAATGGTACATGCCGTACATGCCAAGTGATTTCGTCACGGTATAGGTGTATATGTGATTTCTATGGATTATATATATATTGATTATATGGCAGGTTTGTGTGCTGAAAATAAACCAAACAATTCATATGGTTGGTCCATGGGTATCCAAATGTTGACAAATTGCGTCGTGGAGATAAGTGACACTGTCAAAGTCTTCGGTCTTCGGTCTGTGGTTGGTTGGCAACAAAGACAAGACCGGCAGATCATATAAATTATCATGTATTCATTTGAATGAAGCAATTGGTGATACATGTGAAACATCCAAAATCATCTGGAACCAAACCAATTGGATCATACGTTTCAACACCAAATCTCTGAACTTCACTGGCTGTGGATGTCCAGTTCCATGCACCAGTCCCATCAAAATACTGCTTCGTTACTATAGGTCTTCCTGAAAAGATGGTTTTATTCACAATCCCGGAGCCAGGTGGGATTCAACCCACATTTCATAACCAACCAGTTGATAGCTGCTCGTCCTTGATCTTGAACCCAATCGCTATATAAGGGCGAGCAGCAATAATCTCAAGCGCACCTGCGATTGGCAGCACAAAGTCATGTGGTAAAACCAATGACATAAATCTCCAATTGGGAATGGTTTGGACGTTTTTTTTAACCGTTTACCAACCATTTCTGGTAAAAAAAATGTGGGGAGTCTAACATTTCATCATCAGTATTCAGAATTGTTGGATTAAATTTAAATTTCACGTACTGGTAGGCTGGATGACCTATCTTTTGTCACGGCTTTGAATCTATCATGGTGAGATTGAACCATTGATATCCCCAACTTGTTGGTATTTTAACCTCTCCGCGCCCCATCAAATCCTCAATGTTTTTGCTGATTCCTGGTTTTAACTCATCCCAAAAATTGTTGTATTGTCATCTTAAATATAGTTAAACCTAAACTAAATTTCTGCCTGAATAACATGTAATATGCAACAACAAACAGAAGAATCAACCATCCTGAAATATATCACAATCTTGCAATAGTCACCCGTTCTAACCATCATGTCTAGTGATATTTGTAGGTCGGTCATCCAAAGCTATCCTCGCTGTTCAGACAAAAAAATCATGTGAAATCCCTACAAGGTGAAGATGGGTGAAGCCCCTAACGCCAAGTTGGCCAAGTTGACTTAGTTCACCCTTGGTTAACCGGGGCTTAACGAGGGTTGATAGGGGGATACAACATGATACAACTATAGATAGCTGTAGTATTCACCCGGGTTTATAAACCATGTTTCAAAGATTACACCCTACCTGGTTTCTTATAATGATTTCACAGGGGCAACTGGCATCTGGGATCCCTGACCACTACATTGATGAAGTGCTTTGTTGTGCTTCTGACGGATCTTCATGTGGGGATGGGTCAAAACCCTGGCACCTAGTGAACCCCAAAATAGCTGGTAAATGGATGTTCATGCCACTAAAAATGGTATCTATAGGTCTATAGGTATTGACCCATACCCAAATGTGTATCAAATGTGTTCACATTTCACTGGGGTGCTGAAAACCGGAGTAGCCCTCTGGTAATTTGTAACATAACTATGGAAAATCACCATAGAAATAGTGGAATTTCCCATAGCTATGTAACAAATTACCAGAGGGTAAGCATCCAAAAGCCACACAGAAACCCATCAAACTCAACAGCACCTTCCGGGACCCTGGAACCGACCGCTTCCGAAAACGCCGCAGAAGGGCCCAAGTGGCCACACCTCGGGAGAACGCCACGCTGGTGCCGTGAAAAACAGCATTGGTTAAGTTGGGTTATAGCTAAAACATGCTAAAACTATACAAAACTATAGGGTTGATGGTGTGTATCTATATACTATATATATAATATGTAGACATAAATGGGGTGAAAACCAACCAAATCATAACCAGTCGGCACCACATTGTACCATTTTACTGGCTGATAAATAAGTACATATATATATATATATATATTATATATATTCCTTGTGTAGGTCATAGTACTAGTCCCCAATCGGCTAATATCACCCCTTTCATTGACTAGTCAACGGGTAAGTAGAATCAGCTGCATTAATGTAGCACCTAAAAAGTAAAATAAAACACCCTGGTCCTGGCTCCATTTGTATATCATCATCAATTGAAATCCATTTTGGTCAAAATCCAAAGCCTAATATATAATCATTGCCATTAAAGTTGAAGCATCAGATTGAACCGTCCAAGCGTTTTGGCTTATTGATAAATTGATCCAATTTTTGTCGGCTCGAACTTTTGACCCACACCCACGGAGTCCAAGCAAACCACCCAGGTGAAACGCGTCTCCCCACAGAGCTCCCACAGAGCGGCGAGTCGATTCGATCTCGCCGTGGAAAAAGCTGAGACCCGCTGCGGCGAACGTGTTTTTTGGTTCTGAGTGTAGAGTTGGACAATTCGAAAAAAAAACACATCCATTTCGGGCATACGATATAGCCGATGATCAAGTTAACCATCATCAGTTCGATGATTCTCTAAATCCAACTCTCACATTACATTCATTACATCCACATGTCACACAGTGTCCTAGCAACTCCTGTGCTTCTCTGTGCCAAAGTGAGACTTCAAACTTGAATCTCCAAAGATTCCGAATCCTCAACTTCTGTGAAGTGGTAGTGTGCCACCTTTCTAGCATCGTACAAGGGCACGAAGATATCGGCCAAACCGTCTGCGTCCACGTCAGCGATGGAGGGCCGCCCCACGTCCCCCCCAAGATCCGCCACTTTGGAAGTCACATAGTGCCAGTCATCCGCAGATTCCGAGCTGGGCTGCAAGAGGAAGATGCCTGGCATGTGGGATATGGCAGGATATGACATGCAAACAGGGTGAAAAACGACTCATAGTGTAGCTGGTTTCATGCAGTCATTTTGTGACTCGTAAATTATAGTGTTGGTATGTGTTGGTTATATCTATATCCCATGTCAACAGTCCTGGGAACACATCCCATTTTATATGTGCGTCAAGAGAAACATGTGACTATTTCCATGAGATATCCCCACAATAATTCCATGGAAAGTCATACCCTCTGGTAATTTAACATAGCATAACATAGCTATTGAACAATCACCATTAATGTTAATAGGTACTAGATCATCTATAAATGGGCCATGTTCATCCATTTTCCATGGCTATCTTGAATAGCCAGATGATATTTCCACTATATATATATAGCAAATTATGTCCCATCAAAATCCATTCAATCACCATTCTTCATGATTGAACCATATTAAACCATGGTTTAAAAAAAACGTTAAATCAACATGTTCCCATCATTTCCGCCAGCTCGCTGTTGGAGTTGTCCCCAGAGACAAAGATCCATGGCTTCGATGTCGTCTCAGCGACCCTGGGGCGGAAGGCCACAGCATCACCTAGCAGCCGTTGATCCACGGGGATTACGAGGAATTTCGATCTGATTGGTGGGTTCAACAAATCTATGTCTATGATATATATATATAATTATATACAATATATTAGTGTATATATATACCCTGAGGATCCATGTCGTTAAATACACCAAAAATAGAAATGTAGTCAAAATACAGCTACGTCTCCGTTAACACTTGATTTTGGTTACATTTGCCGGAACCTGTCGGAAATCCATCGGATTTTGTCGGAAATCGAGAAAAACCGCGGGCATCCTCTATTTGTAAGATGCGCATGCGAGTTGATCATGGTCATATGCAGTTCAAAATCGTGACAAATCGTGATGAATGATCTTTTTTGCTACTTAAAATTATGACATTTGTCGGAAACACCGTGACAAAACGTGATAAACCGTGATCTGTTCAGGATTGACCGCTCATCTTCTAAGGGTAGCTGCCACTTTTCGCTTGTGCTCACAGCATTTTACGGTAAAATTATGGTTACCGCAAATGTTGCCAAATTTTGGCTACGGATGTCAAATAATGCCTACGGACGTCAAAAAACAAGGTTTACCGCAAATGTCAGCAAATAGACCCAACATTGGATCCACAGGGATATATATATATATATATGCGTGTATATATAGTATAATCCCCGTTCAGATTGGGCCCGAGGGGTTGGGAGCCCCATTTTGTAGCTACAGAACGGCGTCCCCAAGGTGCCCTTCTTACAAGTTGGCAGAACCCAACGTTCACCGAGGAAGGTTTTTGTTACAAAATGGCAGTCCAAGCTGACCCCTAGTTACAAAATGAGTCACCGATTTTGCTCGACTCGCATCCGCTCGCATCCGTTGGCTCGATTTGCCCTTTACAGAATGGTGGGGACTGGGGGTGGCTATACTCGCACTATCCTAGGATCCCTGGGAAGTAACCTGCAACAGCCCGGCCAACCCGAGTCGCGGTTCATTTTTTCCGTTCTTTTGCGTTCATCCGTCTGTTTTGGCGTGACGCTGTCTGAGTGGCCAAGCTAAACATTAAATACAACGTTGGATGTCATAATCAAAAAATATAAATATCGATATATATATATATATTATCTGACCCCTAGTTTCAAAATGAGTCACCGATTTTGCTCGACTCGCATCCGCTCGCATCCGTTGGCTCGATTTGCCCTTTACAGAATGGTGGGGACTGGGGGTGGCTATACTCGCACTATCCTAGGATCCCTGGGAAGTAACCTGGAACAGCCCGGCCAACCCGAGTCGCGACTGATGTTAAATTTGTTCACGTTGGCATCAATAAAGTGCACTTATCAGACTGCATTGGAACTTGATGCATTCAATATACACTCTTATTTGAGATCTCCTAGGCTATGAAAATTATTCTGTGATTTTTTGATTCCATCCAGTTTGTAGGGGCTATAGTTGAGTATTATCCATTTACGCTTTGAATCCATCCAATTTGTAGTGGTTATTGATTAGCCCTCCAGACTCCGACAGAATGGTCGGGACTGGAGGGTAACAAACTCGCACTTCCAATGCAAAATTCCGGTACCAGGGGGTCCACTTACAAGATGGCAGAACCCAGGGTCAAAATTTTGCACAAAATGGTAGCCAAAAACCATTCTGTAACGGCCCTGAGGCCTCAGATTTAGTAACAAAAATTTCAACGGGTATATAGTATATAATATGCGATATTATTGGGATATGTAATATGCGTGTTTCAATATGTCATTAAGGAGAACCCTCTCAAATAATATACGAATCAAACCAAGAGTAAGACATGTTTGAAACTACCAACCAAAGATTGATGTGTCTCAATCATGCGATGTAGGGATATACACAGTATATAGATCATAAAACAGGGGTCTTAACGGTCTTAACAGAATGAATTGAAATAGGGGTATAGAGGGATGATATTGTAGGTTTACTGAGCATGGTGCAGGCAATTGTCTATTCAATGTATTTGTTCCATTTTGGGCAAAGCCGCGAAGCATGTAACAATGGGAACTGAAACAGCATGAAACAACAACAACAACAAAAGGGGTGGGGCGGGCCAATAACGTCAAGTGCCGGTTGCAAACAAACGACGGCACAGGGGTGGGGTGGGTTTTGCAGATTTCAGTTCAACCCTTTCTAGCACAAAACTGAACTAAACTACTTCAGTAATTTGCTGCTCTGCGGCTTCAGTCCTCTTTAATAACAATATAATCCAATCATGTTGAATAATCGTCCCAAATCATACAGTTGATTAACAATTTAGTATTAAACACAACACTTGACTCATCATCCCAAATATGGTCAACAAATCAAATCAAATCAAATCAAACTTCTAGAACTTAAGTCAGTCACCATTGTTTTTACCAAAGCTTCATTTGTCATCCCCAGTTCGCATCAGTTCGCGCCTGGTAAGGCACTTCCCTGCTTCACTTTCACAGGTTGGAATCCCGAGGCTAGTGTGTGCCGGGTCAACGTGGCGCTTTCTATCTCCTCCTGGGCGGCGTTCAGATCATGGAAGCTGGGATTTTTTGGACATGGGAAATGGGGATCTCATGAAGTTTATGTGGTTCATCCATAGTTATCCATGTTTTTTTGGTCATTTGCAGAATTTCAACTCATCAAGGGGTTTCCGTTGGAATATGAGCACGACTGGGGATGCTAACCAACGATGAGTGCTTAGCGGTTGAGCCCAGCGTCGCTGCTGAAGGTGTAGGCAAAGACTGAGCCGTTTCTCATGGCGTGGTTGGTGACCAGCAGATCAATCTGTCCATCCTGATGAACTGCTGCGTCAAATGCTGGATACGTCCCTTAACTGGCCATTTTCATAGGGTGATGGACTATCAAATTTGAGGATATCCCATTTTGAGCAAAGCCTATCAGACAAAGCCTTTCAAGAAAGTTGGAGCATCTGGATCCCAGAAGAACTGTGCCATGCTGTGACTATGACTTGGGATATTTCTTCTGCTCCCATTTGGTCTTCAGCCAGCATTAACCAAGGAAAAAAGACCATATATCAACAGGAGAAGATTGTGGTCATTTTTGTCACACTACCTAGCTACTTAGCCATCACAAGCAATGATATCATGGCAAATAGTGGGTATTCTTCAAACAGATTGATATGATATTCACGGGATATGTGTTTTTTGTTTCAATATAGTAGTTGTTCGAATAGACGATGATCTCCTCCTTTCGTTTGGTGCCATCCCTATTTCCTGGATACACGGTGTTGCCCCACCTGTTATAAGCTGGCTAATAAATCCCATCTACTACCTTCGCCTTTACAGCTATCATTTGAAATCGCCATAAACTCAAGAATGACGCCAGTTATAACAGCACCAACTTAGCTATCAGAAATCACTGGGGTATCACCAGTCGCACAACCAGCCGCTTTCTTTTCCCACCAGTGTGTTCTCAAGCTGCGCTGCCAAGGGGCATTGTTCAGGTCTTCCCAGGAACAAGAGAAGCCAGGGCCAATGCTGTGATCCAGAATCCTGGTGGCCATCTGGCCATCCTTCCTGTACCAGTAGACCACCTGGTGAAGTGTTGATGTGAAAAAAAACGACCACCAAGTCCACCAAGTGAACAGTAGAATAGCTCGTAAGTAACCGTAAGTAGATGTAAATGGCAATGGGGCAATGGGGGTTCATACCAAACCATTCAGAGATCTTGCATAGTCGTAACCATTTTGATATGGAGCCCCAAAAAGCAGCTACGTTTAATAACCAAAGTAATTGCCAAGAGCCCACCATCCTTATCCTGGGTCAGATTGATGTGACCGCGAGCCGTATAGAGACTGAAACTGGCAAATTACCCTCTGCCAAACAAACGCGGCTGGCTTGAACATCATCTATACATGGACGTTTATAGCTGTTAAAGTAAACTATCAATGATGGATCTTCAATTGCCATGGTAAATCGCAAAGGTGAAGTGACATGTTCACATCTTGTTTTGGTTTTTGAGCCGCTGAACAATAGCAGTTCAGTGGGATCTTTTTTTCGGATTTCGAGGTACCGATCCACAGAAGGTACGGTACCATATAAAGCCATATTGTGGAGATATATCCCCTGAAATTTAGCCCTGCAATTTAGACCTTATATATTCTATGGTGGGTACCTCCAATTTAGGTTTCTGAAATGGCCAGTGAACAAATGATAAAACGTGCATATCCAAAAGTAATTGCATAAAATCAACCAAGTTCAACCAACAAATCACACACTTTTTTGGATCTCCCAGAACTCCATGAACTCAAATACACCGCCAAATGATGCCAAATCCCCTGCAAAATCCATCAGGACTCGGAACCTTCCCAGTGATGTATTCCGGTGCCACCAATGCGAAGTTCTTCCCAGGTTTCATGCAGAACAGGAAGTCAGGTCCGAAGCCCAAGGACTCTTCCGCCCAGGGTGCTGAGAAAACATCCTGGCGGCGCCATTCTTTTGTTGGTCAGTTGGTTGTCATCAAGGTGGCCCAACAAAAGTATATAGCTCAGTTGGTGGAAATACAGCTATAATATGCTTATTCATGAACTATGATAACTATGATAACTATGCTTACTATGGTTTATGGCATGATTTGTGGTTGATCCATAGATTCTTTCAACTTCGAAAGCTGAAAGCAACATGTATCACTGGGCAACTCCTTGTGGGAGAACGCGGAGAACTCGCAGAACTGGAGTTCCATGTGTTACAACAGGAGAGACCTTCATGGATAGGTATCCAAAGGGAAATGAGTTGTTTCTTGCTTTGGGTTGATGGGTTGTTATTGCCTGGTGAATGTGAAAATCAGAACTGTCCGAAATACATCATATACTGTATATCAGTAGCTACACAATCATAGCAACAAACATTGCCCATCCATCATATTCGTTCTGCGAGTTTTGTGGCGCTTGCAAGATGTGGGTTCAAAACAGCTATAAACAAACAAGATCAAACAAGCAACTCAATGGCTGATAAGAAATGGGACGGGAGGAACTATTTTTTGCAGCTGGGAACTTGCGGTAAAACTATAATTATTGTACCATCATGTACCATCCAACCCATGATGATGCCTCAATCTACTCCTGACTTCCATCAGTCGAAAGAATCTAAACAATTTTCCACCTTACCCTTGATTGGAAATCCACAATTTATAGGTAGTTTTCCTCCCTATAAATCTCCATTTACAACCGGGATTCTCCGGGGATTTTCCAGCCAGCCACCCCCGTTGCATCGTCCTTCGCTGGATGTTTCAGCCAAACGAGCTCACCTTGCTTCTTCGCCCACGGAAAGACGGAAAACCTCAGGCCGTGACTCCAACGTCAATGTGTCTACGGTAGCAATAAAGGTAGCAAAAAGGGATGATGGTTCTGTCAAAATATGACAACAGTTGCATAATTAATTTAACATAATGAAACCGTATGGTACATCTATATACATCTATATCATGTTTATACACCAGAATAATCCATAATATATGCGAGATTTAATGTGTGATATACCAAGAGTCGATAGGGAAACTGGTTGGTGGTTGAGCCACCCAAACAAAATCTAGTATGCTTGCCTTTTGGGATCGTCATCCCAGTCATTGGGTTGAACTAGGAAACCACTGGGTAAAAGATCTTCAACTTTTCATACTTTTTAGAGCCAAGACCTAAACATCCTAGTGTTTCTCCAGTCCCCCACGTAGAGCGTGTCAGCATTTGGAGCATGAATTAGATGGTCCAAAGATGTGCAAAGTGCAATGGGTTCATTGGGCTATGGTTAACAAATGCTAACAACAACATGGCTCGACATAGCTGCTAGTATAATTCAGCCAGATGTAGTTCTGTCAAATCAACTTTCATATCCACACATGTTGTTGCTAACATCACCCAGTCCAATCACCTTAAATGTACATGTTTCGCACAACACCACTGCTCCAGTCACTGACATCTCGCTGTCACGATGTCTTCCAGTCCATCGCCATCCACATCCAGAAATTCTGCCTGTTGGAGCTGTCCGTAGCATTCCCCCAGAGGTCGATGCCAAAAACCCAACTGGGAAAAATCATCATCCTGTCAGTACCTCGACATACCTCGACTATTGGTGGATATTCCAGCCATGAATTATTCAGAAAAGTATGGGATCCAGAGATTCAAATTGTTGACCCCTCCTGCAGATCTGAACAAAAATAAACTCTTCGGCCTAAAGGTTCCCCCAGATGATGAGCAAATGTAAAGAGATAAGATATGTTTAAGTGTGATTTTTTTCATCTTGGAGTTTCCAGATGTTTCCAGTGTGTTTTCTTTGTTTTCAAGTGGACTAATTATGCATCAACATGCAGACAAAACATACCGATCATTCACTATGTGATAGTTCCGCTATCTAACCTGGTTTAATATGTGTTGACCTCACCTTGGAATGCACCCTACTCATCTGCAGACATGCCGTTCAAACTACGGCTAATCTTAGTACATGCCTATGTCCATTCATGGCAAACAAATAAGTTGTATTCAATCCAGTTGGTTTCGAAGCATCATGCATCTCGGCCTGATGGTAGAACCATCCTTTCTTGTCCTGGGTGAGCTTTGCCTCAGGAATGATGCTGGGGCTTCCAGGGGAAAAAAACAGAGAAGAACCAGGGTATATAAATACAGAGAAAAACATCATTTCTGTTGAACTCGTGAAACTGTTTTGGGGGAAGTTGAACTTCTAATATTGGCAGAAACATTATGAACATCCCGAAACTCATCGTCAGAATATAGAGTCAACATTGGCTATCTTACAATGTAACGTATATATTGTACTGTACTGTACTGATACAATGCATGTCATAAATCCACAGTAATTATATCTTTGCATATGTTGTAGGGTTTGCCATTAAATGCCACATGGGATGCAGGTTTGGTAAAACTTCCATGGCTGGCTTCGTGTTTTCTTTTTTTTTCCGCAACAAACTCTTGACTTGGGGAAATAAATGTGTGCAAGGGGATCATGTCACAGCATCATATACCCACATCCGCAAACAACATACCTTTATATAAATGATTTAATTTAAATGCTGTTGATGCTTGGCAGTCAACGCCACATGCTGGTTGAATCTCAGCAATGTTCAAGTCTCAAATCACTGTCGTCACATCTGTGTGTCTCTCTTCCTCAAAAATAGTAAATCGTGGCACAGCGGAATCTCATGGTTGATCATCATTTCCCCTTTTTAAATATTGTATATATGTATGATGATGTTCCCATTCACCTCTATTTATAGTGATTTATAGTGGATTTCCCACATATGTTCTTATGTTTTTTTCAATTTGTTGGGTATATCCCGTACTTACACCCTTGCCCCTTAGCCCCTGGCTGGCTGTTTCAACGTCTGTGGCTCAAGTGAAGCCTTCGCAGCGATTGGAGTTATTTGAACTCTGAACACTTTACTCAATGGATTGGTTTTACGGGAACATCCAAACCGGAAACCATGGATTTTTCCCATGACATTTTTGGGGCTTTCAGGTTTCAATCGTCTACAGTTATGGCCCTTTACCAGCTATAAGTACTTTATAACCCATTAATAGAATATATAATCCCATTTATAACCAGTTATAACTGATAAATGGCCATAACTGTAACCAATCCATACTCCAAATCTCAAACCGACTCTGCGACTCCGCCGGCAGTTCCGGGCAGGTCCCCCATGAACTGAAGCCATTGGGTATTGGGAAAGCCATGGGTATTTACAGTGAAAAGAAAGGGTGTACCATGTTCGAAACAGCTGAAAAAAAATTAAAGTACTTGGGGGTGCATCTCACTTAGATCCACTTAGTATAGAGCAGAAACAATTTTGTTCAACCACTTATCGAACATACCCAGCTAGATTCATGACCTGCAGGAACGAATAGGTTCTCAATCATAAAACGATCCCTGTTATTCTCCGGTATCATCCATCGTGGCTTGCTGGACCCCATTCCGTTCGATGATTTTCCAAGCTATAAACCTTTAGTTCGGGGATTGTCCTAAGTTTTCCTATGATTTTCCTATTTTCCCATCCAGAACCTCCATTGATAGTGAATTTCCCCATGATTTTCCCACGTTTTTCTCCATGTTTTACGACACCGTGCCCTTATAGGTCTCGCCTCCATGACGTAGATGCCCCCCGTGGTATGGCTCGGTACCAGGAAGCCATCGCCCAAGGCGATGGCCGTGAAGCCGAAGACCGAACGGTTCGCCACCGTCAAACCTGGGAACTTTTCAGGGCTAAACCATGTGGTAAACGTACCAAAAACGATGGAAAACCCAACATGTTCAATGGGTAAATCCACTAGTTCTATGGCCATTTTCTATAGCTATGTTAGTTTACCAGAGGGTATCTGGTTGGTGGTTTCTGGTTGGTGGTTTTAACCATCTTGAAAAATATAAAAGTCAATGGGAAGGATTATCCCATATATGATGGAACATAAAAAATGTTCCAAACAAACAACCAGCATGAGAATATGTATGGACAAAAAAACATATGTAGATGATGAACAGTTCTGGCCATTTATTCTTCATAACTGGGTATTTCAATGGGGTGAAAGGTAGTGGGATTATATAAATAAACTTATTGGTTTATAAATGGGATTCTAACTGGTTATTTCAATGGGATTATACATAGACCATAAATGGAGTGACTTAGTACTTGTAACTGGTATTTCGGGCCATAACTGTGGGATTTTTTAGGGCCCCCATGTGGGGCTGGAAGATTTCCCATGGGAATGTGAGGAAACATCAAAATGGAACATTAGTTTGATGCGAATATACTGATTTATGGAAATATGAATGGGATAATGGGAATCAACATCATGGGATATGATGGGAATATAATGGAATGGATAAGCAATCATATATGCCAAGCCATGGCAATTTTCACAGGAATAATTATGATTAAACAGTTGAGTAGGGTACTTCTTTTTAACAAACCCATTTTTACACCCCAAAATCATCAACTTATGTAAATCTGGGTTGTGTGAATCTCATTCTCTGTTTATATCGGACACCCCCGATATAGAAGCCAAACAATGAATAGAGCCCTTACTCAGCCAGGGGTTTTATGGGGTTATTTCAGATCAGGGGAAGGGATTAGGAGGCGAACCTGAAAATATACCGCAAAACACAAAAATATCCCGGCAAAAGACCCCAAACAGTTGGGGAGTAGGAGGATAATGTATTGTAATGTGGTTGATGATGTTGATGATGTTGATGATGTTGATGATGTTGATGATGTTGATGATGATGATGATGATATGCAAATAGCTCCTTCCTGTCCTACCTCAACAAAAACATTCCCGTCAAAGGAGCAAAATGGAGCAAATGGCTACATCCCAAGAGTCGTCCAGAACTATTGTTGTCCTAATGGCAAATCGTATACCGTCAAAACTTTGGAAAACAATTAAAACAATTGACCTTTTCCAGGTGGACCAGGTATGTACTATTGTACATGATACATATACAAATAATGTATCATTCTATATCCATTCCACATGCTTTCCATGTTTTTCATATATGAGTCTTGAGCATTACCCAAGGGAAGACAGCATGACACCTCTTACCACTCCGCAAGATTGGTCCCAAAAAGATCCGCCACCAAGCATCTGTTGGGCCAATTCAACACATTCGTGCCCGGAAGCTCCTGCAACAACTTGGCAGCAAAAATGAGGATTTCAGGAACCGGGGATGGTTGAGATCTTCGAAGCAATGCAAAGGATCTGCAGGCATAAGCAACGAACAAGCAATGAGGATATCGACAGTCAGAAGGAGAGCACACTAAAAGCAATAAACGAGACAGTTTGCAAAGTTTGCATAGCAATAAATAGGGGAGTATGACCAACACCAACTGTCCAAGGGCTCCAACGTTCAAGGTATTCGGTACTGCCAATCTCAAGACATCTACTGAATCCACATAGTATGTCTATGCGACACCCAATGCACAGCCGTTATAACCTGCATTGCTGAGGTAATTTCAAGAACCGCGATACAGTCCTCCACTAAAATGCAGGTGTCACTGAATGAGCTTTGATGCATATCATGCTCTTCCGCCAAAGAAATCAATGGTTGGTGGTCTCAATCCACACTGATTCCCAAGTGACAGCTCAGTCGGGGCACCACCTTGTAGGTATGACATGCATGTAACACGTCTGGCCGAGGATGTTTTGGCTCCTGGGCAGGCCCCGATGTCTTTCCAACATCTGCCATGAAGACACCTCAGGTGTCTTCGCGCATCAAGCATGAACTTGGCAGGATTAGATCGAATTCCAATTATTTCATTCCTGATGTCCAATAGACATCTGACTCATTTGTTGATGAGGCAACCCACACCTTAAGCCGTTTCCAAATTAACTGCAAAAGGGTTCCTGAGCTACGTATATTGTAGCTATTGTTTCGAGCGTTCACGAAACCAATGTTTTGAAGATGCTGATATTCAAATTATGCAAGGGGATACCCATGAAGGTGGCCATTATCTGGCTGAAAAATGATGATAAACCATTTTTTAATCGGTTTAGCGTAGCCTATTTTCATCGTCAGACACACCTATCAGATTCCTCAGGATGGTTGTGAAACAGACCTCGACACCGAAACCCAAGGGCAGCCATGGAACCATTTTTGCCGATGAAGGGCGTCGCTTCGAAACTGCTCACCTCGGCGACCAGCCATGGATGCAAAATAGATCAACTTTTGGGATGAGAAAATATTTTTTCTACTCCAAATCACCCATGTTGCTGGAATATGAACCCCAACATTTGCCCAACATAAATCACCCAGTTATGTAAATATACCATACATGGAGCATATGATAGTAAATTCGTGGTTGGCCTTAAACTGTTATGTCCTGCTCCCGCGTAACTTGCTTCAGTGCCTCAGGTCTTTTTTGGTGGGTCACCCTTCGACAAAAAAGAGGCCCTGAGCCCTGCACGACCAGTTTGCCAGGTAGATGCGGAGACAACACCTCGGGTGATGAAACACCGGTTTCGATGTGAACGGACGTTGACCTCGAAATCTTTGAAACATTTAAGTGATCATAGGATTTGGCTTTATACACGACATATGACCTGATATGACCTGTGACATGTCGTAAATAGATGGCAAAGGAACTTGCTTTCAAACCGGAGATCCAGTGAAGAGTACGCAAGATACTATCCTATGAAATCCTATTTCTTCTGAATCTAAACCAGCAATACTTGTAGGGTCAGAAGATTTCCATGTGACTGATACCTGGAAGCCTGGAAACCTGGAAATCAGTCAGCTTAGATACCACAAGGTGATGCCGCCCTGGCACAGGAGCTACATTTGTTGAAATCAAGGTTGACCGTGGATTCTGGTGTATATATATATATAACTAGTTGGGAACGGCGCTGATAGACGCCTGGTGGTTTTGAGGGCGTGTGCGTGAATTTCCCATTGGAATTGCCTATGCAGTGTTGCACGCCTGTTTTTGGACGTCCTGAAAACTACTTCAACCATTGAGCAAATTGCTCATGGCTGCAAGTTTCTCTGAATTATTGCCGCGCAGTTCGGTTCTGCGCGACATCTATTGCCAGACCCTGCTCCAATTTTGAGGAGTGGGTCAACAAGTCACCAGTGCCTCTTTTTTTGGAAGCTTCCTTGTGAAGCCAGCACTTCAACGATTTCCAATCTGAATCAATGGTCTGTGCTCCACTGATCAACGTCACTTGAACGTTAACATCACACCCAACCCCACCCCATGATCAACATAACACCGCGAGCGTCACATGAACGTCAACATCCCACTCCACCCCACCTATGATCAACATAACATCGTGAGCGTCACATGAACGTTAACATCCCACCCCACCCCACCCCATGATCAACGTAACATCGTGAGCGTCACATGAACGTTAACATCCCACCCCACCCCACCCCATGATCAACGTAACATCGTGAAACGTCACATGAACGTTAATATCCCACCCATGATCAACGTAACATGAGCGTCACATGAACGTTAACATCCCACCCCCCCACCCACCCCATGATCAACGTAACATCATGAGCGTGAGTGATCACGTTGACGAACGTTAACATCCCACCCCACCCCACCCCATGATCAACGTAACATCGTGAGCGTCACATGAACGTTAGCATCCCACCCCCCCCACCCCACCCCAACCCACGCCATCATCAACAAAAATAACCAAGAAACCAAAGCAACACCAACAAAAACAACAAAACAAGCAGGCGCCCTGCAGCGCCCATGGCAACTAGTTAATGGGGTTAGAAACAAACATAACTGGTGGTCACTACCAAACTATTGGAACATGTTCCTCCATTGATGTTTCCGCACGCAGCCCTCGTACCACAAACCAATGAAACGTGACTCATACATATGTTGAAGCTATTGTTGATCAGACCCCGCATGATTGATCATTGCAACCATTGTGGATAACTTTTAAGAATACAGTAATAGTGATGTTCAGATGCCATGCATTCTTGACTAGATCCCCATGATTGAAAATGTCAATGGTTAACCCCCTATATCCAATGAAACACAGAGTATCAATGGACCCATGGAATTGTTTGTGTTTAATATTAAGCTAGACCATCCAAGTCTCTCATGTTTTTTTTGGGGTGGTTAAAATGTACAGACCGTTATGTGGAGTATCTTCAAATCCACGGATTTATCATACTGTTCCATATAAAGAAAAACCTTTGGGGGGTACACCCCATGTTCAAACACACCCACATATCTAATGAAGCCTGTCCTGCATATGCACATATATAATATATATATATATGTATATATATATATACTGTGGGTATGTATATATATATATATACATACATACATACATGCATACATACATATCCCACGACATATTCCTATGGGGACATTTTATATTTATATACGTCTATTATTATATGTGTTTTCTTTTAATTCATATATCAAGTAATGGTGGTAAACCAAATAATAAGCCACCCCCAAGTCATTACCATGTTTTTGGGTGGGATTCCAGCCTTCCCCAGTCATGATAGGTTTCAGGCATCGGGTTTCCCACAGTAATCCTATTAGACATCCAATATTAACCATAGATTGATCATATTTTACAATCATGTTCCCAGCTTATTAATTCCCCACTTAGATCACAAACATTAGTTGGCTTATAATCTATTAGCTATTACAAAGCCACTATTGATCCAATATTAACCATCATTAACATATCATCAACATATATGAACCCTTAATATTACCCATTCAATCCCCTTGTCTAAAACATCTCCCACCGGTGACCACTGGTGACCAGCCAAGCCAAAGCGGCTGTGTATCCCGGGGGAAGCGGAATGGAGATGTTCTCCTCACCACCACAGATTTGTTCAGAGTCACACGCCCCACGGGGAAAAAACATGGGGTATATATGGGGTATATCTAAGATATAATATGGGCTGTGTATAGTTGGGAATGCTTGGGATATATGAAATATATGGGATGTGTGGTGTATAATGGTGTATATAGCTGCGGATATCTGGGGTAAATTGTATTCAGTCTGAAACTTGCGGCTATTTGGGGATAACTACCCCTACTACTCATCATTCCAGTAACGACGTGAGGTATAATGTACCCACATAAATGTATGTATATATATATATATATTTGAGATATATACAGGAAATACCAAAAAGAACACCAAGCAAATACCAAAACATATCCTGTTTAGACATGCTGACTTCTCAGCCGGTCAAAGTTGATTCTTGGGCCATAAATGGTCATGAACCTCGGCTATAGACCACGGCAATCCCGACATTGAGCAGACCTTGATCTGCAACTTGTAGCTGGCCGCGCTGCTCGCGCTTGCTGCGGCCAGCACCACAAACAGCAAGCTCCTGCGTGAAGCTTTGGATGTGCCCTTGATTCACGATGCATTCGGTGCCATGGTGTAGGAAAAAGTGCTTATTTTTGTGTTCAGTTACCTTTATATATATATACAGATTACAACTTGATTACAATCACAATTTGGATTTCAGAAAAGTGGATAAAACAAAAAAAACATAATCCTTCAATGGGGAAACAATCTACTATATATATATATACAACTATATGCATATATTATGTATATGATAATATTGTAGAATTATGTATTATTATGTGTATGTATATATATATTATATCTATCTATCTATCGGCATACCACTGATCGAGTGCCTTGGACCCATGCCTGGTGCTGGATACTAGACTGTAGTTCTTGACCACCTACTGGCATCCAATGATCCAAATACGACCATACTCAGGATTACTGCAAGATTTAAGTTTCTCTGAAAATATGGTGTACATACCACCAATCTATAGTAATCTATGGCCATGTCAATGAAAAAGTGCTGCTTAAGCATTGATTTGGCCAAACAAACCCATACAATGCTGGACTGGGACTGCGACCTGGTAACCTGGTAGCAAAAACCACAGTCGGGTCAGTTTGGTTGTGCGAAAATCATGTCCCTGCCCCTGCTGTCATCAATCTATCTTTGGGATTATGTCTCTTAGCTTCATCTCTGTCATATTTCTTTACCCAAACAATGTGATTTTAAGAGTCGTGGCATCGTCATCGCATTCGTATGGATGTAACTCTTGAAACGAGTGGCCAACAAATTGTGGGTGTCTCCCAAATTCCACCCCTTCACAGCTAGGGAATACAACAAATGAGTTGGATTCCAAACCCCAATATAGTGCTTCAAGACCCACACTTGAACAGACGACGCAAGCAGGCTTTTGGTTCATCTGCATCACATGTTTGTTCTACACTCCAGTTGCAGACTGCGAACAATTGTAGCTGTGGTCATTAGCTTGACCCATATGCTGTGTTCAAACCATGGATGATGTCAGCTACCAGGACGCTCTGGAAAACAAATGACCCAGAACTGGGTCCTCCCAGCCATAGTGCCCCCATAGGCAATCTGGTTTTAGCTACATCAAGTGACTCAAGACACTTCTGGAGCCCAAAAGCAGAAGCCACTGAAAGACTTGACAATGTTTCATGTTCTTGAAAATGGTATATGTATATGTAAATAATTATAGTATAAATAAGAATCTATCTATATATACATACATACATGACTCACACACACACTATATATATACATATATATATATATAGCTAGACCCTCCAATGTTCCACCATATTTTTGAGTAGTTACTATACACATTTTTGCCGGGTACTTGGAGGGTCCATATGAAACAAATTCAATCGCCTCCTCATCCTCCTCAAGTCCCGAAAATTTGCCGGTGGTACTCGCGGTGGTGCCCTCCATATTTGTTGCTTAATCCTATCAACTTCGAGATATCCATCACCGTACTTCACCTAGTAAACCAACTTACCGGGACAGCAAATTGTAGGTCTGGTTGGTGGTATACCTACCCCTCTGAAACATATGAAAGTCAGTTGGGATGATGATTCCCAATATATGGAAAAATAAAAGCCATGTTCCAAACCACCAACCAGAGATGATTCACCTTTGATTTGCATGTGGCGAAACATGGCTTCGATATGCTTCGATATCCTGAGCACCGGCTGGGCTCGACACCTACGGCAGTTGCCACACCCAGTGCCACGCCAGTTGCCACTGGCCTCGTTGGGAAGATGCGGTGCAATCTGCGAAGGCTCCGGGGTAGGTCACCCTTGGGTGCGGTAAACACCCATTCTTGGGCTGTTATTCAGGGTCTGCGGTCTAGGTATGAACATGCATGTCCAATAGACTTGAGATAATAAGCAATAAAATGGCGATGTGACCAAACACAATCAAAAAACACATCTTGAGGACACGACACATTTGCATTCGAATAAAACACATTTTCGAAAAGAAACAATAATGATCTACATCATTTACTCGGGTGACTTTCCTTGAAATCGTGTACACGGAACCAATCTGGACGTGTTCACTGGCTGTCTCGATCTGCGAAGGATGGGGTGCCACAAATGCGCTCCCAACTTTGTCCTCATCCATCGTCATACTCACAATGCAATCAACAACGTGATCTACCCTCGAACTGGTGGTTATCGCCCTGGGTATGCAAGGTAGTTCCCATGGCGGCTGTTTGATGGGTCCAAGTGGAAAATCCTCCATTTACAAATGAGTCAACAACCCACAAACAGAAAGGTGAGTCAGAAGTCATATCCTACTGAAGAATGACTTGACCCAGGCTGATTATAAGTCATTTAAACCCTAAAAACACATTTCAAATCTATGAGTTTCAAGTGATAAGTTACAAGTCAGAAAGAAACCTAGGTAAGGTTATGATATTGTTATGAATTACAACATAGCACACCAAAATCTACGATGTCTGTGTCCCAAATTTATGATTTTACCCACCCATTTTGCTAAGCCCGTGGCGTTGACGTCTTGGACGCCATTGGGCCAAGCTGGGCCTTGGCCATAGGCTCTTGGAGCGATGAGAACTAGTTTATCGCTGGAAAATGTTTGGTATCCGGTTAAGTGGGTCAGTTCTTAATCCCTGGGTCAATCACCAGTTGTCAACAATGGAACTATGTCATGATTTATCAGTGGGTTGTTGATTAATCATAGACCCAATTCGAGCCCAGGCAAAACAAGCCCTGTGTTCCAGACACCTTCTCACATATGTCAGAAATATCGAAATGTCCTTATTTTTCACATCAAGAAACTGGTTGGATCAACCCCCAACCATGATCCTTGATGAATCGCGTCATCTACATCAACTCCTGGCCGTCAGTGGTGACTAATCTCACACGATAAAGGCCTGGGTATTACACAGCCATATGCAGAAGATATTATATACATACAATGATTCACATAAATACCCAAGGCCCAACGATTATATATTTATGTATGTGTCTCTAATATATATATATAGTCAACATTATAATTAGTTAATATATACATACATGTATAAACAATTATATATATAAGTAACTATATAATGAAACATAATCATAATTATATAGTGATATATATATATGTATGATTAGATAAAATTGGATATAATAACTATACATATAATTACATGTGCAAAAAGCAAGGACCACCAAATTGGTGGGTAATTTGGGCACACGCCCAAATAAGTTCATATTGGATCAAAAGCCGATCAGTACCCTGGTATTCACAGCGAACTGGCTGGTACATTGATGGCAGCATAGGTTTTGGCCTTTCGAACCACAATTTTGTGCGTTGTCATTCCAAAATACTGCCGAGCCACTATTGTGACTGGCAGCTATTCTTTCATCAGCTCGGTCACGGTCATTCAACTCTACACCCAAGCTCTGGACTGGCAATCTGCAAGCAGTCGAAGCGGCAGTTGACGTTCCAGGATGGTGTGTGGCAGAGTTTAATCATACATCTGGGTAGTTTAGAATAATTCCCAAACTATATATATATAATGTAAGGCCATGTTGGGATGTTACTCCTTACTAAGCATCAGCATTGGTGAGGATACATAATGATACATAGCATGATTCTGTCACATGATTCACCTCTGATCTGCTGTCTGTTGCTGATTGCTGTTTGCCACCTGCCAAACGCGTTGGCCATTGTCTCGAAATCAAGGATTCCGGACCAATCATTCAATACAACTGATTTCTTTGGAATTCTTCCTACCAACATATTGACACTTCGCTGCTTGCTGACCTGTGCGAACACTACTGGGGAGCTCTTCCATTTCTACAGCCCCTGAAGCCTTCGACGGTGGCAGTTATCATGGGAGTTCTGGTCCAGGATATTTTTCCAACAAAAAGTGGTGGTTGGACTTATACAAGGTGTAGCTCCCAAACGATGGCGAATTTGCAACTAGAGTCTATGGTAGATATATCTACAGTTATATAATGGTTTTATAAACAGACACACATATCTGGTCCTACCTCTTGCCCAGGAAATGGAAACACCGACCTCAAAGACATAGCTGGGCACACGCTTCGAAATCTGGGTACTCCAAAAATGCGCCCTTGATATGTGTGAATTTCAAAGACGAAAAACAACACCGGCCTTCAAATCTGAGCCATCAAGTGAATCAATCTTTTTGGTCATCAGCGTTGTATAAACAGCTACTTCCTGATTCTAAGCCTTGTCCCATCTGAATCATCGCTGATTTTTCAGCAACCGGCCATTCAAAGCTTGGTGTTTCCGTTGGCACTTCTCAGAAGCATCTCGTCATGATGATTTCGAACCCGTCAGATGTAAGGCTGCAACAGAGCAAACAGATCTGGCATGGTGGTGTCCAGGTTTCCAGGAGATGTCGGATATGTCACATGATATGTCCAACAAATCTTTGCTCATCAATAATCCTCCATCCTCTTTCATTCTCCAAGCTGGGGAGTTCCCGGAGCCGTCGGATCCGTCGGCTGGACATCACAAGTTCGCTGACTTCGAAGCTCACAGCTCTGATTTTGCGTCTGTCGATGCCGAGATCTTCTTGGCCATGTCGCAACCATTGCCTCTGTGCTTGGAATGATCCAAACGAACGTTAGCATTTCTGCAAGGTGGAGCCCCCCAATTTGTGTTTGCTGGTTTATGTTCACCTCATGAACTACTTGAATATATCATTATCATATATCTACCATAGATTCAAACCATATAACGCATTAAATTATAAGGCTACCATATACATAGTATATCATCCGCCATGTTACCAAACCAAAACCATAGTTGGTTGACCTCTGGGATATTGAAAATCACATTGCTGGCCCGTGGCTGGCTGAAGATCCAACCAGAGGTTGAGGCCCAGTCTTGTGGGATGTCACCCCAGGAAAAGCAAGCCGGTGAAGCCGGTTAAGTCGCCCCAAAAAAATCATCAACCCCCCTGCCGGATCTTCTTCCGAGCTATGTCTAGAAATTACTTTACTTCGAGTGATCCGCACCATGACATTTATACGTTTTGTTACTGGCAAATCTTCTGGCATTCTATCTGGCATATCTTCTGACATCCTATCTGGCATTCTATCTGGCAAATATTCTGGCATTCTATCTAGCAAACATTCTGGCACTTTATCTGGCATACCTTCTGGCATTCTTTCTGACATTCTATCTGGCGTTCTATCTGGCATATCTTCTGGCATTCTATCTGGCCGTTGAGGGCCAGCGGTGCTCACTGAGCTCGGAGGCTCCCAGGTTGAGGTCCAGCGGTGCTCACTGAGCTCGGACCCTTGCAGTTGAGGTCCAGCAGTGCCCACTAGCGTGCGGAAGTTGGCGAAGAGCTTGGCGAAGAGTTGGCAAGGCGGAAGTGAACATGGAAGTGGAGGCAGAGGTGGTGGAGGAGAAGGAGGAGGAGGAGAAGGAGGAGAAGAACAACTCTGATAAAGTCTAACAACCCTCACCTGGCAGGTGGGGAACTATATTTAGAACATTTTAGAACCACCAAACGTCGCAAAGCAGACATGTTGTGACAATGAAAAATTGAATCATTGTTGAAATTTAATTAAACATTGCCAGGATAGAGAAAGGCCAACACCGTCTGGCAACGTAAGGACATGATGCGATATGCCCATCGATGGGAAGACACAACATGTTTCATCAAGAACACCTCGTACCCACCCATCATATTCAACACAATCCAGAGAAATTCTGACAGAGTAAGGCTTGAGCTTTGCAAAACAAACATCATGTTAAAGTAACTTGAATCGGCCGACCGCCAACATATGTGTGAGTGACATACTAGCTCTGCAAAAACATGTTCTCTCTACTTTCAGCTGGGTTAAAGAAACCGTTGAAAAAAAAACATACATGCTGTCTTGCCAACTATCCTAACTATCCCTCCAAGCCGAAATCATACTTCACTATCTCTTCATTCCTCTCCCTCCAGTAAATTGACATCGGTATGGAAAATCCATCATCAAGAAACATCATGTTTTCCTGGTTGTGCCTACTACCAATTAGTATTCCCTTTTATTCGTTGTATATATTCCACCAGTAGCAAAAAGCAGGCTATCTTCCCAAACAAAATCTCAAGTCTCCTACATACGATTCGAGCATTCATGCTGCTTAGAACAACACAAGAACACCAAGATGCACCAAGCTCCTCCCGAGCTTCATCTCCCATTCAAGTCAAGTGACTGTAAGGCCCACGAAAGTCATATTGGTGAAGCCATAGGTTCGCGACCCACTTCACCCCCTGCTGCACCGTTTGCGCTTCGTGTCGGGTGCGAAAATCGGTGCCGAGGTCGTCGTGGACGTTGGGCCACCAGAGTGCCAAACCGGCCACAGGCTCCACCTGAAACGACGAAAGTCAAGGAGTGATGACGTGGAAAACATGATGGAGGTAAAAACAAATTATCTGATATACAATATACATGTATACATGTCGTATATATATATATGTATAATAGTAGTACATTATTATTGTTATGTATTGTTATTGTCATTATGATTATTGTTATGAGTAATGTTGTTGTTATGTTCTAGATCATGTTATGTTGATGTATAAAGTATCAATGTATGTCCGTAGGGTTTCACTTAAAGTGATGGTCATCTCACAGCAATACTTGTTCCACAACTTCTTCTCTCAATACAACAAATAGGAAGTGAGATCCTCTACATGGCTAAGTTGACTTATAAGTTGGTTTACGGAGGATATAACATGATATAACTATAGTTGATGGGATGAAAGTAGATCAAGTTATAACAGGGGGTGCTCACCTTGGCCCCGGAAGTGGTTCGGATAACTGCAGATTTTCACACGGCCTTGATCCCCAGGTCGGGAAAGACTGTTGCACCACCCATCTCAGGCGTCTGCACGTACAGGAAGAAAGTGGACAGTCGGACCCCTGGCAGACAAGACATTTTGGAGCTACGGTACGATGAGTTGCCAGCACTTCAGCAGATAGCTTGAGACAGTTTGAGATCCCATTGCGCTTATGCAAATGAAAGACTTGTCTTCAAATCAAACTGAACATTTTGGATGTTTTAGCACGACTCACACTTGGCTGTCACGGAATTGGTGACCCAATGGAAACTGTGCCTGCCAATGTGTCTGGTGCTGAGTTCTGATCATGATGAACTTGATAAAACTGCCCCACATCATATTGGACCAGTTGGAAGTGTTCCTCAGTGGCAGCGGTGCTGGCCCATTCTGGCCCGTCTTTGTCCATGCCGAAAGAAACTGGAAGTACCCAACTGAAATGAACGCTTGGAACATGGGTCAAGACGTTTCAAAGATATTTGATGGGGTCTGGGCACCCAACCATCCCAATCAGTATCCTGTAACTCCAAGATGGAACCTTGACATGACCATATTCAATCGAAATGTCAGTCAAACCAGTTGGAATAGCATCCACGATCTCTAACGATAGAGGATTGTGTAAATTAAATGCTGGTTGGTGGTTTCAACCCGTCTGAAAAATATGAAAGCCAGTTGGGAGTATTACTTCCAATATATGGAAAGTCAAAAAAATCATGTTCCAAACCACCAACCAGAATGTGTTCATATGTTCTTGTTTCCTTCTGTGGCTTTGTCTGGAATTTTTGGGTATCTCCAATTCCAATGGATGATCATCATGTTCTCAAGGCTTTTAAGGTTGCTATTTATGGCCACCACATTTTCAGACAAACCCACAGGGGTATATCCCAATATATTGGATAGTGACGGCTAGTGGTAGTATAATCCCCTAGAATTTAATCATCAACCAACAGGGGTTGATTAAGGGCTTTTGCACACTGCGTACGCCCATGACTTGACATCCCAACATCCCACCGCGTCCCACCGCCCAAGGTTCTGCATGGCTCTTGGGCACAGCGGTGAGGTTGATGATGCGTTGATGCACTCCATCGATCAACCGATCGCCTGGAGCCAAAGATGTGGTGACTGATGGATGTTTCTTGGGGGAAACCAGTGAAATACAGTGAAGTGAAGACTCCAAAAATAACATTACCTATAAGATAATTCATGATAATTCATGCTAATTCACTAGATATCAGGGGATGTGAAGATTAGCCTAAAACATCCTAAAACTCATTTGGTTTACATTGATTTGCTGAAGATGGCCATGGAGCTGAGGCATCTCATTCCCGGTAGAGAAGTGAACATCACCAAAGGATGATTATTGCCAATCTCAAGGCTCCAATCCTGAACCAAGGTACCAACAGTACCAACACCATGGGGCCCACGCCTAAACATTCATCGCTATTGCACCACATCTGTGTCGAAGTCCGTCGACCAGTCACCTGGTTGCCCTCTTGCGAGCGAGTCAACGACGCAGCGGCAAAGTAGTGCTTGAAAGCAGCAATCTCCTGGCAGTTTTGTTGCCAGAGGCCGGGGATATACTCTTGGAACAAAAGCGGCTTAGATGTGTATATTATATATATATATATTTACAAATAATACCCACATACGGATATACGGATGCGCATAAATATATTTATAAACTGATACCGTACTCTCCAATATGTGTAATATATATATATATACATCATATATATACGTATTACATATATATATATATATATATATATATATATATGTATGTATACATATTACATAGTGCGTACATTATATCACATATGTATATATATATATCATATACACATGGACATACACCAAGGCATTTCCTTTTGTGGGTCAAAGATGGTCAAAGTATGTTTAAACCATCTGCAGTTGTGACAGGCTTGGGTCAAGCCCTTGGGTGCGAACAGCGTGTGGATTTAGGTGGTACCCCGGCACCCTGGCGATTCCTCTTCAAACACCGAGCGTTTAAAACAGAACCAAACTGTTCCGTGTTTATGTTCCTTCAAGTAATCAAACATGCAACGCATCAACACCATGAAACTGGAACATTGGATGATTCTCCAACCATCAATAAGACTTTCCAGACTGCCCTACTTTTTTTTTTCGTCAGTGCCACCTTTCCACCATTTTTCACCCCCGATGCTTGGGTGGTTCCTTGGAATTGAGAAAGTTGTCAAAGGCCAAGACGAACGGATCCTCCTTGGCACCATGGATCCATGGGGTCACCATGGGCATCATCGCCGATGAAGGGGGCAAGCCAGTCATGGCAGCATGACTGGGTGTGTCTGAAAATGATGGATTTCACCGCAGAAAATTGGCGGTTTCAACATGGAATAACATGGATAATGATGATTGACCAATAGATCAAAAGGGTGCCGCATTTCCAGACAAAGCCATTTCGCATGTTCAAACTTCAGATGGGGAGTTTCGCCAAGGAGTTCTTCAGAAATCATCCAGGTCGGGACCCCCATTGGAATGATCCAGATGGCATTCTCACAATGTGCATCGTTCAGGAACCCATCGTTCCGGGAACCGTCCTGACGTAAACAATGGGAGCGATGTTTACCAAACCAACTCTCCTATCAAGGAGTTGCATGAACTCAGTTGCATTGCATGACCCTCACCCAAAATCCCAAAATTATGCAAACAATCACACCGGTATCCAGCCCAAAATACCTGACTTCCCAGGTGTGAATTTCATGCCATGCAATTGTGGGATTGGAACCCTACTTGTTTTGTATGTGGCCATCCTGGCCCAATATCCCCTAGGGCAAGGGACTCCTAGGAACCTAGCCTGTGGCTACATGCCCCGCAGCCCCGGCAAAAGGGTTGCACTGTGCGCTGCTTGGCCCACACTTCGTGTGGTGGGACTTTGCTTCGGTTTCTACTTGCTACCGAATCACATTGGTAGCGGAGCCGGCGTGCTCCGGAGCTCTACGGCAACACAACAACCTGCAAAAGTTGTACTACCTGAACATCTACACCAACCACTGCGCAACTACATCCACCTCTACCTCTTCAACTTCATCTTCACTACCTGGTCCCCTACTACAGCCTGGACATCGCCAACAACCTGGACATCGCCTACGACAAGGACATCGCCTACGACCTGGACGTCAACATCAGCCTGGCCAACTGCAATGCCGAGCGCAGCAGACGGACCAACTACTACCTCTTCAACCTCAGGAATGGAGCTGATGAAAGACACATACATCCCTGTCTTCAGCAACAAGCCGACCGACTACCGTGAGTGGAGGCAGAGGATCAACTTGTACCGACGAAAGCTGGAGCTTCAGAACAAGGGCAAGGAAGCTGTCTTGAACGTGCTGACGAGCCTTCATGGAGTGGCTTGGAGACAGCTGGAGCCAAAGGTGGACACCATCCTGGCCAAGGAAGAGGGCGCCTTCGACCTCATCTTGGCCGAGCTGGACGCAACGTTCAGATACAATGAGGATGTGGAGATGCCAAGGGCATTTGAAAAGTTCTTCTACGGGACTTCGAGGAAGCCAGACCAGACCTTGCTGTCTTACGTGGCTGACCACCGTGAAGCCTTGGGCGAAGTCGAGAAGCATGGAGTTCAGATCTCTGACAAAGTCAGTGGATGGATCCTTTTGCGCCGGTCCGGGCTGACCCATGAGCAGAAGCAGCTGATCCTGAGCCAGAACCCCAAGCTGACCTATGCCAAGGTGGTGGAAGCTATGTATTTCCTCCTGGGACAGGACTACAAGGGCAAGCCTGTCGACACTGCCTCTCGATGGAAGGGCAAAACCTATGGACGATGGAACAACCGTGGCTATGGCTACAACGCTGAGGAGATCTACGAGATGGACGAGCCCTACATGGAGGACTATGCCTACCAGCAATGGGATGAGGCTGAAGCAGATGAAGATTGGCCTGAAGAGTGCGAGGAGCCCTACTACGATGAGGACGCCTTCAACGCCCTGGACTACGAGGACACCGAGTTCCCGGACGAGGTCTATGGTGATGAAGCTTCATTGGAAGAAGCTTACGCGTCATATCTTGACGCCAGGCGCCACTTCTCTCAGTTGAAAGCGGCAAGAGGGTACTACCCTGTGGTGGCGCTGGCAGATGGAGGAGCTCAGTCCATGCCATCCTCATCACAAGCACCCCGACCACCAATGAAGAAGGGCGCTGGAAAAGGGAAGCCTGGTAAGGGCAAGATCAAAGGAACGCCTTCTTACAGGCAATCTCATCCTCCTCAACGTGGAAGCCCAACTTCAAGAGCAAATGCCACGAAGTGCCTGCGCTGCGGACAAGCTGGACATTGGGCAGCAAACTGCACCAACTCCCCATCAAGGTCGAGCCCTGCACCTTCAACCACTTCTTCACCAACGAAGAAAGCCAAAACGGACAGTGCTATGATGGTCCGTGACTTGGCAAAGAAACGACCCAATGGGGTACCAATGCTTGGTCAAGCTGGCCTCTATGGCATTCAAGATGGAGGAGCCTCTTCAGTTGTATGTGGACACGAAGTGCTCATGAAGATCATCGACCACATGAAAGCCAGAGGTGTCCCTGTGGAGCGCTTCCTCTTTGCCTCAACCAACAAGCTGTTTGGATTTGGCGGTGATGCAAACCGTCAAGCAGACTGGTCAGTCAGACTTCCAGTCTACATAGAAGGGAAAGCTGGCTACATCGAGACCTTCATTGTGGAAGGCAGCACCCCCTTGCTGATTGGCCGACCAATCTTGCAAGCCCTCAACATCAAGATCGACTACAACCTCAACAAGGTTTCCATCCAAGATGGAGAATGGAAAGATGCCACCATGGGTGAAAAAGGTGAATACCTGCTGTGCTTGGATCATGGAGTTGGAGACGATCCCGAAGGGAAGAACATCAGCTTCGACTACGTGACAAGCGACACCTGTGACGCCATCAACAACTACGAGGACCTGGACAACTACATCTCCATCCATGAGTACCTCTCGATGACCAACAGGACACCACCTGAGACCGCCTTCCTGGAGGACGAGACTGCCGAGGACGAGACCTTCTCCGACGACCCCTTGGACGAGACCTACACCGAGGACCCTACGGCCGTTCGCCGTGAGATCACCTCGAAGCTCATCAAGACCATGCACATGGAGTTCAACAGCTTCAACAAGAAGCGCAAGGAGACCGTGGAGAAAGTTCTCTATGCCCATCAAGAAGGACGACGGATCTTCTGGGAGGTCTACAGCGGCTCTGCCAACCTGTCTGAGACGATGAAGTACTATGGATGGGAGGTGCTCTCCTTTGACTACAACACGGGATGGGACTTTGACATCGCAGCTCATCGCCGCGAGTTCTTGGACCTTCAAGATCGAGTATGCCCCGACTTCATCTGGTACAGCCCAAAATGCACTGAGTGGTCACCTTTGCAACAGCTGAACATGACAGAAGATCGACGACGAGCTCTTCAAGATGAACGTGACTATCAGGAAAAAGTGCACCTGAAAATGGTCCGTCGCAGCTACTTGAAGCAACGACGTGAAGGACGACATGGAGCCATTGAGCAGCCCAGGTATGCGGTGTCTTGGAAGACCCGAACTTTCCATGATTTGCCTGGCACACCATGCCTCCTGGACCAATGCCAGTTCGAAGTCATGATGGCTGACAACGAGGGCAACGACCAGTACATCAAGAAACCCACAAGGTTGCAATGCACCGATGAAGGCATGGCAAACGAGCTCAACCTGCTCTGCCCAGGTGAACACTACCACCTTCCTCTGGAAGGCAGCTCACCTGGAGTTGGAAACAGAGCGGCAGCATCAGGAGTTTACCAAGGTGTTTTCTGCAACTGCCTGAGTCAAGCGATCGTGAACATCTTCATCAACCAGGACATCGAGGACGCTCACTACATCAACTCCGAGGTCTACGCTGGCGAGGAGACTGACGAGCGCAACGATGTGGACTTGGACGCCATCTCCGACGTCGACCCACCACTACCTGCTGAAGACCCTGATCCCAAGCAGGAGATCCAACGACGTCGAGGAGTTCTTCGGCGACTTGATGAGGAGAACCGACAAGCGGCCAAGAGGACAATCATGCGGTTGCACCGAAACCTTGGGCACCCCTCCAACAAAGAGCTCATCCGACTTTTGAAGTCGAAGAATGCAAGTGACACCCTTCTACAAGCTGCACAAGAACATGAATGTGGCCTGTGCGATTTGCACAAGAGGCCAACGGGTGTCCCCGTGTCAAGCATGCCGAAGGACACAGCCTTCAACGACCGTGTTCAAGCCGACACCCTTTGGATCAAGGTTCCTGGTGTTCGCAACAAACAGCCTGTGCTGATGATGTCAGATGCGATGACCCGACTTCTTGCAGCACGACATCTCAAAGCAGAGACCACCGAGGAGTACATCAAGCAACTTGAAATGGCCTGGATTGGATTCTTTGGACCAATGAAGACCTTGCAGGTCGATGAGCACAGAGCCTGGTCATCAGATGCCATGCGAGAATGGGCAACTGAGCAAGGCATCCAACTGGTGATCAGCCCTGGACAAGCTCACACAAGATTGGCCATCCTGGAGAGGAGACATCAGGTGACTCGCAAGGCCATCAGCCTCTTCTTGGAGTCCAACCCCACGGTGGCAGCTGACAGAGATGCTCTGGTCATAGCGCTGAACTACATCGTGCCCCAACTGAACAGGACACCAAATGTCCATGGATTCAGTCCGATCCAATGGGTCTTGGGCTACACGCCACATGTGCCCGGCCTTCTGTCAGAAGAATCATCGCTGTGCAATCCTGCACACCTGGACCCATCTGAGAGGTTCATGGAAAAGCTTCGACTACAACAACAAGCCTGCAAAGCGATGTCAGAGGCCGACATGGATCACCGACTGCGCCGAGCACTTCTTCGGAAGTACATGGGCCAGCCACTACTCCTACAACCTGGAGACCTCTGCTACTACTGGCGTGACACGCCACCTGGCAGTTCTGCAAAGCTGAAGTGGCGTGGACCGGCCACAGTGATCATGCGTGAGCCCGGGCCTCATGGACCTCACACGGACGTCTACTGGATTGGCCATGGGACAGTCTTGTTGAGGGCAGCCCCTGAGCACATCAAGGCTGCAACGCCTATCCAAGATGTGACTGAGAAGGCAAGAGATCCTTTGGACACGGCCAAACAGGCCTTGAACAACATCCGCAATCGCGGAGTGACTCACTACATCGACCTCAACAAGAGCAACAAGCGACATCGAGAAGAGATCGCCACCGACGAGGAGGCCGACGACATGGATGAAGACCTACATCAACTTCCTGGACATCAACTTCCACCAGACAGATGGCAAGTCTCGGAAGATGGCAGACTTTGGACGAGGATCCACAACACCCCTCGCCGAAAGCTCTATGTGCCAGAGCTTACAGCAGATGTGCCTGTGCACCTCTTCCTACCGGAGCGTGCCACAGATATCAGACGAGGGAGCCCCAACCCCGAGCACATCAGAATCCGAGATGAATGGCGACTTCCAAATGCAGACCGGGAGATGCACTATGTCTGGACCGGGACTACGACTTTCTTCATCAACACCGAGCAGCTCTCCGACAACGACGGCGGCTACAGCCCTGGAACCCCACTTCCTGACGATGAACGACGTTCTGATGACGAAGGACATCCTGGAGGAGGACATCTTTCCGAAGCAGAACAAGAACCACCTGGAGCAGGACCTTCAACCACGAACATTGGCAACACCTCACATGGAGGAAACGTCCGAGGACTTGACCCACTTCCTGTTGAACAAGGTCAACAAGATCAACATGCAATTTCCATCAGCCCAATGAGCCAAGAGACTGAGCCTGCAGAGGAGCCTATGGTACCTTCTGTGAGACCAGACCCTGCTTTGGCCGACAACCCCAACTTTCAAGTACCTGAAGCTCAGCAACAACTTTTCCAACCACCTGCTGGAGGTGAGACATTTGCCCAACAGCGTGCGAGAATGGAAAGGCAGACTGCCTTGCTGTTCAAACCACCTCAATCCTATGGACCAGATCGAACACAAGAGCCCAGAGCGACACCATACTCTGGAAAACCCCTGTCCTCAGATGATGCAGCCAACGCCACCATCGACGTTGACATCATCAAGGAGCTTGGCCTTCCTACGGGATGGCTTGTGGAAAAGGGGATGCTCTCAATGGACACCATCAAGGATGAGTGGAAGCTGGAAGGCAACTACCTCACACGGAAGCACTTTGTGCCCCGCAACACCGACTACAAGCTGGATGAAGAGACCTGTCCATTGCCACTGAACTACTTCATGAAGGACCGCTACACCAAGATGGGATCGCACCTGGTCCGCGACAAATGGACGCGACCTTCAAAGAACAAGAAGCTCAACACCGGCTTCTACTGGACCGGCTACACAAGGTTTAAGCTCTTCCCTGAATGGAGAAAGGAGGCAAAGCGAGTCTTCCTGGAGAAGAGTGAGGGCAAAGAGACCATGTACTACAACGAGGCCAAGGCCACAAGCAATGCCCCGCTCTCAGAGCGAAACATGAGCCTGGATGACAGACTGTCATTCATGGAAGCCAAGAAGAAGGAGTTGGAAAGCTTCTTTCAGAACCAAGTATGGCTCTTTGACGATGCCGACAACGCCCCAGCTGACAGGGTACTCAAAGCCCGCTTCATCCTGACTTGGAAGAAGCATGAAAATGGAGCCCCAAGGGCAAAAGCCCGACTTGTGGTCCAAGGCTTTCGAGATCCAGATGCTCACCTTGGAAATCTTTCCACAGCGTCGCCAACCCTGACGCGCCTCTCAAGGAACTTCATCATGAGCGTGGCCACGATGATGGGGATGACTATCTTCACAAGCGACATCTCAACAGCTTTCCTTCAAGGACGCAACTTCGACCCTGATTCTAAGAGGATCATTTGGGTGAAACTTCCAAAAGATGGAGAACAACTTCTTGGACTACCTGAAGGTCATGGAAAGCTGATGAAACTGGTCAAGCCCATGTATGGACTTTGTGATGCTCCCCGAGCATGGTTCGAAGAGGCAACGGAGAGAATTCTCACCATGGGCAACGGTGCCATTGTGCAACATCCACTCGATGCTTGTCTCTTCCTGGCCTTCGACAAGCCCATACATCCACCACCACTACCACTTGAAGGAGAAGATCAACCACGACTCTTGGCGCTCTTCGGCATCCACGTGGACGACATCTTCGGCTGCTACGACGAGAACGACGAGCACACCGAGATCCTGCTGAAGAACCTCAAGGGCATCTTCAACTTCCGTGAGTGGGTGACGGCTAATGACAAGAACGAGCTGGAGTACTGTGGTGCCCAAATCACCAAACTTGGTGAGAACCATTGGAAGATCCACCATGAGAAGTACCTGACCAAACAGAAGCCGATCACCTACCCGAAGGAACGTCAAGGATCCAACAAGGAGGTGACAGACCGCGAGAAGACAGCCCTACGTGGACTGATTGGTGGACTTCAATGGCCTGCTGTTCAATCAAGCCCACACCTACAATGTATGGTGTCAACCCTTGCTGGCCAAGTGTCAAAAGCTACGACCTCAACACTGGACACAGCAAACCGATGCCTCAGGTTTGCCAAGCAGAACTCTGACGTTGGTCTGGAGTTTCGCCACATTGGCCCCAAGGAGGAGATCACCTTTGCGGCATACTCTGATGCATCCTTTGCATCAAGAGATGACCTTTCAAGCCAAGGAGGCTACTTCCTCATCATGGTCCACCGCGATGTGACGACTGGAGGAGAAGGAGCCTACAATGTCATCGACTGGAGAAGTTGGAAGCTAGCAAGAGTTTCCAGATCGACATTGGCTGCTGAAAGTCAAGCTGCTGGTGAGGCATCAGACGCCCTCCTCTTTGCCACGACCTTCTGGCGTTTGATTTGGAGCCCCTGGTTGCAATTGGACGACCCAAAGACTGCTCAGCTACCAAATCAGCCAAAGCTGATTGTGGACGCGAAGGCCCTCTTCGACCTCTTAGCACAGAAGGAGATCCAAGCGGGAAGCTCAACAGACAAGAGGACCGCAATTGAAGTCTTGGTCACTCAAGACAAACTTCAATGCTGCGGAGCAGGAAGCATGTGGGTGAGTTCAGAGTTGCAATACTCTGACGGCCTTACAAAGGCTAGTGCGGCCCAACTTCTGGCAGATCGCCTGAGAAGCCATCTCACGCGACTCAAGAGTGACGAGGACTTTGTCGCCAGCAAGAAGAAGACAGCAGCAGAGAGAAAGAAAGGAGCAGAGAAGTACGCGATCAGAAAGCCCACGGCGATGACCACAGCAACAACTATGTTTGCAGCATTTTGCACTGCTGCGACGCAAGCGATGCCCTATGAGATTGTCGAGACCTACGACCAGGAGATGAATTTCACCTACATTCTGAACACCAACGACTCCGAGTACGAGCTCGCTACCACGATCACCGCGATGCTCTTCGGCATTCTGGTGCTGGCTGGACTGTTGTCCATGTGCCGTTGGATTGCGGCAGTGCCACGCCAACTTTTGGCGATCCTTGCAAATCTCTGGAAGGTGATGAGCCTCAAAGAGGCAAAAGCCCTGGAGACCAAGGATGTGGCCATCCAAACCGAAGATGATCTGATCAACGAACTGAATGCCCTGTTGCTCAGGAACATCGGGTTGGAGGAAGAATCGGAGAACCATCTCCAACAAATACGTGAGTTGGAGCGGGACAACGACAACCTGACCACCATCATCCGAGACTTCAACCACGATCGCCGCAGAACGATCATTGAAGCGTGCCAGCAACAGATCTACTTCACAGCCGAAGGAAGAGCTTGGCATGCAAGCTATCAGTGCCTGAGAAATCGAACCGCTGGACAGATCCTTCATAGGACTTGGTGCACCTATTGTGTGGACTGCTTGGGTCAGTATCCTGACAACCAGGCCCCACCTGGTGAAACCACCAGTAGGCTGCGATAGCTGGTAGCTGTGCCTGTTTTCTTTTTCCAAATTCCATTTCCACCGGTGTGAATTTCATGCCATGCAATTGTGGGATTGGAACCCTACTTGTTTTGTATGTGGCCATCCTGGCCCAATATCCCCTAGGGCAAGGGACTCCTAGGAACCTAGCCTGTGGCTACATGCCCCGCAGCCCCGGCAAAAGGGTTGCACTGTGCGCTGCTTGGCCCACACTTCGTGTGGTGGGACTTTGCTTCGGTTTCTACTTGCTACCGAATCACACCAGGTATTAAACACCCGCTGAACTTGCGTCGATATGACGCCCAATTTTTGGATCAAATGGATTCACATGGTCTAGTCTATTGGTTTCGATGATTTACCATGTTCAAAAACATGGTCAATCTTTGGTAGGTCACACAAATTTGATCCTTTGCTGGTTATAGTGATTCCATTTATAGCAATAACTAAAGGATTAAACATGATTATATAAACTACCTACCCAGTCAGCTCGGGATGAAAAGTCCTATCCCAAGGACTTTCCAAGCGTCCGCCAGAACTCTGACGCCAGGCGCAACTCCAGCCGCGTTCCGCAAGGCGCGACTGGCGACATCTGCCGCGATGCCCTGCATCGATTCGCGCGAGAGGCAACGAGAAGTGAACCAATCGCAGGAGTTGCACGCCATCGCACATTGTACCTGGGACACCAAGGGGCACCAAGGGCACTGAAACAGGGTGGGCAACATCCAGCGGCTTAAAAAACCAGGCTCAACAGCGGGTTGTGGATCCATCCTGGCCTTCATATAGGCTGGGTTCTGCTCGCATTCCCCGTGCTTTGCCCATGCAGCACAGGAGTCGTGGAAGTCTTGGCACGTCAGCCCCAACGGCAGCAACCACAGCAGGTTCAATAGAAGCTGCATGGTGTCCCAACATGCTGCTCAGTAGGTTTAGTATTGAGACATATTAAGTGATGTGTAGCTGTGCAGTAACGTGTTCTATATTTCATATAAATTCAAGATGCCACATGATGCCACAGAATCAGGTCCTTTTGAACAACAATATCTCATGTGATGTGGATCAATTAAGTACACTAAGTACATACTGCTGCTGTTGGTCTCGCCCAAGATTGGTTTCACCAAAAACACTTCAGGAAATCAACCAGCTGCAGCTTGAACCAAAGATACTTTTCCCTCAAGCCCTCTGGAACCCTTCCCGATGTTGGGCTATTGGCATCCCAAGCATTTTGTGAACCAAAGGCATTTTGGATTTGATTGGGTATCTAAATTGACTTCAGGACCAACTCGGATTTGGGATTCAATCCGTGTGACAATTCAGTTGGAACAAGCTTATATGGACAGTGAGGAAAAACTCAAGTGTATCTCTTTGTTAACAGATCCCGATGTATTGCTGTATTACTCCATCCAAAAAAAAACATCACCAGTGCCTATCAGCCTATCATCTCGTGGGAAATCCCGTCGTGGAATCCTGGAAATCGGATCCCACCCATGTGATCCCACGTGCCTTTGGCCAGGTGGCACTAAACAACAAGGTTTGCCGTTCTCGGGGGCACTCCTGGACTGCGGATCCCGGAATCCCGGGTTCTGAGCTGTCCAGAAAACCACGTGTTTTTTCTCTTTTTCCGGGGCTATATTCAACCAGGCTTTCAAGGCGATTTAAAAGGTTTTATAACCAAAGGATCTAAACTATGACAAGACATTGCAGCATACCCAAAACTACTGGCAGGATTCACCTGCCGGAACACACTTATCACCAGCAGAAACGGTCATATCATCGTCAAAGAGATGGACTTCCAACCACAAAAAGGAAACAGCAGCGACAACGTATTTTTTGTCGAACCCTATGAGATACCGTGCAACAAAAATCTGCTTATAGATGGTTAATGTCTCCTCAACCCATGTTTGTTCATCGTTGTTCAAAGTTGTACCAACAGTCTACAAGAGTACCCATTAGCAGTTGGTTCTCCAGAATCACTGAGCGTTCCGTGTCCCACACCTCGATAATGCGCCGGATCTGTGGTTCGAAACCCATATCCAGCATCCGATCTGCCTGTCAAAAACTTAAGTGGATGGTTGGATAGTCAGCTTTTCTTGACGGTTCCTGAAAAACCTCACGCTGTTGAGGGTTCAAAACGCCCTCCAAAACATTTGGAAATACAATGGAAATAGCAGGACTTCCAATGAACAATTTAAATTTAAAGCTGGTTGGAATTCCACGGATTCGAACCTTGTCCCAGGTGTTTCGTGGTGAAAAGATGTTAAAGGATAGTTCACAGTCCTCGTTGCCCTTTGGAAGGACTACCCTCTGGTAAACTAACAGTTTGCAAACTGGACAATTACCCATTTATAGATGATTCATGATGATTCATCCATTAAAAATGGTGATTTTCCAGTTCGCAAACTGTTGATTTACTGTTTGGGGATCTGGAATCTGGGTATCCATGCCTCTCCGTTCCATCCATGACTTGTCAGATCCACTCCAGTAAGGGGTTGTTGTTCTCCGGATCCTAGCTGACCTTGATATCCGAAAGTTATTTTAACCTCATGATACCCTCCAGTCATTTAACATAGCCTATATATAGCTATGGAAAATGGATGAACATGGTCAATTTGTAGATGAATTATTCTGAATTACCTTTTAAACATGTTGATTCTCCATAGCTATGTTAAATTACCAGAGGGTACATCACAACTGAAACTGGGTGGCAAAGAAAAGATCAATAAAAACAATCAATGAAAAATAAGTCAATATTGGCTCTCTCAAACATTGCTTGGACCCACAAATGGGGATCACAGTGACTGTTCCAGTACATTGATGATACTCATGAAATCATCCAAGTTCCCGGTCGCTGTGCGTGAAACATGCTGATATGTACTTAAATGACTAAACATCCATCCCAGATATGAGTTTTTGTCAAAGGTGGTATTCCCCAGTATTCCCTCCTTCCTCGAGGGCGCCAGTTTTGCCTCATCGAGCGTCAAGTATGAGATCTGCCCAAGCCAAACTTGCTTGTTCTCGCAGAACTGCGGCGCGAAAGGCGAACGGTTGTTCTGTGCATTTGTAAAACATGGTAAAACAATAATAAAGCATCCCCCAAATCACCATAAATAGGCGGTAAAAACCATTCCCAAATGGGTGGTTTATGATTGTTTTACCCACAGTATACTCGATGTGGTACTCAAATGCAACAGTTCCACAACGCTGAACTGAACAAAACATATGAACTAAAGAAACATCACGAGACCAATAGCTATAATGAATGCCAGACTTCTTATCGCTTGGTTTCTCTCGGAAAACAGCGCTGCTTTGATAATGTTGTACCTTGAGGTCTGTCTCAAGCGTTTGATCCAAACACTGCTAAACAGCTGCCTAGAATTTCCGTCTTTGATGTATTATAGTAAAATCATTGGGTGTATAACAATGTCTATATACATTGCACGTGATGTCTCCAACTACCCAGTTTTCTACTTCTCCATGTGGTTTTCTCTGAACATGAGGGTATAAATAGATGTACCCCATTATACCCAAGAAATTGATGCTTAATCACTATTTTTCCATATGTTTCCAGATTTTTCCCATGAATATGCCGCAATTTTGGTGGAGTATCTCGCCTCGTTGAGTCGCCCAGGAGTGGCCACGATGATGTGGCAACCACGTTTCAGCCACTGGCGTCATGGCGTAAGGCGTAAGGAAACCCCCACAACATAGAAAAATTGATGGTTTCCGGTGAATATGTTTCCTTCAAACCAATCTATTAATACTAGTTAAATAATTGTACATAGGGAAATTTATGGAAATTTCACCTATAAATATATTATATATACATATATATATATGTGATGTATACATGGCTATGGGTCAAAATGGATGGTTAATATCAAAATGGACTAAGATCTGTGGTCCCCCAGATCTTACATTTTGACCCACAACCATATATATATACATACATATACCCTCCTGTAATAAGTTTCCTTCTATCAAAACCTCCATTGATAGGAAATTGTCCTTGACAACCAGAGAGTATAATTACATGTGTACTTTCTCGAAGAACCACGTTTGTTTCCGAGACCGTACCTCAGCCAAATGACCCAAATGACCAGGGTTGCTCTCAGCACGCCAAAGACAGCCGGAAAATAAATGGATAGATAAAGAGGGGGTAAAATCAACCTAAAATGGGTTGGAGCAGCCCTGATAGTAGGTTAGGTACATACCCTATATATATATATATATAGGTTGTTTACCAACCATGAAAGTAGATCATGTTCCCAGGAAAATCCTGCTTTTCCACATCTTTTTTTTTAGTTTACCCTAGGGTACCTAATAAAAAAGCAGACATATGTTCATTCATTCAAAAACTACAGACAATTGTTTAAGCCAGTGAGGTCATAACAGATTTGCCCCAGCATCAACCCCTAGAGCTAGCTGTTGAAGCGCATCATCTCATTTGTGTGGCTAAAATCCCTAGAATTTCCTGAAAAATCATTTGCCAACTTGGAATCTGGTGATTTGGAATTTCACTGACCCCATGTGCTCCAGATATGGCATATATATATATATATGTATCTATATATATATATATATATCACCCAGTCATGCAGGGATGCGTTCTTAAGTATCTATTTTATTAAGTCCCAGAAACTTAGTCTGGCTCAAAATGTGAGGCCTCAAGATAGCTAGGTTGCTTTATAACATGTTCTATCTAGGTCCTATGATGTTCTATGTTTTATGGAAGATGTATCTAAAGTCTATAGTCAGATGAGCTTCGAAACCAATAAACATGACTGGGGGCCCCAGCTTGTATTAGATTACTTCGTTGGCTGGTTGGTATATCCCCATTTATCACAAAACATGGTTATCACAATATCCCCATTTTTCACAAAACATGATTGGTATATCCCCACTGGTTTGTATTAAACTACCTCTCCAGTGGGTTACACCCCGCATCAACCCTCATGTCTCTTGATTCCATCCCAAATCTTGCTGGTGAGTTTCTCACAATTCTATGCTATCGATCCTACCAAATCCCATGAAAAATCACCGTGAAAAATCACCAGTAAATCCGATTAAATGACAGTAATTCCCAACAACAAAGTGAAACTCTATGTTTTTCATGGTTGTTAAACATCAATCGTTGCTGCTGGTGGAGACATGCATTAGACCCATATGTTGGATGCAGTTCCAGTTATGATGGGGGTTATAACCCACCTTTTTAGGGGTGGTTACCATGGTTATGCTCTATTACTTGATCCCAACTGCAGTCCCAAGCAGGTTGTACACCCCAGTCTATACCTATTATATCCATTTATATCCTCTGAAATCCCATTAAATCACCACTATATACCATTCAATCACAACTAAATCACCATGATGTCCTATTACCCTCTGGTAATTTGTTACATAGCTATTGAACATGGCCATTTATAGTGAATTTTCCCATGAAATATGGTGATTTTCCATAGTTGCGTTAGTTTACCAGAGGGTACCTATAAACATTGTATAATATAACTATATATATGGTATAAATTAATATAACATAATATAAGTATATTACCATTAATTGATATAGCTATCACCATGAAATCCACCCGGCTACCGTAGCTGGCGCCCCGTGTTTGCGCCTCCAACTGGTCCGCCTTGGATTCGCCCCCGGTGCAGGAGCAGCACAGGATCCCGGAAGATCGACCGAAGCGCAGGGCCTCCGAGTGGGAACCCAGTGGTAAACCATGGTTAAACCTATATTTTCCCATATTGAAACCTCTATTGTTTGCTGGTTAAACCATGGTTAAACCTGTATAATAATTTTCTTACTGGTGCTTAGCAGGGAATGAATGGGAATGGGGGAATGGGAGAATGGGGGAATGGGATGATCATTACTAGTGATTATGGATCATTCCCTCATTCCCTGCTAAGCACCAGTAATAATCTGGATGGTGGTATACCAGCCCCTCTGAAAAAAAATATGATTTCGTCAGTTGGGATGATTGTTCCCAATATATGGAAAAATAAAATATGTTCCAAAGCACCAACCAGTAATCATCGCTTTTTAGCTGTCTATTCAATCTATTCCGCCCAAATGATGGTTTTTCATGTGGTATAATCATCGGTTTTCTGAGCCATCCCTACATTGTTGTCATGGAAAAAGCCATATATCTGGGTAAATTATAATAATTCACTAACCTGAAATAAGGCCATTTTGGGATGATTTCCCTTACTAACCATGATTTCCAGTGAGGTCGCAGTGAGGTCGTTATAATTTACCCAGATAAGCCCCTTATTCACGGTGAGGCAGTGATGAGTTGCTGCGCCTCCAGCTGGATCTGCCGTGCCAACTCTCTGGTGGGGGCCAAGACCAATGCCTGCGCGGGGGACTTGGAGGATCTCTGTCACCAATGTCTGGTAGTGTATAAAGCTATATATTAACAGCTATATCTCCATATAATATCTATAGTGTATATATATATATATGTTATAGTGAGATATAGCTGAATGTCTGTATAAAACAATCAAATATACTAGTTATGAAATGTTATTGAGCTATGTATATTTATATATATATGTATATATTCAACTCGCATTTTTGACCAAGTGAACTGAACTAAGGCAACTTCGCTATCTAGTAACTGGTGAGTAACCCTAGTTGCAACCCACTAATAAATTGGATAAGCCGCTGAATGGGGACTTACTAACCAGGGTCATTAACCAGATAGGATTTGTGGGAAATCAATCACCAGGAGATGTGCAAATTCCTGAAACATGGGGTGCCTATTGAAGCGTCCATTTTTGATGGTGTATAATTAAACCCATTCCCACATGTGCCAACCCCTGAAGCCCTAAACTCAGAGATTGACAGATTGATACGGCCAAGCACCACACAGTGCAGCTTCAATTTCTGCGAAGCGACTTGCAAACAACTTTGGTCCGCAATTGCAGATCTGGCCTGTCTCAATGCCAACAACAGTGACAACAGTTCCTGACTTTTGAAGAGATGCTGTTTGAAACCACCACTATTAGCTGCCAAGAGGGTTCCAACGCATCAAACCCGCACTGCAAAAATGTCGCAGTTTCCAGGCTTTAAGACAGGCATTGATAGCAGCCACAGCAATGCCTTCCTTTGCCGATTTCTACGGCATTTTTTGTCGGAGTTCAGAATCATCGTTTTATGATCCTGATCATTATTTTATCAGGGTGTTCAACGAATATATATATATATTAAATACACCATTGTTTCCCAGGTCTCTATGAGGACAGCCTCTCCCATTTCTTGCTGCTAACCTTCCAATTCAACTGATCACAGTTCTTTGTGCTGCCATGTTTCCATGTTTGCGACATTTCATTTGGTCAACGTTACCAAGCAACCACACTATCTATATCATACCCTCTGGTAAATTAACATAGACCCTGGCAGATAGGGGTTGGAAGATTAGTTTCAATTAAAGCTAGGTTATTTTCATGGTCTATGTCAATTTACCAGAGGGTATATAATATATATATATATAGTTTGTCTATCTTCACTGTGCACCCGGCTGATCTGGATGGGGAACCCCCCCCCGGCTTCACACGATGAAACCACCAGCACTGGTTTTGCCAGCCTTCAGCTCCGGATCTGTCTTCCTGAGATCCAGGTGCAGCGAAAAAAACATGGACATCCCAGGCCCCTTTGGGGGCTCAAAAAAGACGGGACAAACACTACAGGTATGAGTGTTTCGATAGTACACCATGAATGAGAATAATCCACACCATCCAAGGTTGATGCAAAGATTGTAAATGCTCATTTTATGAATCGCAATAATTGCATCTTGACCCCTCTAACCACCGTAGTATTCAAACACAGCGCTCTATCGCACTACTACGAGGCCGGCCACGATAGATAGCAAATTTGTTTCATTATGACTAGATGAACTGTATGATTTATGCTAGATAACATATATCTATCTATCTATATATATATAATATCTATAATTTTCACAGAATTCACAGGGTTGGCCCCAACATAAACCAACCAATGAAACTGGGAAAGCACCATTTTCAGTGTGTTCATCTGCCCAGTGTCTTGGAATCCAAGAAGTGACCTCAGGGACGAGCCGAAAAAACGATGGTCACACGAAACTACCAACGGTGCCACCTCTCGTCACAGGGGTAAGGAAAGTATCAAGTCCAACAATGTAATATAAATATCATATTATATATATATATATGTATCAATATAAATTAATGTTAGATTTATATATAATATATAATATTATTGCATATAATATTATTGTATATAAGATCATATAATAATATATATATATATATATATGTATATAATTGTAAAGCTATCTGTACTTTCTGTACATATTGATAACAGTGTGAAATATACGTTCCATAATAAGTGTCGAATATCAAAGAAAGTGCAGGTGCTGGGATTGGTATCATCCCAGGTACAATAGGCCCGTTAGGGGATCGTCAGGGTACAATAGGCCTGTTTAAAACCACCAAGCATTTATCAGACTTATCTGTTACAAACCCTGGCTAGCTAAATGATGTCATATGGGTATGGGTCAATACCTATTAATACCATTTTTAGGGGAATGAACATCCATTTGCCAGCTATTTTGGGGTTCACCAGGGGTACAAGGTTTTGACCCATCCCCATATGCTTATCTCTTCTGGAAAAGAAACACATATGTATGGTTTCAAGCCACTTGTGCTTGTGCTGAACTCCTGACGTTCGATGCTTGCAACATTACCATGTTGTTGGTTATATATCCCATGAATATCCCTAATACACATACTCATGGCCAATCTTAGATACCTTCAAAAAACACAAATCTGCTGGTGAGTACATTTTACCACAGCCAAAGAGTAAAGTACTTAAGTAAGCAAGGTTGACCCAGTATCCATTGGCCATAACCAGTTCCCCCAGGGCAGGCTCCAGGACGGCCCCACGGCACCAAGGAGCTCATGCTTCGTCGATATTGGGAGCGCCCTTGGATCCAGAGCCTGACCGGGCCATGGCACGGTTGCCCTGTTTAGGTCCCCATGCAGCGGCTTCTCTCATCTATAAGTGGCTTACTAGGCTTACTACTAAGCAGTTGCGATTCGGGGGAGTATTCGGGAAGTAGGGACCAACATATAATTAGATATATTAGATAATTAGATGAATTGGACTTGGATTGGATATGGATTGGATAGGATCGGATAGATCGATAGATTGATACTTATGGAATGCTATGGATATATGGATGTACTGAACTGTAATCAGACTGAAACCCTCATGTCCCCATAGAAAACATCACACCCACTCGCGGAATCACTACCACTGCGATGGGTCGTGGGTAGCCACTTGGAAGTACTTCCAAGGCACGACGAACCCTTGAAATCACACTCAAAAATACTCCAAATGGGGCTGTCTTAAAATTGGGGATCCCAAAAAACAAGGGTTTCAATACCAAAATGGTCTAAGTTTGGATGATTCAGGGTACCCCCATTTTAGGACACCTCCAACAGGATTCTCCGCCTGGTGGCCAAGGATCGCGCCAGGGTCGGCTGTAATCCTCGCCATCCGCGTCACACCGTGGGGGTGTTCTTAAAAAAGGGGGAACCCCACGTTACCCAAGTCACCATAGGTTCAATACTCAAATGGTCATCCATGACTTGGATGATTTGGGGGTACCCCCACTTTAGGAACCCCCCTACATTGCCAGGCATCAATGGATGAAAAATTGCAGAAGTTCACTTTGCAAACTCTTCGCTTTACTCCCTTTTCCCATCCAATTTTGTGAGCGCACACTCAATCTGAATATCCACATAAAGGTGCTATCATCTGCAACATGCAGACTTCCCACTGTGATGTTTTTACAACTCAATATTTGGGTGTTACCCAAGGGGGGACCCCACTTTGGGAACTCCCCAGCTCTTGGCAACACAGGACCTTGCTCACCGGTCTCCATGGGAACCGAGAAGCCGATAAATGCCAGCAATAACCCGGTGAGCAACACCGTCGCGAAAAGGAAATGCCTTGAGCGCCGCTGCTTCTCCAAACACAGCCCATCGCATTCATAATTTGAGGGGCCATCAGATAAATTGGTTAAATCAGTTCTGTTGGGAAACAGTCATGCTTCCAATAACCCCAGGGGAATTAATCATCATAGTTCTTTTGCACATAATCTACCCGATTATCGGTCTGGTCAAACTTAAGGATTTTTCAAAACTGGTTCATTCAGTACTTTAACAATAACATGACCATCTGGTGCTACAACCACACCCGCCATGACGCCAGTTCTACAAGCTGTGGGCTCCACGATTCATCGCGATTTCTTGAAATCATGGGGTTCACAGCAGGTGAACATACCCAGCATTCATGGTTCTAATCTATATCGAATGAGTTATTTGTTGGAAAATGTATGGAAACTATAGCCACAAACACTTAACTGTTTGAGAAAAATCACTTTGAGGGATTCCTTATGGGATATCATGGGTATAACGGTATAACCAATCCATTGGATCCTTGATAAATTCTCGTTGGTTTGTCCCAAAAAAAATCCCATGTGACCCAAACATATTACATATAATACATATAATATTTATCTGGATAATTATCATGGACACAGTGATAATGTACATAAAATACTATTACTATTACATATCATCTACAATATTCCCTTTATATTCCCAAAACGATGTCATAATATAATCCCATTTTCATTCCATTACAAATAAAAAACACACATTCATCCCATATAAAAATCCACACACTCCATAGATTTTCCATAATAATCCCACATAATCCATAGATAATCCGTAGATTGTTCCCTTGCCACTCATCATTTCAACAAAGCATGAACTGCAAACGCGCGGCGACATGCCGTGCGACCGTGGCAACCAGCTCTCAAGAGATCCTCCAAAAACGTTGCGTGATAAGTTGGTCCATTAAGCCGTTTCACTATGGTTGTCATCAACAAAATATACTGTAAGCAAACTATTGTTGTCACAACATTGACAACATCAACAAATATATATATATATGTTGATTGAGTGATAAGACATGCAATCAACAACAAAATGTGATAAACACATAATTGAACCATCCCCAAAGTCAAAGCATTCCCAAATGCAGGATTATTATTGGGTTGCCCACATTAAATAGTAGAATTTCTAGTGTTTAACAACCAACGAATAGGGATTTGCTTCCAGCAAAAACCAACATTGAACCACAAAACATGACGTTTGAGAAAGGTGATGTGTGATAAGCAAATTGAAATTGGTTTACTAAACCATCTAACTATAATTACAATATCTTACACTTATTACAACAATAGTTATGTTTATTAAACCAGCTAACATCATCAAACTATAGTTACCATCTAATTACAATCACCATAATCCACAGGTAACTCGATATAAAACAAAAAAACACATCTTGCGTGCTCCACGGTGGCAGTGCTTGACATGGTGCGTCCGGATTACGAGGTTCAAGGATTTTTTTCTTTGTTGGTATGAATAGGGAAATCATGGGATATCATGGGTATATTCATCCCACAAAATCAGGAAGTCTGTAAGTTTTTCTTTGGAAGCTGCCCCTTTTTGGAGGCCAACATGTCTTCAGAGTGAAGTTCCATTGTAAATATGACACGGGTGCCAACAAAACACGTGTAGACAGTGTAGACTGAAAACAACCCTTCTATCAATAAAGATTGCAATTATCAATTACAATACATCTGCACACTACAAAGCGATATTCATGTGCAATCTAGTGCACCCGCCAAAAGGTATAGACAGTCATATACAATAATTCTGTGGGGGTTAACCATCATTCAATCAAAAAAGTGATTTATTGAACCACAAGGTAGTCCACCCCTTGTATGTTTGTTGGTTAATTACTCTATCAATATATATATATATATATTATATATATAAATGTGTATATAACTATTTAATACTATATATACCATGTTGTTAACCTAGTTATTTGCACCACGTCTTGGGGCCCATATTGTTAAACCACAAATACACCAAATACACGGGAATACTCTGCAGCTGCATGTCCTGAAGCTGCATGAAGTTGCCGCTGCTGAATGGCATAACGCATCTCTTCGTACGTTCTGAAGCCAGTCACAGGTGTGACTATCCTCAGGATGAATCTGCAAGGCATCAAAACCTGTCATGTCCTTCAAGGTGTTGCCCCAGTTCATTAGCTAAATTGGTGCAAATAGCTTCAATAACCAGCGGTTTTATGGCAAATATATCGATGGTATTCTACGGTTGATAACGGTTACCTCCTGAAGCGCCTCTTCTCTACAAACACAATGACTATTGTGTTAAATGGGTTTTAGCTGTAGCTGTTAATGGATGAGGTGCCAAATTCACATGTGAACGACTGATTGCAACCCTCACAAAGGGACGACAAGAAATGTATGATTCTATGTGGACAACTCCTAGAATTCATCCAATCTAATTCCGTTTGCACTGATCTAAATGTGACACACCTTAAATTCTGAGAATCGATGTCCATTTAGATGGAGAAAGTGAGGTTCAAAACCATGAGACCCTTCCCAGCATTTTCAGACAGACCCAAACAGCAGATTGCTGGCTATCTCCCCTACACTTGGACGTCATGAAGGGCCATAAACAAGTTTAACACAAAAACGCACAATCCTTGTATGACCGAAATGCTGGATTTCCCATTGGGGAAAAAATAAGCAACACCAAAGATTATATGTTATATCTAACATATGTATATAACATATCATAGAATTCCAGAGTGACTGCTTTAAGACTGACCCCCTTCGGGGGCAAAATCAACTCTTATCCTCTCTAATCCTCTCTTATCCTCTCCTATCCTCTCTTATCCTCTCTTATCCTCTCTAATACCCTCCCATGGTTTTAAGGGAGTGACCCCCTTAAAAACACGAGTTTTTGATAGTTTGGCTATATTAATCATTCAAAAATGAATACCCTCTCATGGTTTTGGGGGAGTGACCCCTTTCACCATTTGTTTAGTGGGAAATTGTAGTAAGGATGGCACATTGAAGCTCAAGAAGAGCGCTTCCAACAAATAGGAAGAACACCGACACATTTCAACTGAGTGGTGCAAAAAAACGTGGTGGTTTCAAGGTGACCTGGAGCTTGTGAAATCACATGAACTTTACCATTTTGGAATTTCAACTATTATTTTTAAGAGTAAGTAAGAGTCAATAAGAGTCAATAAGAGCAAATAAGAGCAAATAAGAGTAGCAAGGGGGTCACCCTTAACACCATCACCTTGGCTTTCTATGAACATAATGAGTATATATATATATTATCGGGTTGGTGGTATACCTACCCCTCTGAAAAAAATATGAAAGTCAATGGGAAGGATGACATCCCATATATTATGGAACATAAAAATCATGTTTGAAACCACCAACCAGTTATATATATATATATAAATACATTCCCACCCTTGCATCCTTCTTATAGCGTGACGCCATATTTTCCACATCTGCCAGGAGACCTGGTCCATCTCACCTCCAAGAATTCCACGGTCAGCGGATGTATCTGGAGCGTAACATCTGGGAATCCAATCAGACTTGGTATGGGAAGATTCTATGGAATATCTATACCTTGGTACTGATGGAATATATAGAATGATTATGGTATATATATATATATATGTATATATATATATTGGAATATATATAAGCGATATTTGATATGGAAAATACCTGGTATGGTATATGGTTGATTTGATGGAATGTATAATGGATGGAAAGGCTTTGACTTTTTCGGGGAACTTCATGAGATCAGATTCTGTAGAGGTGATCTTTTCAGCCCATGTACATGGTACAACGTTATCCACATGAAAAGCCGATAAACAAAAAAACGCTGAAGATGACTAAATCACACACCAAAACATGGCAATTGTTGTTGCTGCATGTTGATTGATTGAATGAACAGTTCCAAATCTTGAGGAATTCAATCCCAAGGATCTGTTGGTGACATCTTGAGTTGTTGCTGTTTGAATTCCCACTTTCATCTCACCAAAAAAACACCACATCACCCAGTGTTGTTCTTAAACCCTCATATTTTCCCTGGTTTGCCCCCTGTTTTCGGTGCTGATTCAATCCCAATTTACTTTGCCAGTTTAACCCTATTGGTTACATATTTTCTGGTTCAATCACAACTTCGAAGCCTTCACACCTTGCTGGGCTGGTTGAATCCCACCTTTCTGCTGCTTAAGCCCTTTGTATAAATATCTGGTAAACAAACAACAAAACTATGGAAAATCACCATTGTGAATGGCTAAAACGGCTAAATCAACTATTTCTATGTTCATTGTTAAGAACAAACTGTTCGTTTATAAGAGGGTATATCCCATGATCATCCCATTATTCACCATTGTTAACCATAGAAAATCACCATGTATAGTGGTTAAATCACCATTTTCCTATGGTTTTCCTATGGTTAACCCATTGTTTAACCATAAAACATCACCATTCAATCCACCATTCCCGTGACCGCCTCCATGGAGGCATCTGCGCGAATCCGGGGTAGACGGGCACGGGAACCTCAACGACATGGCACGGGCAGCGATGGGCAAACCATGGGGGGAAACAACGTGGTTATGAGATGTTAAGGAGATGTAAATGTTATGAGATGTAGATTTTGTGAGATGTAGATGATGTGAGATGCAAATGTTATGAGATGTAAGGCCTCAAAAAATGGATGGACACATTTCAACAATAAGATCAGCAACAACATTTGAATCACAATCAATAACAGCGGTTCTAAATATAATATAACAATAGATAAAATTCAGCAAATGTCTACATCCAAAGTGTATGTACATGATCGTACACGAAATAACGTCAAAGAAACACCGGCAAGGTCCTCATCCATGTTCCAAGGTCAGTCGCATACTAAGTCCAGGTCATGAGTGGTTTTAACTGACCCATCCGAAAAAAAAAAATGGTCAATTGGGATCATCATAGGTAGGGTCCAAAATATACAATGTTTGAAACCAGTAGTCAGAAATTATATACTGTACATTGTTCAATGCACCCAAATTGAAGCGTCTTCCCACTGGACATACTTTGCGTGAAGCAACAATGGGGTTGGGATGGTTTTGGCATATCTTCCCATATCTAATTCTGATCTACATATGCACTTATCCCAGCACATCATGTTTCCCAAACAAGACCATCCGCATCGATTCAACCCATACACTGTGGCACCTTCAAATGCATGAAGTCGCTTAGTTGGTTGAAATCACGAGGTGAACGGCTCAACGACATGGGAGACCTGCTAGATCTGACGTGCATCCACAGCCATTCAGCCCATCATAATAGCCCATGTTTTAAGAGGGAGGTTGATCATGTAATGATATACTGTTTACAGTATATGAGTTGGTGTAATGATGCCTTATATATATACATATTCACATTATTACTGTCATTATCATTGCAATTATTATTGCTCTTATTTTTGTTATTACTACTATGTATATATATACTAGCTCACATATTATCCCACCCAAGTCAAGGATCCATCCTTTCGTTTGAAGAGGTCAATCTGATCCAGCAGGAAATGTTTGTCGAACTTTGCTTCGTGCCTGATACCGAGATGTCACAGAAATGACACTTCAATGGCCTAAATGTGGCACAAATGTATCATACAACTATAACCTCCACACCCCGCCTGCTGCTTTAGGGGGAGCATAACCCAGCCCATCCCCAAAAATGACTTATCTGGAGACCCTAAAGAGTGTTGTTTAGCTGGATATCATGTTCCCCCACTTTTATGGGGGGTTCCATAAATGGAGATACCCAAAAATGGATGGTTTCTAAAGGGACAATTCCAATCCAATATGGATGATGGTACGGGGTACCCCTATTTTAGGAAACCTCCATATGGCAATGTATTGCAATAGTAGGCAACCCATCCAAGGTTTCATGGCTTTTTGTCTCAACAACAAGTCAAATTCTTACTCCATATATGGATCAAATAAGATAATCCGGCAATGAAAACATGAACATACTAACATAGACCCTGCCATGAGCTGGGTTTGAAAGACTACTTTCCTCTAACGACTGAAAATTCTAAGATTCTGAGGGTTTATGTCAGTTGGGAATATTAAACCATTGAAGCAACTAATTATGGAGTTATTCAATGGTTTCTAAGAGATTCTCAGGGTTTCTAAAATCTCCATATCAAACCATTAAAACCTCGGCCACGCCACTCGAGCATGAAGTCGCGACTACTCTGCTGCACCACTCGTCGAATCGTCTCCTGACCTGTAGCTGTCACACCACGACAGCGAATCAGGTGATCTTATGAGGGGCTCAACCACAATCATAATCACCTCTAAAAAAAAAGAAGTCATGTTAATGAATCATATTCCTATGCACTAATGTTAGTTTTTTTCTATGCACCATTCCCAATTTTACCATAAATGTGTGGGATACCAATCAAAATATGGATGATTTGTTGTTGCGTTGCTAACATGAGTCTGGTTTTCACTCATAAATGTGAGTTGGGCATTCCGCGTTTTGCTTCAATCAAAGTCCGGGAGATTTTCGCCAAGCAGCCCGTGGTTTGGGATGAACATCGACCACCGGAATAAACATATCAAAAAAAAACGGGTTGTCACTCTGGAGATGGCCATGTTCAACCACCAGATCCAGCAAATCACCACGAAATCTTCACAGGACAAGGAAAATAAGACACAAACAACACCAGCAACTTCATTGCGTGACACCAAGTCGTGTTTGTTTTCCAAACAACGATCTGCGCGGCCAAAACGAATCCCCAACCTGGCTCATTGGCCAAGAGGAATCTGCCCAGTTTGCGAATCCTTGCAGCTGCAGACATAAATTCCTGGTGTTCCCTTAAACCAAACCATGATGGAGTTCAAAAAATACTATAAGGATCTATAAGGATGATACGAGGTATAGACAAGACAGCGGCCAAAATGACAAATATAGGGATCAAAAGTAACATGTTCATACATTTCTGACAGATTTACAACAAGAATGGAACTAAACATCAGTATCCAAGCTAATTAGAACATTGAGGAGGGAAACTACCAGTAGTGAAGTGCTGGAAATAGATACGTATTACTTCCGTCTCGAAATGGTCAACCAAATTGTATTCTTTGTCAATTTGGTCATTTCAACATCTCCGAAACCCGAAACATGTTTGGGATCCTCTAAGAACCAAGCTGAACTAAGTTCATTTGGGTATGAGATGGGATGAGTCCCCCAACTAACTACACTCACAATTTACATCGTTGCGTCGGGACGTGACATCGCAGAATAATCTATCCAGATTTATGATTATATATCACCAGATATATCCAGATATCATATCAAACTGGCTATATATCCTCTAAAATCTCCTGACATAATCATCGTTATCCCAGAACATATCCCTATGAATTCGGCATGAAACCCTATGAAACCCTACATAATCCCTTCAAAATACCATGATACATACGTATATAATATATATTATAAAATAATATTATATCAAATCAAGTTAAATCATATTATATAAATATATTTATTTATTTATTTATTTATTTATGTTATATCAAAATATACGCATGTAAATCTATAATATAATATTAAATCATATTATATTATAACATATTATATTATAACATATTATATTATAACATATGATATCATATCATATTGTATTGTATCAAATTGAATTATCATATTAAGTTATATTATATTAAATTATATTATATCATATTAAATTATTATATCATTTTATATATTAAATATTATTATATTATGCTTAAATTTTGATAGTCATATTATGTTATATATATATACATGATTGTTATGATTATTTTTAATATCATTATTATTAATATTAGTGCTACTATCAATATTATTATTATATATGTGTCCCCGACAAACAGAAAGCTATGGAACGCCACCATCAAAACAATGGTGAATCATCGACATGAATCGACATGCAAACTGCTAAATTACCAGAGGGTCATTGGCTATCTTGCTAAACTTAAGCATTACACATCCCTATAAAATCCCCAAAAGAACCCCGTCATACCGTCATACATGTATACGTATATAAAACCATATGGTATATATCAATATATGATCATTTAACAAACATACGAAATCTATATATATATATCATATGTATGTCTATCCCATGGCAAAAAACAATGATTTCCTGCAGGAATTTCTACGCATCAACTTGGCAAGGCACTGCGTGGCAGGATCCGCAGCAAAGTCCTGGCGGCTCAGCAAAGGTCTGCAGTGAGATTGGGGAAAAACGGAGCTGGTTGTTATAGTCCTATTCAATAGAAAATCATCTGGTCTGCACAGAGATCTACAGAGCATCAAAAGGTCAGCATCAAAACTTTAAATCAACATTCACTGTGTCTATTGTTATGAATATTCAAATCTATAATTATGAACATCCTAATCTATCAATTTTCCCAATCATGATCATCGATTATCATCTAAAGTTTAAAGATGTTTAAAGACCGTTCAAATGGAAACTCATCTGCAAATGAGCATCTAATAGGGATATGAGTTCTCGTCGGGATTTCTCGGGGTACTCCATGGGATTTCGAGCGATACTCCATTGGGATACCATGGGAATATACCTGCAGCTTGTAATGGGAAAATCGTAGGAGATTTCATGGGAAAATATGGCACTATAAATATAAATGGAGGTTTAGTTCGCTCGGAAAATCATGGAACTAAATGTGAGATTTATAGCTGGCAAGCCATGGAGCTGATTGGCAGAAAGTATCGCTTTCTGGCTGGTCTTCCAAAAGGAACATGTACAGAAGATCATTGGAAAGATACGTCTTATTGAATAGGAACAATCACCTGCTACCTTTCTAAGATTCGAACATATGCACAGCAAAATTTGTGAAACACATGTACCGAAAAAATGTTTTCTTCAACATTTGAATATCACGGCAGCAACAAAGAATCAACACACAAGGCACCATGTCATGAAATACACCATATGAAATTTCTGGAAATAACATCCACTGGTTGATCGTCATTTTCCCTAGTAGAACAACCATATAAGGGGTATAGCACATTCTCTGGGCAGGTCCATGTCATGAAACAAAAAAACTACCTTGACTCTCAACCTCCCCAAAGTACCTATGAAAATCATGTAGGTACATATGATTCATATGATGATGTTTTATTGCTACATTAATTGATGAGAAACCATTGGATGGTTTTGAAAGATCAAATATGGGTTTCTCATGGTTTCTCTGAACATCTCCTGTTCCATCCACTGATTCATCCCGCATCCCCAAAAATTGGGCGGCTTGCGCGCCTCGTAGGTGATCCAGAGAGCCTGGAGCGATATCAAAATTTCAGACATTGATCATCCAAGTGCAGTTCTGAAAAAAAGTCTCTAAGATCATCCCAAATGTTCAACAGATTATTCAACTATATTCCTATCTTGGCTCCAAACCAGATAATCCAGATATAATACCATTTCAAGGTTGGAACGCCTGAGACGGACGGGAGGGCCAGTTGTGTTCACAGCATTCTTGGTGACACACATGTTTCATATCATTGCCAAAGTGTGTCCATCGCCCCGGGGTTTCCAGCTGGATCATCATCTGCCAGTCTGCGAATATCAGATATATCACGAGTAGCTGACCACTGTCAACAAAGTCAACTTGCTTTGTCTCTTTTTAACCTTTTAAAGGTTTCGTTGTCAGTACTGACGCCACGCTCAGAATTTTGGCGAACAGAAAGTGACATGTTGGCCCCCCTCCATGGCAATGGACGATCGTAACTTTCACCGGACCTCCGGCTTCGTCCAGCAACACTGGTACCAATCCACGATGTAGCGCCAAACCTCCTGATGTGGCCCAGCACATCCCAGCCTCTCCCCACGGGTTTTGGGGATACCTAAGGGGATTTTTACGGAGCTATCAATCATCCCAGGTATACAAAATGGGCCACCCCAGTTAGAAGTTTAGAAAACATCATAAACCCCATTTATTATAGCTATCTATCGCTATCTCTAGCTATATCATGCTATATCTCCCATAGACCATAGCTAACCCAAGCTAATATAGGGATGGACAACCGACACATGCCATGGTCAAGTTAGATGGTATTCATTCATTGGGGCCATCCATCCGATCAAGGGAATCCAAACATCAGGAGACATCATGGCTATTGAAATCCAAACAAACATCACTGGATCCATGACCATATCCCAATATGGGAACACTGGATCCATGTGTTGACCATGGCACTTTTCTATGTTTTTCTCATGTTTCTCTTTACAGTCGTCGATCCACAATCGACCCCACCCAGCAGTCATTGCGGTTGACCCGGGCAAAGATGCCAGAAGTGAACAAATTCAGGTTCATCTCTCCCGGTTTGAGTCCTGAAACTTCACACGGTTCCGGGGGGACCAAATGGGGCCTTTGAGGAATCTTAAAGACGTCTCTCCTCTGCTACAGCTGAAGGGTAAACTGCAATATACAACTGCAGAAAAGGACATGTGGTTTGATCATCCTCAATATCTGCATATTATTTTGGATAGTGTAACGGTATAACCTAGTATAACCATGTATAACCCCCGAAGAAATCATCAACAGGTTTGTCGAACGTGGCCACTGCTCGTATTTTACAAGTTCAGAAGTTCGTCACTGGTTCAGGTGACAACCACACGTTAATGTCATAATGTGTTTCTGCAAGGAATGTCAATAAGAAATCCCCAATGTCTGGGCATTTAGTTGGAAATTCATATTATATATGTAAATGGGATTTAGTTGGAATTGCGTGAACGCGAGATATCCTCAAAATCTACCAATGCTTCGTATCTTTGCTGAAACTCAACTTCATGCACACCGGCTCGGCGGGCAAGAAGCCCTGCTGGCGAGCGCCTCGCGAGCGCTTCATTCAGGTTACATGAAATTGGGGGACCAAAAAAAAAACATGGGTTTCCATGGGTTTCCATGGGTTTCCATGGGTTTCCAAACTGAACACGAGATAACCAATCCACTGATGTTGAGGTCTCTCATGAGGACACATAAAGTTTACATAAAGGTCAAACCACCCACCAGCAGACCAACCAGCGCAGTTAGTTCTAGTTAGTGGCTATGCAATCACCTGAGTCTTTAACATACAACCGTTACAACGGTGGTGTCCCAAATCCAAAGCCACAGCATCATTTTGGTCCTGCAAGCTCAGCCCACGAGCTGTTGCAAAAGTAGGCATACTGCGATTGCAAGACCTGTTGCCAGGAGCTTGGAGATTTCACCCATGAGAGTCAGCGTTCTGGTGGAACATGTATGACATATCTTGGAACGCATTGCCCCAAGGAATTGCCAAATAGGGATGGCAAAGTAGTGGATGTATTTTAAACACCACGCACAGAATACTACACTTGATACATGTTTTAATTTTATGTAATATTGTATATATATATATATTATATTATATTATATTATATTATTATATTTGTAGTACATCATATAGTCAGCTCAACATGGCATCCCATTCAGAATGGATTTGTGTTCAATCCTGAAAGAAACATCGGATCCACAAACGTACGTGCAAACATTCGATGAATAATTTTGTGCACTTATGCATCAACTGTATGCAGGTTAACTTTGAATTCTGTGTGGGATTCCATGGGTATCTCAAGATTGGGCACCTTGCAGAATGGATGGTTCATCCGATACTGTAAGAATCAGGTGTCCCTACAGTTATGGCCATTTATCAATTATAACTGGTTATAAATGGGATTATATATTCTATAAATGGGGTTATAAGTACTTATAACTGGTAAAGGGCCATAACTGTAGTTTTGTGGGTCCCAAAACTGACCCCTTGATGACCTGCCAGTGGCTTTGCATTGAATCTACACCATGCCTGCAAGGGCTCACGCATTAGCACCACGTAGCGGACATTGGATGGCAAAGCTCCGAAGAACCTCACGGTGCAACCGCCATGTTCTTCTGAAAAATGGCCATGTTATCTTTCGCATTATCTTTCGCACACTATTTTTGGGGTTAGTAGTTAGTATTTAAGTTTGTAATAGAGCAACAAGTAACGTCATCTAAGCATCATCTACAGAAGCCAATATACAATTACAGTACATGTTTTTGGGGGTGGTTAAGTTCCCCTCTGTACAACAAAAATACCTTGGTTTATGGCATCGTCATGATGACATCCTTCGCCATAACTTTTGGGGCGCCTGTGAGAGAAGAAGAGACGAGGGCTCAGACTTTGCGCAGCTAAGGAGTTGGCAAAGCCCAAGGTTTCCCACCACGCGACCACCTGCAAAATGTCCTTTTTTGCGACGAAATGGCGAATCTGCGGATCCGCGGATCCGCGGTAAAAACCCAGCAAGAAGCCGAATTAGCAGTTGGGCATGGTGGAAAACCAGTCATCTACTGATCATCTACTCATATTCAGGATAGTCTTTGGTTTACCCAGCAAGAATCAGCAAAACATTCTCCTTGAGTAGTGATTACTTTGACTTCATGCCAGTGGATAGGTGTCATTTCTGATTCAACCGTCAGATGATGTCACTGAGAGAATCAACCAAAGTTTGTTACTCTGCTCAGTGGGATACGTGGCTCATCTAACCCAAAAAATACGAAAAACCTCTGCCCTCCGGTGTCACCAAACATGGCAGAAATCAACCATTTAGTTCCACATTGTGTCCCAGCTAGAAACCTCCATTAAGTTCAAAGAATTCCATTGCCATGATTACCAGAGAGTATCCAGCCTCTTCTCCTGTCATTTGTCGTTAAACCACCAGTTGCAAATTATAATAATTCACTTACCTTAAATAGGGCCCACATACTTCGCAATCGGCCCTCCCCCAGCGGTCCAGAGTCCTGTACCCTCACAGCCAATGGTCAGAGAGAATAGGAACAAACAGTTATCACATCAGAAACCCAAAAGAACAAATAAGATGATTACCCTTATTAACCATGATTCCAGTAAGGTCGCCGTGAGGTCCTTATAATTTGTCCAGTTTCATTATGCTCCAAATGCTCAACCTACACACCCCCGCAGCTCCTCGAAGGACATACCTGGCGTGAGTTCGACTACAGGCGGCGACGCAAACACAAACTTCTTTCAATACCTTCTGGTCATTAAAGATATATATAGCTACACAGTAGGGCCTCAAAACGACAGCTAGATCAGCTAGTTGGTTTTAAGACTAGATTAAAAAGGGTTTCTGGTAATTACAACGGTGTACAAACCAACCTATGTACAATTGGAGGGGCCATCTTGTATTGAAAATGGAGAAACACGGCCCATTAGTTTGATGATAAATGCCGTTCTTGAAAACGATGATTTTCAATAGCCAACTGTTAATTCATCACAGTGTAGCCACACTTCACCAACCCTTCGCCAAAAAATGCCACAAATACGTTTCAATTTTCTAGTCATAAACACATGTCCCGTATTTTCCGGTTCTCAATGGGCTACCCCAACCCGTTGGTTCCCCATGAAGCACGACCAATGTTGAATGTTGTTAGGGACACCGCACTACCTGACGAACCCCTAATATTTTCCCATATGAGCAATGTCAGACCTTACAGTCTTGGAAAATCCTCAAAATAATATTGATCCCGTAGCGGATTATTACAATCCCCAATATGTAAAGGGTATATAGTGTATAACATCCAGAATTAAAAAAAAAAAAACTTTCGCCAACCAGCAGCTATCAATTGCATCTCTCATTCTGAAATTGATGCTTAAAGACAATAAACATCATGACATCTCCAAGATATCTATGCGTTTACATATCTCAATCTCCAAGATATTCCAAGATATCAAAAATTGGCTCAACCAGATTTCATCAGATATTCATGACCTCCATGACCTCCATGACTACCATCAGATTTCCACTTCCATGGCACTTCCATCGCTTCGCAGGCCGTGCATGATATGACTCAGCCAGGTGGTTCCACTGCCCGGCACGCCCACGAGGAAGACATCCGACGGCCGCGTCAGGGGCAAGGGATGCACGGCCTGTGAAAGGTGGAGAAAAGACAAACCGAAATCGCCAGTGATTGATATAAGATTATCATTTCGACATTTATATTTATATAGTTATCTATATATATATATAATATAATTATAATATATATATATAATTATAATATATATATATTTATTTATTTATATTTGGTATTATGTGGGTTTGTTCTAAGGTCTACAATAGAATTATGTCAATTAATGTCAAATACATGTGTATAGTTTAATTCGGAAAATTATTAATTGTGATCCATCGATTTTTAGTTACGCACAAATGGAGCTCGTTCAAAGTGCAAAGTGTGAGACGGCTTCCGTGGACACATCCTGTCTGAAGCACCAACACCCAATCTATGCATTCCCACGTCACCAGTTTTGCTCGCAGCCCATGTGAAAAAAGTCCGCCGCAAGATCCGCAAGGACACAGCAAAGCCGGTTTGCCTTTCAGATCATGCTTTTTGCTCCACTCTTCAGCTCATAGGGGCTGTCAGACTGTGAACATTTGACTTCTTCTCAGCCGTTTGTGGAGCCTGACCTATTCCAAGTTGAGTATTTGGCTTTGGCTTTGTTCCAAGCCGCAACAAGTTGTTTCGCTTCAAAACTGATAAATTCTAATTGGATAGGCCTGGTCCGTTGGCTTAGTTTCAAGAAACATATTATCGTTCTGGCTTTGTTTCAAGCCGCATCCATTTGGCTTTGTTTCAAACCTCTTAGATTTCAATCGGACAAGCGTTGAGGTTTTTGCATATCATATGTCATCCAGCTGCTCTTCTATGTTTCCCTACTTTTTCCACGCCTTTTTGATTTTGAAGCCTTTTTTCAAGCCGTCCATTTCTGATGTTAAAGTTTCTAGCGATTCTGGCCTGTTTTTCTCCGCCACTTTTGGCCATAGTTCATCGGGCCTTGGTCAATCCTTCAGGATGATTGGATTCCACACCCTCCATGGTTCGTGTCCCCACTTCTCCCACTGCCAGTCTTGAGTCTTCCACTCTGCCTTCTCCTTTGCCACATCCCGTGCCCAAGGTTTCCACCGGTCAGAGTTATTCCACTTGTCCCAAGCATCCGAACTCTCCATTTACTTTTGGAACCCTGGGCGGTGCAAGACATGGTTCTGTTTCACTGAAAGTTGTTGAATGCTGTGTGTTTCAAGCCTGCAAGGGTTCGAGTGGCGCTTAAAGCCACCCTTTGGAGAAACCAAAGCTGTTTTCCAGATGTATTGAGCCGAAACTCTGCAACCCTTAAAGGTTGAAAACAAGCAGGAAAAATCATTGTTTCCCTTCCACACTTGTCCTTTTTTTTTCCGTGCTACAATACCAGCGGGTAATTCAGCCGCGACAAACAAGGACGGAACAAACACAATGCTAGCGAGACGATGCATGATGCATGATGGAAGGCCAATCACACAAAATGCCACATACAGCCATAGAGCCATATAGAGCCATCCGATATCTACGCAAGTCGGTCAAAGATGACCAAAAATCCAGGAGAAGTTGGGACGTTGATCTGTGCCAATCACTGTTCATGATCACATAATATCACATCATATTATCATATCACATAATGACATAATTAATCAATAATATATCAATATAAATCACCTAACGGCAAACCATATCACATATCCTATAGCTCACATGATCATACCGCTTGTCTGTTTCTTCTTGATAATCAGCCCATCGAAACTCTTCCAGCCCCACCTTGGGTCCCTTCATGGGCAGGAAGAGTTTGGAAAATGCCACAGACGTGAAATTGTCAATCTTCATGACCGCACCTGTGCCATGACAAGGATGAAGGATGAACCCAGATTCGGCCAGAATTCTGATCTCGAGATCGCTTGCGAGTAGCCTCTGGTGATTCCACAGTATTCAAAAACAGCTACATATCCTTACATATCCTTACTAGGTAAACGATCTATAAATGGGCGAATTTCCACAGCTATGAATCCATGATAAACTACCAGACGGCACCAAGAGCAATTAGCCAATTGAATGCTGGATCTACTGTGCGCTTCTGGGATTAGATTAGTCACCAGAAACGTAGGTAACAAAGATATCATGCATACTTTCCCATATCCAGTACTCAAGGTCGTCCTCTCCCAACGTCATTCATGCATTCTCTAAACGAAACCATCTACATATCAGCCACTAGGGAAAGTGGCGTTGGGCATGGGAAAACATGGACCTTTAATTTATATCCAATTTCTCATCAGAATTCCATATCAAGAGCTCATGAAATGGAAAATACTTCGAGGTTGCATTCCATTTAATGATTAATGTTCGCTACCAACCAAAAAGTAAGACTTAAGCTGGGTACCCGGTAGCTATCGCATTTCATTCACGGCACAGGTTTGAACATATATGAAAGACTACCCTTATCGATGTAGCCAGATCTTCAGACAATCATCCCCTACTTTATGCCTATCAATCCCTTTAAATGGAGGTTTATAATGCCAGCCGTGAGGATTAATAAACCCCTCCCGATTAATCAACCATTATTGCCCAAAAAAAAAATGTAATTTAAAAACAGGTGGTCCCCCCGGATTAATAAACCGGCCTACCCCCGATTAATCAACCACCACTTCGGAAATCCATTTTTTTATCCAACATTTTTTATTTCCAATTCTATTTATTTCCAATTGTTTTTTACCTTTTTTTAATCATCATTGTTATACTTCAGGTTTAAGTTGATCATTGAAAATTTCAAAAAACAACTATTCCCCAAATGATCGATTTCTAATTAAAATCTTTATAAAAAAACATCAGTTTGGATAGCTCCCAAAGGGTATAATAACCATGGTTTGCCCCTGATTAATCAACCACCTTTCTGATCCATGAAATTTTAACAAATCCAATGGAATTCTATTAAGATCTAATTGACGTAAGCCATATCCAAAGTTTTATGGTTCAGAATTTTATGGTTCAGGGCCGTTTATTTACGGGTAGTCAAGAAAACTAGCTAGAAGGTACCTACCTACCTACCTACCTACCTACCTACCTACCTACCTACCTACCTGGTGGGGGGGGGGTTATTAATCCGGTGTTGGCATTAGCTGGGAAAATCATCGAACTAAATGATAGAGTTTCCAGCTTGCCATGTTTGATGACACCGGAGGGTAGGCATAAAAATGGGTTATCGGACCGACTAACCCAGAATTCAGATAATTCAGTTATATCATTTTCCCGCAACTTGTAATGTTCCATGGGTCGTCCTCCCCCATTCTTGAGACCATGACTCTTCCTACACTCCTGGGACCCAACTGCCAGCTGCCAAGATGCCGTCGTTGAGGCGTTGGATGCTGCTATCCGACATGTGCGCTACTTTTTCCAGCTCCCGCGGCCCACCAGAGGACCTGCAGAGGGCTGTCATGGAATGGATGGAGATGTTTTTTTCTGCTGCATGGATTTAGTATGTAGGTAACCACCAAAAAATGCCAGACAAAGGGAGGTAGGTAATTATATGTATATGCGCGGTAGGTTCATTGGTATAGTGATAAAAAAAACATGTCCCTATATGGATATGCACGTCCTATGGATGCAGCTGTACCTTCTGAGGAAATCTTTGGGGTATGATTTCAGGGTTCAGCGGTGCCTTCGCAGGTTGATACTCCACAAAATATGCCCCAAATGCAGGCCTAAGGCCAGCAACATACAGTTGGTTCGGGTCAAGCCACTTGATATCCAGAAAGATGGAAAACGCCAGACAGCTGGTGCAAACAACAAGCCACTTTTGTGGATCCCAGGACCCGACAATTTTAGGATGAATGGACTGAACATTGCATAAGCCCTGTCAGAGGGGTGGGGTGGCTGCCGTAAAAGAGCCCAAATCTTGAACTGTGAAATCCCGGGATGATCCAACTGAGGTATCTATGACTAGCATCTTAAAAAACTGCCCTCCAGCCAAACATGGCAAATGGAAACCCGCTAGAAACGTGGAAGTGTCTAGCTGGGAAAAACATGGAACGAAAAGCTTGATTTTCCAGCACGCCATGTATGAGTTCACTTGGATCATCCCATCACAATGTAAATAAAAAAAACGGTTCAGTGAGCTTTCTATGCCAAGTCTGGCCCAAAAAGAACATATCACAACCCATTTTTTGGCCATGGAGAAGTGTAAATTCATGATTTGCATGCAAATGATAGTTAGCAATTTACAAATTTCAACTTACCCATTTATAGGTTATAAATACCATAATCAGTTACCAACCTTTTACCACCTTTGCAAACTGACGCAACCTGCTTGGTCGTTTCAACCCATCTTAAACATAGTCAATTTGGTTCAGCATCCAATTGAAAGGATTAAAAATAACAAACATTTGAACCACCAACCAGAAAACATACTTCACTATACCAATCAGATTCGACAAGAACAAAAACAACTGGATCCAGAGATAGCCTTCATTAGCATCTAAACAAAGATTCCAAGCAAAATGTGTGCCACTTCGTCCCACCTCTTCACCTCCCATGGGTTTACCATGACCAGCGCAAGCAGCACCAGCAAACAGCAGCCGCAAACGGCACCCAGGCGCCAAAGCAGCGTCACTTCGTCGCTCTGCGGTTCCGGACGAGGCAATGTGTTCCTGGAGATCCACTTTCCATAAAACAAAAGGTACCGCCAAAATGGATACTGGTTGGTGGTTTTAACCATCTTGATACATATTAGCCAATTTTTTTGGGGTTTCCATCAATGATGGTACCCCCAAAATGGATACTGGTTGGTGGTTTTAACCATCTTGATACATATTAGCCAATTTTTTTTGGGTTTCCATCAATGCTGGTACCCCCAAAATGAATACTGGTTGGTGGTTTTAACCATCTTGATACATATTAGCCAATTTCTTTGGGTTTCCATCAATGACGGTGCCCCCAAAATGGATACTGGTTGGTGGTTTTAACCATCTTGATACATATTAGCCAATTTTTTTTGGGTTTCCATCAATGATGGTACCCCCAAAATGGATACTGGTTGGTGGTTTTAACCATCTTGCTACATATTAGCCAATTTTTTTTGGGTTTCCATCAATGCTGGTACCCCCAAAATGGATGCTGGTTGGTGGTTTTAACCATCTTGATACATATTAGCCAATTTTGTTTGGTTTCCATCAATGAGGTACCCCAAAATCCAAAATGGATACCCAAAATGGTAAACGTTTACATAGCGAACTGGAAAATCACGATTTTGAATGGGTAAATCCACTTTTTTAATGGCAATTTCCAAGAGCTATGTTAATTTACCAGAGGGTAGTTTATAATGACAAATCTTATCAAAATGGATGATTTGGGGGTACCCCAATTCATGGAAACCTCTATATGAGCTACGTCCAAAACTCTATTGCCCCAAAATGGAATATCTATTTTTCCTTCGTTTTAAAGGGTCACCTTCGTTTTACAAGGGTTTCGACCAAACCTTCACAGATATACGTGCGATATCGCGCAGTCATCATTTCAATGGCAGCAGCAATGACGTAGCAATAGCAAAAGTTATAAAAACAGTGCCAGGATGTGCTAGGATTAGTACTGTGACTCGTAGAAGCGACAAAGGTGCTAGAAGAAGCAACAGTGGCAGCGCAAGCAGCAGGAGCAGGAGCAGTAGCAGTAGCAGCGGAGTAGCACTAGCAGTGGCAGGAGCAGTGGCAGTAGCAGTGGCAGTAGCAGCAGTAGCAGTAGCAGCAGCAGTGGCAGCAGCAAGTGACAGCAGCGACAGCAGTGACAGCAAGTCACAGCAGCAGCTACCAGCAGCTACCAGCAGCTACCAGCAGCTACCAGCAGCTACCAGCAGCTACCAGCACCAGCACCATCAGCATCAGCAGCAGCTGCATCAGCAGCAGCAGCAATTGCGGTGATGCCGGCGCTGTTGGTGCTTTGCTGGTGCTGGTAAGACAAATGCCTGCAGCAAAAGCACAACTAGGCCCCGCAGTGGCAATGGTAGTTGTCGCAGTAGTAGCAGGATGGGGAAGAAGGTTTGCCTGCTCCTGGCCAGGTTCATGCCAAGCTGCTTGTCGTGAATTTTGCCTTCGTTTTTGCCTTCGTTTTGGCTTCGTTCCAGAACGCAAAACCAGACGGGAAAACGAAACCGCAGGATGAAAAGAATACTTGCAGGCGGAAAGCAGAAACTTGACAAAATGTAAATGCAGCAGGAGGAAAAAGGAAAAAACAAACGGGACCAACAGAAAGAAACGAAGGCGGAAAGGAAGCCAACAGAAACTGTCACAGGAAAGGCATGAAAGCAAGAAAGGAAACAAAAGGAAGACAAGGGAAAACAGGTAAAGACCAAACGACAATAACTCCATGATACACCATTCTTATCATATCCATTCTTGACATTCGCTGCTCAAATGGAAATCTATCAACAAACTTTAGTTGTAAGGTTTGCCTTCGTTTTAAAGGGTCACCTTCGTTTTTGCAGGTTTTGAGCTATATTCCATTCCAATACATATCCCTTACATAGACCTTTTTGGTGGTAGCCCATATCTCGGGCAGTGGAGGAAGAGAGAACCAACATGGTGAGTTAACATGATTTGACCATGTCAGGGGTTCTTAAAATTGGTGATCACACAAGTCACCATGGGTTTCAATAGAAAAAACGGTCTAATGACTTGGAGGATTTGGGGGTACACCCATTTTAGGAAACCTCCATGTGGGTATGGGTCAGAATGCAGGTCAGAATGAATAATTAGTGCCATAAAATTGGACAATTAATACTACATATCCAATCATATCCACTAATGTGGTCCCAAAGCCACCTGGCCGGCTCTGTGTCCTCTTCTCACGCTGGATGCGTTCCATGATTTCGCTCAAGACATGGGAAGCCAACTGGTCACCTGTCAGGCGTCGATCGCTGAAATCAAAACCCTCATGGATGATGAGTATCCCTGGCACATTTATACATGTATTTGGTAGTATATATAATCCACGAAACAATCATGAAAAAACGGGTGTCTTAAAAAAAATGAATGATCACCACATATCACCACCTTACAAAGACTGACAGCATTTTGAATGAGACATTCGACACTCCAGACATGATCTTGTCCCTGAAATGGGATCAAATGGGAATAAGTCAATACGCTGGTATATCAGAAAGTATCCCAAACATGACCATACTTGTGACTATACTATTACTAACTGATTTTTTTATTTGCGATCTTGCCTTTTTTGGTTGAGTAATCCAATATACTATAACCCAACATATATAATGTATATTATACAAATATCTATATATATATGCATATATATATATATATAACTACAACCAATTTTTCTCATGGGATCGTCATCCTATTGTCATATCAGATATTGACCCGCACCATGGGATCGTCTTCCCATCCTCACGGCCACCTTTGATGATTAAACGCCCGTCACGCAGGGCGTTGAAGGTGCTCAAATTGCCCTTGGCCATGGCAACCATGTCTTCGTCCACGATGCCTAAAAGCCACCCGGAAGTCGAACTTGGTTTTTGTATGTTTTTGTTGTTGGGATGTTCGTGAGCCATGTTTGAGCAACAAAGCGCACAAAGATGGGAGTGAAGGGGAAACAACATCATGCGTAAGCACTGATAATAAGGATAATGATCACCAACTGAACGTAATCAGCAACACAACAACCATCTCAGCTTCAAAAAAAACGTCCCTCAAACAACATTGCGGGATTGGAAGTAAGGCCCCACAATAAATGATAAATGCGACTCCACAGCACTCGACTCGCCCCCACTGTCACGGTGCTCAAGAAGACGTCCGCTTGAGAATCCATGCCAGGACGTAGAAAACCAGATCCATGTTTCAAATCCAAGGTGAAATCGCCCAGAGCCAACTCATTGCTGGCATTTTTGATGTGAATCTGATAGACAAATCCTCAGTGACAGCTGATTGGGTTCAACCAGTGTCAAAGATATCTTGAATCTTGTGAATTGGGTGATGTAGTGTGGGGTCGCTTCGCCATTATCCATTGCCCTGCCCTATGCTAATGAGACTTCCACCTCTTTCATGACATTCTTTGCCACCGCCCCATATCTCACAATGGTCAGATCCCCACTCATAGCGATTGGTTAGCAAAATTACCGTTGGCGGCATGCCTCTTGTCGTTGGGTGTCTCCCGGTATCTACCCAGTATGTTGATCTTGGGTAGCTTCCCACGGATTGTGAGTATGAGATCACCACTCGAAAAACTATTCATTTTGGGGCCCATATATATATAATAATATTAATTAATATTATAATATATATTGGCTACTCAAGATTTTTGGGAAGGGATTACTGTAGTGTCGTATAGCTTCATCATGTTTCATCCAGAAAAAACATGACCAGCGTTGATGATATGGGTATGGGTCAAGTCACTGGGTACCTCAATAATTAGTTGGAGCACGGCCTTTAGAAGGCCGTGCTGTTTCGTGCACATCGGGGGGTTGGGGTGGGGTGGGGTGGGGCATGTATTAACGTTCATGTGAACTTGCGGAGGAAGTACATTCTTCTCGGTGGATTCTAATAAGTACATTGATGCACGGGGTGGGGTGGGGTGGGGTGGGGTGGGGCATGTATTAACATTCAGGCTACGTCATGCTATGCTCGTGTAAGTTCTCTGGATCATTTCATTTACACGTCATGCTAGGCTCGTGTAACTTATACGTCATGCTACGCTCGCATACGCTCGTGTAAGTTCTCTGGTACTTTCATCTGATACGTCATCCTACGCTCGTGAAAGTTCTCTGGTACTTTTATATGATACGTCATGCTATGCTCGTGTAAGTTCTCTGGTGCTTTTCACTGATACGTCATGCTTCGCTCGTGTATGTTCTCTGGTACTTTTCTATGATACGTCATGCTACGCTCGTGAAAGTTCTCTGGTACTTTTCAAGGATACGTCATGCTACGCTCGTGTAAGTTCTCTGGTACTTTTCTATGATACGTCATGCTACGCTCGTGTAAGTTCTCTGGTACTTTTCAAGGATACGTCATGCTACGCTCGTGTAAGTTCTCTGGTACTTTTCAAGGATACGTCATGCTACGCTCGTGTAAGTTCTCTGGTACTTTTCTATGATACGTCATGCTACGCTCGCGTAAGTTCTCTGGTACTTTTCAAGGAGACGTCATGCTACGCTCGTGTAAGTTCTCTGGTACTTTTCAAGGATACGTCATGCTACGCTCGTGTAAGTTCGCTGGTACTTTTAACTGATACGTCATGCTACGCTCGTGTAAGTTCTCTGGACTTGTCCACGTATAGGAATTAGAATTTACCTGCTCACATGGTCTTGAAACACAAAGACCGTGGGCATTCAACGATGCACCCGTCAGTAACACAATATGTGTTCATGTGGTGCTGGCGCTGCACCTTGGACACTCCAGATCCCCAACGGTTCCTGGAAGAACTCGAACAGTTGCTGTGAGAAAAAAAACAGCAGATGTCAGCTGGAATCTTGGGCAAAGTGTCAACAACACAAAAAAATGTGGTTTCGCCTAGGCGAAATGATTGTTTCTGATTTTATGCACCAGAATAAGGGGTCTCTGGCCTTTAAAATCATATCACACCATCACAGGTCGAATTAGTTGGGGAGTTCTGAGAAACATCAAAAATATTGTTTCGCGTAGGCGAAATGCTTGTTCTTGATGTTATGCACCAGAATAAGGGGTTTCTGGCCTTCAAAATCACATCAAACAAAATCCTATTGGCACGACCACATCAAACGTCATCCATGACACCCCGTCGATCACAAAAACACCACGGCCTTCTAAAGGCCGTGTTCCTAATTAGTTAGATGGTCAATACAAACCAAAGATAGACTCAAATATGTCCCTTCTGGGACTTAAATTTTGAGTCATACATGTCATACCCATATACCCTCCGGTATTCATAGGAATTCATGGATCTTGTGGTGGCTTCCATAGGGTTTTCACCAATCGACATGTTATTTTCTTTTCATGGGAATATTCGGAATAGCCTTTCTGATATTATGAGCCAAGCCACCACACTGTCGCACATAGGACTCACCGTTCTTCTCTAAGGCTGCATGAACCTCCCCAAGCAGCGCCTGACATTCCGACATCGAAGCGTCAGTCAGCGTCAGCGATTCAGGTCGTCGCAGCTGGACATGGCTGGGGTGGGGTTGGACGAAAAGGGATGGACATGGCCTGGGGACAGTGGCGGAATGTTTCTTCGGATTCATATGAGTCATATTTATGTACCTGAAGCATACAATGCTGGGTTTTTGTAGTTAGAAAGTTACTTTCCGATTTTTTGTGTAAACAGCTACCCCGGGGTAAACAGTACTATTTTAGATATACATAGATATATATTTAATCTAGGTATAAAAATATATACATTAAACCTCAACCATAGATATACATAGATATAAATATTGATATTGGTATATATATATATCTATATACATCTATGTGACTACGGTATATTATATATATACATATATATATAACAATAGATATACAATATAGAAACATTATAGATGGATATACATTGCAGTAACCATACCCAGGGTTATCTGTCAAAGCCAGTGATACCGCTTGCGTGACACCAGCTGCACTTGGTCCTCGGGCTTCACAGGGCTTCAAGTCGCTGCAGCTGTAACCATGACATGCTGCTTTCAACCAATCCAACAACATTTAAAGGATTACCATCTGGTTATGACTAACATAGCGAACTGGAAAACTTTTCTGAACTAAATGGAGGTTTCTAGCTGGGAAAATCATCTATTTCGATTAGGGCCATCTATACCATGGCTATGTTAAATAACCAGAGGGTATATATTATGAATTATTGTTGTTTATCTATTCATGTACACTATAGTACTGTAGTCTTGTATATTATGCACAATCCCGTGTTCCTGTTCAGTTGTTTTGAAACAATCATGCAACACCATACAATCGTAATGTTTGCACATGCGTGTTGCAACATTTACACAACTACTATAGTAAATTAGGATAAATTAGTATCAATCATCGATTGTACGGACGGACAACACGCATTTGATGGCACCTGCTAACGCTCCCTCAGCTGCCTTTTGTTTCCACGGCTTTGACGTCACCATTAAGTCTCGAGTTTTAAGCAATACATCTGGCGATCTGGCGTCAAGAGAGCTTCATTGGTTTACTAATTGTGATGCCTCACAGCTTGTCCTCCAAAATTCCTACGCATTACAAGGAAATTGATCCAGTTGACCGCTGTGTCAGTGAGAGTCAGTGTCATCTTTGCCAACACCCAGTACTACCATGTTTGTTCATTGAATTTCATTTAAAATTAATATCATATGATATAATTTCATATCCTTTAATTAATATCATTTAGTAATTTCATTTAGTATCATTTACTGCATCCTCCACAGTTATGGCCCTTTACCAGTTATAAGTACTTATAACCCCATTTGTAGAATATATAATCCCATTTATAACCAGTTATAATTGATAAATGGCCATAACTGCAGTACTCAAACGTGGCTGCTGGGAAATTCATCGCACCAAATGGATGCAAATGGATGGCTGTGATTTTCAAGCCACGCGCCAGCCGGAGGGTATCCATTCATTGCCCATCCTTGTGATTTTTTTTTGCATCTTCATATCCTTGTTGGTTGAAAATTTGAAAACTCTAAAAATCATTTCCAAAAATATCTTTGTTGGTTTTTGAAAAACTCTAATTTTCATTGGTGATGCTACACTCAGCAGCGGGTGTTTTGCCAAATTAGGGGGGGGCCATTGGTACCATTGGTTTCCCAGTTTCACGTGACGAGTTTAACTTGGATGATACCGTGGGATCCCATGACGACTTAGAAACCTCAAAACAACGTGTCTCGTTAGATTCCAGTATATCTCCATTGTCGTCTTGTTGCTTGCCACCATAGAATTCCATTATCATTCCAATGTTATTCCAATTTTGGATGATTTTTGGGTCCACCCATTCCAAGAAACAACTCGTTGTTCCAAGTTTTCAATAATTTTGGTGTTTTTCTCATGTTCCACATGTTTCCATAGTTTTTTACGGTCTGTTTACCATATGTTTAGCATCTGTTTTCCATATTTCCACCAACTCACAGCTTGCCAAACGATCGCTGAAACCGCGGCCACACCGCTCAGCCGGGTAGGAGGCTCTGGCGAAAGCCGTGAGCACTCGCATCTCCTCCAACCTTTTGCCCCACCTGCAGCGGGACAGGACGCTGTCCTGAAAGACTTTTGAAAGTGGCAATCATTACCCTTTGGTAAACTAACGTAGCTATGGAAAATCACCATTATGAATGGGTAAATCCACTATAAACTGCAATTTTTAATAGCTATTTTGACATAACCGGAGGGTATCATCATTGAAAAATCGTGTTTTGATGGTGATATAGTGGGATTTATAGGGATTTGGATGGATGCAATGGGAGACTGCGATAATCATGTTACCCCGTGGTAATCAGACGTGGCTGGAAAATTCCCCATTCAGTTCGATGATTTTTGATTCCAGAAGGGTATTGCAAGGGCGGCAAGGGCTACAAATCCAGGCTTCAAGGGGTCCACATGATAGTTATCCTTCTGAAAATACCAGGTTGGTTTCTAGAGAGAGTAGGTGCCACATGACTCCAGTCTCTCAAAGCTGGATGGGATTTGAGAAACATCACCCAAATCACCTCATCGTCAGATATGGCTCAAAATCATCGACCCAAGAAATTGCAGGTGGGGACTCCTTGAGTAGAAAACATTGTCATTTTTAGATATCCTGCATTCCTTTTGAACTGGTTAGTATCCATAATTCTCCTCATTTATGGCCCATGATCATGATCAACTTAACTACCCATCCAGTCGGTTTCCACAAAAAAAACACCCCATGTCTCGACTTACTGGAGCTTCGTATGTAGGGAATGGGGGGAATGATCCAATCCATAACTATGAAAATAACTACAGTATTTTCACAATCATCCCATTCCCTCATTCCCTACATACTAAGCACCAGTAAGTCGAGAAATGGATCCAGTGCTACCCCACCTTCATTGGCACCCACAACAACGCACGGTATCCACTGGCGTTCGCCACCTGGGCGTTTGACCGAAAGACATGATGAAGCAGTGGCTGGAATCGGGTACCCATGGGTACCATATGTTCAAACAATCTCATGTAGTTGACTAATCTGGGATCGTTACCACGCACCAAAAAAAAGTTGCTCAGTCTACTTTGCTAGTTGCGAGTAGACGTTGTAGCCAATAGTCCATTAACATCCATTAACCATCATTCCTACCCATGCTTGACCCAGTAAACTCGGCGAATGAAGAACAGAACACTTTGGCAGGCATCTGTGCCCAAATTTCCTGGCACGTGTTATTTTTTTCGGACGCCGAGCGGCCTTGAATCGAGCCTTTTTTCTAAGGGTTGCAGGGGTTTGCCTGAAAATTGTGGTTAAACCCCACTGCCAAGAAATCATCCAAATTTTGCTCAAATGGCCATGTTGGCGCAGCCCTCTTGGACCCAAATGTGTCTGTGCAAGAAAGGTTTGAAATCAACAAAGGTCACTATGGGATGAATTGTCAGGATGTATCAGGCTCCAACATATGTTCCAATGTAGATACGCATATATGTATTTCTAATTGCACCATGCTTATATGTGATATACATCTACATGGAACAAACACATCATATAATACAGGAGTAGATTAAACATAAATTGTATTCTTTAAAAAGAAACAAAACACAATAGAGACCACATCTGCATCCCACTCCGCCCACTCCCAAACATACGGTCCCAGGAGGCACCTGTTCATATTCGATGCGCAGAATCGCCCAGAAGCTGCGGCGGAAGATCTCGGCCACCGTCATGAAGACGTGCAAAATCTCCCGCCAGACCACGCCCTGGGTCGCCAGTTCGTCACCACAGGGAATGCCAGCAACAAAATGGGGGAAGCTCAAAACAATGGATATGTTGGTACCATAGTGGGAATATAATATATCATAATAAATCAATATGGTATCATAATATCATAATCAAATAATAAAAAAAAAGTGGTAGCATAATGGTACCAGATTGGAAAGCCAAGTGAAGAGCCTATTGAATCCTATTGATATCTTGAGATTTCACCATTTCACCATTTCGGTCCACCTCGAGAGATCCATGGTATCTGGATGTGCGTTTTACAGGCGCCAACATCTGCCAACGAGAAGAAATTCTGGTCGCTTTCTGTTGAAACCCATGAATTCGTATTTGCAATCCATGAATCCCAGCAAAAACACCGAAATTCTTCAAATCACATTTCACCATCTTTCACCATCTTCCCCATATAAAGCCCTTCACAAAACCATGAAAAACACAACCCCTGAAACAAACCTTCGCGCCCAACCATCCAACATCCAACGGTTACACCGACCTTCCCCAGCAACGTGATGGGCATCAAGGTGATGACCCAGGTGCAGCGTAGCACGATATCGCCCAGCACAGCCAGGCAGTAGATGCGCGCCGAGAAATGGCCTAAGGTGAAGGCTGGAACGAGGCGGGCGAGAAGGTAAGGAGCTTGCTGGGTGCCCCAGGATTTTTTAGAGTTTGGATAAATAAAGTCAACCCTGGATACCCTCTGGTAATTTAACGTAGCTATGGAAAATCACAATTTTTAATGGGAAAATCCACTATAAATGGCAATTTTCAACAGCTATGTTAGTTTACCAGAGGGTAAATAAAGCCTTGTGGATCAAGATTGGGAGGGTACCTTCCCAAGGAATGATGACAATGGGACAATCACTGTATTTCACCACCAAACAAGTTGGCAAACAAGTTGGCAAGTTGCTGTTTTTGGCAAACGAGTTTGTTGGCTAAGAAAAGCTTGCTGTCACTAGTTCACTTATATATCTGATATAGTTGAAATCATGATGCCATGTCTATATATATATACATACATACATACTTGAATTATCTTTAGACTCGTTCCTGAAGCAACTACAATTAGACAGATTAGGCAAGCATCACTTGTTGTGGAGCTACCACATGACCCACTTTCAAGCAGTGAGCGTTTCAGAAAATGGTGGTATACAGGTATACCCCCAAATGGCAATTCATTCCCATTCCCCTAATACGCAATACCCGCTCAATTTCTCCATGCGTAAATCTCTACTAAACCTTGGTGTTGAACATTGCGGGTAAGGGATTCATAATGATTCATAGGAAACATGATAAAGATTGATACCCTCTGGTAATTTAACATAGCTATTGAAAATGGTCATTTATAGTGAGTTTTCCCATTAAACATGTTGATTTTCCATTGCTATGTTAGTTTACCAGAGGGTAAAGCATCAACTTTCTTTGGGGTCCCCATTTCTGAGCCAAACCCCTGGTGGGAATTCGTCACATCCGTTTTTTACCCACCAGGCTGCGAGTGTACTGCCCCACGGATGGCCGTGACGCGTGGCCACCAGGCTGCGAGCGCAGGGTCACGGAGTGAAAGGATTGCGCCGGCGAATTCGGGAAACCAGGTCCAGCTGGGCTATGCATGGGGCTGACATATCCTTGGTGCTGAACATTCAGAAAAAAACAAAATGGCTTGGTCCTTGGTTTTGTGAAAAATTGACCATAGCCTTATTTTTGATGAAGCGATTTTTCCCTTCCCCTCTGACAACTTACCCCATGGAAAACCCATCATGTGTAGATCATTTTCCTTGGGAAACCATGGGTATTTCAGTCTGTTGCCTATGTTCACATCAAGGTACATATAATTCAGGCTGCTTATGTCACCCATTGAAAAAAATTGGCTTAGCTATAAAATTGGCTTAGCTATCTTGGGGCCCACACATTGTATAGCCAATCTTGGACACCCTGCGAAAAGCCAGAAGAGAATAGCTGGAAAGCTGGGCAGGAACATAGTGTAATCAGTTAAAGCCATGCTAAAACCATATTAAGACCATGTGATAGATACAACCAGTACTTTCTGGCAAACTAACAGTAACATAACTATGGAAAATCACCACTTTAATAGCTAAATCATCTATAAACGTGCAATGTTCATAGCTATCTTAGTTTACTGATTGGTATCCCAGTTGGAAATTATATCATTTATCAACCTGAAAAAATACCGATAGTAACTATGCTAATGTTTGCAATCCCCATATGTTTGATGGTGATAACACCTACAATGTGGAGCCCCCTCGATATAAGTTGCTTCATAAGCCTCATGAACTATAGTTATAAGTGCCATAAAACATACTTATTGGAGTTAGAAACAAAGCTGGTAATTTGTTACATAGCTATTGAAGCCATGGCCCAGTCCAAATAGTGGATTTACCATTGGAAAATGGTGATTTCCATAGTTTTTTATTAATGTTTACCAGAGGGTAACTCATCATCATCATCATCATCATCATCATCATCGATATACTGTAAATTGTATATACATACAGTACATAATTACATTAACACATATATATATATACACATACACATTCCTATATTATATGCGTGTATGTATATATATATATAGATATACACATGTCACTATTGTATCCCTAGTCCCACTCCTATTCGCCTACACAAATCCCTCTTCGGCCCCGAGCCGCTGGAGCCACCACCGCTGCGTGTCAGAAAGCAGAGCTCCGTGTAGGTCAGGCCCCAATCCATGCAGACGTCCCACCAGGCCGCGTAAACGGTGGCAATGGCCGAGGCAAGGACAACCGTCCTGGCTGGGGTGGATGGGTGGATTTGGAGGGCCCAAAGTAACTTGAAAAACGTGGATAGGGAAGGATCAGGATGATTGATGAGCATCAATTCTGATATGTTGGGAGAGTGATCAATGTAAGGCAATAATGAGTACATGCAAAATAAAACGATAACAATCATAATAATGATCGTAATAATGTGAACGAACACAAATACATACATATATATATATAATTATACTTATCTTGTATTTACCTCATGTTTGAGGGGACAGCTTCTTTGGGACTCAACATTTAGAAGAGCCGTTTTTTTATGGTGGCGAAATTGGTGAAAGTGCCTAGATATTTGGCCTAAAATAAAGCCCTCATGGAGAGCTAATGGGGATCCTAAAATAAATCCTGCAGCTTCAGCTATACCGCCCTTTTCTTCCAGTTACATGTCAGGCAACTCCTAGGATCAGAGGTGAAATTGGTAAAATCACTCTGGTTACCTATCTCAAAGGTAATTGGAAGGTTAGGTCTGTATAAAACTCCATGTTACTATGTTTTATCATCATCTGGGTCAGGGCGTCATGATGATTAGAGAATAGGTGATTGGATTGATGGGGAGGAAATCAGGTCCAACTCATGATCCACAAAATACACCATTCACTGCTGGTCATTAAGCATCATCAGCCCTCACTTCTTGGATGATCGGGTAGCTTAGAAACCCAAACCTTCTACCGGCTTCTACATGGAGATTCTAGACAATTCGTCCGAACATCTTCCAATCAACTTTCATCACAGCAGCTACATCGAACTGCAGTTCCAGTCATAGGCATCCCGGCATCGCCCGTGATGTATCCGAGACTCCAAATCGGCCAGCCCGGAGAACTCACAACAACCACCATGAGACTGGAGGCATACTTCCCCAGGTTCAGCAAATGTCGCTTTTGACCTGATCTTTTCAAAGGATGGGGACGGTTCGGAAGTCGGAGGTCCGGAGTGTCAAGCGATAACTGCCTCTGGGCTCTGGTAATTTAAGAGTTGTCTGTTGAAAATGGCCCAGTGAGTTTGACGATTTACCTATTCAACATGATCATGTTCAATAGCAATCTGCTAAATGACCAGAGGGTAGCTCATGGTGTACTCACCTGAATGCCAAGTCATGCCTCAACGAACATCGACTGATAAGTCAGGAACGGCCAATGGTTTTTCAATGCTGAAAAGACATTCATTCTGGGAGAATGCCGAAACTAAGCACCACACCCAACCTAAAGTGTAGCTGAATAGCATTTGGGATATTATCCCCAGCCCTAAAGTCCAGTGGATGAGAAAGTCTGTGGGACCCTGCACAGCAAATCCGGGCATCATATGGCATTCTGGGCGCTTGGTGGGGCGAATGCGATATAAGAGATACTCTGTTGAACACCACCATTAAATCACCATTTTCCTATGCTTTTCCTATGGTGCTTCCAATGTTGAACTAGAACATCCACCACAGCGATATTCAAATTTCCAGTTAACATCTTTGATGACAAAGTGGTAGTAGTTGGCATCCTCAGTTTTTACGTGGCCCACAAGCCCCAAGCGATTTCCATTGTGCAAAAAGGGGCCGGTATCATAGAAACGCCGAGCGCATTGAAGTAGCCGAAACCAAAAGGGCAACGCTGCGATCAGTGGAGAAACGATCAAATGTTCCTTGGATCTGCAGCACAAGATGGTGGTGTACCCCACCCCACTTACCCTCCGGTAAACATACAAAAAACTATTGAAAATGGCGAAATAGTTGATTTACCTATTAAAAATGGTGATGTTCTATAGCTATGTTAATTTACCAGAGGCTAAATCCAATATCATCCCATTATTCACCATTGTTAACCCATTGTTAAACCATAAACGCCATCCTTAAATCACCGTTGATAGTGGTTAAATCACCATCTTCCTATGGTTTTCCTATGGTTTTCCTATGGTTTGTTGGCTCAGCTTAAGCCTGTTAAAACCCATGAACCATAGATATATCTACCATAAACATCCACAGTTTACCTGGTGACTTGGCCTCCCCCAACAAAATGAGCCATGCCCAATGCACAATACATATACATATACATAAAATATACAATACATAGTATATAATGTAATAATATATACATACATACATACATATATACATATATATATATTATTTTATACTATATATTAAATTATATATCATATATAATAAATAATATATTATATATTGTTGATTAACAATGATATCTTATGTATTAAATATTATATATTATATATCATATTATATATATATATGTTTTATAAATATAATATATATATTATTATTATTATTGTTATTATTATTATTATTGTATATTATATAACTATATATTACATATTATATATTACATATTATATATTACATATTATATATTACATATTATATATTATATATTATATATTATATATTATAAATTATATATTATATATTATATACTATATATTGTATCTTATATATATATATTACACATAAATTATATATAAACTGTATATTATATATTATATATGATAAATTATATTTTGTATAATATATATTATGTATTATATGTATTATATATTACATATTATATATATATATCATATAATAATGATAATAATAATAAGAATAAATATATATATATAATTATATATATATTATGCGTATAGTCCCAACACACAAGCTTTATTAACACACCACAGCATTGGTATCGGATTATCTATACGTACATCACACTGTTTTGTTGTCTTACTTGCCTTTAAGATTCTGAGTCAACATGGGATACCCAAAATGGCCCAGAGACCATACCCATTCCATTCCCGCGAATCTTGGGATGCCCACAAATAGCCATTTAGGGGGGGAAATATTATGATAATTGATAGGAATTGGGGGTTATTCTATTTTCACACAAACCCATAGCCTTTCGGGCCTTTCGTATCCCTAGATTTATAGGTGTAGGTGAGATCTTGTTTGTAATCTGTTCGGGTGCAACATGTGTACTGTGGAACGCCCAACGATAACGCTAACACTATTTCAAGTTTCAACAAAGCCACAAATGATGGACTTCTTTTAAGGTCAAGGAAACCTCCCATTCAGGTATGATTTCCAAACTTACATTAATTAAATCAGCTATATCACCATTTCTTGGTTAAATCCCTTTTTTTTGGTGGATTTCAATCCCCGGAATATAATCCCAACTGTGAAGAAAGCAAGTTAGAAATCCCATATGTTGGTGGATAGCTTCCCTGGCTGCGTTCTGCCAGAGGTCCCAGGCAGGACAGGTGTTGCCGCTGTTCACGAATCGTTCCATCGAGGAGCGAAGCTGCGGGTGGTGAGAACCTCAGCTGAAAATGGATGTGTTGCTCCCCCACTTACCCTCTGGTTATGACTAACATAGCTATTGAAAATGGCCATTTATAGTGAGTTTTCCCATTAAAAATGGTGATTTTCCATAGCTATGTTAGTTTACCAGAGGGTATGGCAAGGGGTACAATGTCAACCCTGGATGAGACCCCTAGGCTGCTTAATTGGGGGAGTTAGCAATGAAGTATCATAGTATGACTATTTGGAAGGTAGCCTCACAATTCATAAACCATGGTTTATTCATCCAGGGTTGACATGAATGGTCTAGATAATAATCCCAGAATGGTTTGGCACATAATAAATCCCTAATCATCACCAACGATACTTTCTACAAGGTGGTGCCGCCCTGTGATCTTTCTGGGTGTCTAAAACCCCCGTAACGATGGCAATATATCGACCATAAGCCATTGCGCAGCAATAGTTAAGCTAGTGATTTGAACAACATTTATTCATTGTTTGGGGGCCCACCTTAGCTTGCGGGGATATTATCGAAACTGTTTTAAGTACCACATCACCCAAAATGTTGAGTCATTGGTGTATATTCATGGTGATATTGATGGGAACATAATAGAATTGTGTTGGGACATAGGTGCGATTGGACCTCAACACACCAAGGGGGATTTACCCAGTGATGGCTAGTAGCTAGTAGGCATACTTCTGGTTGATAAGATAATGCCATGAATGAGGACTTAAGATCACTGGGGTTGTTAGCAGCTTACTAAGTGGGATGATCCTTCAAATAGGGGATGATGGGGGTTATCACCAACAGACCAATCCAGTAAACCACAAAAATGTGGATACAAGTCTGATAAGAGTAAACACGTTGAATCAACATTGTTGATTGATTTATAGGGCAATTTGGATGGTCTCCACAATTCTGAACTTGGAAGTCCAGCGCTATAAGCAGGAAGCTGAAACTGGTACGGTCTCTGAAGTTCCCAATGTGTTGGAAGTGGCTTCCCAGCCTGAGCCAAAATAAAACTGACCATCAATCGTATAACTTCAGTTCTCATCCTATAATCAAACGTAGTAACGGAAATCCTCCATTTAGTTCGTTGATTTTCCCAGATATACATAAACCTCCATGGCTAGTTCAGAAATTTCCAAGCGGCCCGGTATCTCTGAGTTCAGTGCTGAGATAGCAGAAGGCTGCTGGCACATCCTGAGCGATGAATTTCACCCACTATCCTGATCATAAATCCTGGCAAGGATGAAACATAGAAAATGATAGGTTTTTTGTCCAGCCAATATGATGGTTTTGCCAACAATGATATGGATTTTCTTGGGGATATGGGGATTAAATTGCGATAGATTTAAGGAATTATATTAATTAATAGGCTTCGGCACTTTCATAACTTGAAAAGCCTTGAACAGGAAAGGACACAGGGAGATCAAGTTGCAGACCTCAGCCTAAATTTCTGCTAGAAAGTCATGGGTGGATTGGTTTAAGGGAAAAATGGAACCGGAAAGCCCCATGATCTTCATGGGAAAATCTATGGTTTCCTGTAGATGTTCCCTTTAACCAATCCATTGATTAATGTGAGTATGGGTCATCCATCGGTTTCCCACGAATCTGTAGCTGATTGGATGATCAGCAGGAGATTCGACCATGAGAATGTTGTTTGGTTTCAGGTCATCAGTTCCATATACCTTCATACATGTTTTGTATGTATATATATATATTAATATTATATATATAGATAACATATTGTCTATATACTTATACACAATGATAATCAATCTTCATAATTGACATAACTCTATGTGCAAGCTCAGGATAAATGAACATAATTAGCAAATAACTAACCTTCACTCACCTCAAATACGGAAGGTTTAGCTATGTACCCCATAATTACCCTACATTTATCATTCCTTTCTCAAGTGTCTGCGCCAGGTTACGCGTAATGGGCGAGCCAAGCTGGTCAGCACATCACCTCGATTTCCACCGGCGCTTTTAGGGGAAGTGAGGTGAAAAACGGTCGTTTCCTACGAATTCCAATTAAGTTTCCTGACCAGTTTCCAATACGTTTATGAGGTGTCAAAGGGAAAACAACTTTTGGTTCTTTCGACCAATCATTGAGGGCCCTTACATATACACTATAGAACATTACATTGTATCTGGGTTTGTCTGAGACTAGGGTACCCCCAAATTCCATAATTTATCATCACATTCCCACATTTTCCCTATTACATAGCCATTTGTTGGGTATAGTACGGTATAACCCATTTCCAGACACACCAATTAAGATCCAATAAGTATATATAGAGGTTTCCTAAAATAGGGGTACCCCCAAATCATCCAAAATTAGACTATAGTATTAAAATCCATGGTTTTGAAGGTACCCCTTTTTCAGGAAACCTTCATATGTATTATATACATTTATAACACATGTATATACCATGTTGAGGATCTTCCTGAGATTCGAGCCCACCATGTTGTCTCCGAAGTTCACAAAGTAGAAGGGCGCCTCGGTGCAATGGAGGTTTAATGGGAAAATCATAGGAAAAGGTGGGAAGAGATGGGAAAATCCTATTGTAAATGGAAGGTTTATAGCTGGGAAAATCATCGAACTAAATGGGGTATTTTCGGTATTTTCCATTGCCATGTCGGCCATGTGTCATTACCAGAGGGTAAATGTCATGAATTACACCATGCTATTCAAAGTTCTGGACCCCCCCGAATTCTACCCAATTTACCAGTTTTCTATGCACAGGGAACTCTATGTGTATGAAAACATGGAACAAAAGCAAGTATGCAAAAAGGAGGAAAACATACATTCATGCTTCAGAAATCCAGTACACAGCAATTCCAGGGTCAGGAAACCTATGTCAGTGGCGTTTACCACAGACCCGGCCCCTCCTACCATGGATGCTACAAGGTGATGCCCCCCCATTGATGCTAGTTGGTTTAGGAAACCCCATTGACTATAGATATTGATATTATATACAGTATACACATAGCATATAAAACCATAGTTCAACTAGTTACAAACCAACTTAGCTATCTAGGGAGGCGCACGGTGTAATACCATACTCTGCCGCAAGAGGCAATTATTTGGCAGTAGTGAATCGAACCTGTGACTGTTATATAAGTTGAAGTTACAAGTAAAGGCATTTAGAGACACCGTCCTTGGTCTCTCAATGTCTCTCAAATCTATACTATATAGATGCTTAGTACCCGAACTCATCTATCAGCTATCCATACCTGTGACGTTTTTCTTTACATCTAATTTGTAATGGCATAAAAACATGTCTATGGAATTATTTTGATATACTGGCAGGAAAAAAAACATCCTTGCGCATCATATACCAGTAGCCACACAACCGAAGGAAAAGAGAAAACAGTTGATTATCCAAACGTATATTTACAGTACTTGGATTTGCTTTTATATGGGTCCCAAATATAGTAATATTCCCTACAGATTCCCCAGTCATGGTGGATTTCCCATTGAAAATCAAACCTAGTGACATGTCATTGTATATTCTGGGAATATTCATGGAAATATTCCCTACCAAATCACCTTATTACGTAACATTTCATTAAACAAACAACCATAGTCTGCAGACCGCAGTGACCACCACCCATCAAGTCACTAGGCAAGTCCTTCCGATGCCACGAAGTAGCTGCAACTGCGGCGACGGGATGGGCTCTTTGGATGGCTTTGGGATTTGACCACGGGGTTTTTGCGGCAAATCAACGTTATACGGATTCAGCCGCCGTTTTTTTCCGTGAAAAAGTATGAACACATGTATTCACCGAATATTTTTGGGTGACCTATAGATCTATAGTTCGTTTTACACCAAATTCTGGGGATAAAGCAGAAAATCATGTCTACTGTCTACCCGAAGACTACTCTACAGGTGCGCAAATACTAGAAAGGTTGCTCTTATTGGACTGTATGTTTGCCTATCACCAATCAACACAGTGTATACCCAAAAAGCAAACAAATCGCTGGATGAGCATGGGTCCCATGGGTCAACTTGTGTCCCCCCAACAGATCGCATGGCAAATGCATATTTTCTGCATCTGATTATATATCCTCTGGTTATTTAACATAGCCATGGAAAATCACCATGTTTAATAGGTAAACCATCTATAGATGGGCCATTTTCCATGGCTATGTTAAATAACCAAAGGGTAGTTCCTCTCATGGTTTTGTCAGAAAGTACGGTAGCCCATTCCGACCACTTGAGGTCTCATCCCGTATTTTTGCGGAAAGAAAAACATATCATGATGTTGGTGATATTATGAGGGGGTTTACACCCCCAAACCTTAGACAAACAAACATCAACACAAAAAAAAATAACAACAAGCCATCATAATATGTCATGGCATATCTACATTATACAACAGAACAAAAAATCGACCATACATACACAATTATATCATTAAAACATATATTCCCATTAAAATAAGCGCAGTCCTTAAAACATCACCATTGCATACATAACTGTTCATTATATCCTCGATTTTGAAAACATAATGGCTGTTGATATGACACTTGAAAACACACTGATATCAAAATTAAATCATATTTGCCATTAAGTGCTCAATATGCTACAATTATAATATATATATATATGGGAATGTCTGAACATATGCTATCCAAACATGTGTAATTTCCTTCTTTCAATCACCATTTGGGGCTATCCCATTTTCAGACAAATTCATATCCAATGATATAAAATGAATACACTGATACCAAAAAAACACCTGAGTCATGAATGGTTGTATATCCGATATAGTATCCAATAATTACTATCCACTCTCTTTCCACGCTCTGGTCTGCTCCCGCCTTCCATTTGCATCTGCAAATGTAGGAGGGCCTCAGGAGCAACGCCACCGTCAAACCTGGACGGCGCGGCTCCACCGTGGGACAAAAGATGATGTGAAGTGAACCTGGGATATGACGAGTGGGAACGTTTACATGCGTGCTCCACTAGTACCACAAGAACTCTTTGTGCAAACATCAATATTAAGGAAGTTGGATTTGGATGGACTCGGATGGACTTGGTGTACCTGCGATACGAAATATACATACACAGGAAAAAAAAAAACTGGTATCTAATCATCTTTAGGAATAAACTTTACACATGCCTTCATAGCCCTCCATCTACTAGCAAAGAGCTGATGAGTCGGGCTGCCACCTATCACTGATGTTCCATGTATTTCCGTGTCATTCGAATCAGCTTCCAGCACATCTGACAGGTCCCATCATATCAGCCACTGTTTCCGTACCCTTCACCAAGAAACTTACCCAGAGTTTCCTCTGGATCTTCCCACCTTCATCATCATCATCATCATCATCAATGGTTTAAGGGGACTTTCAGAAAACCTCATTCAATCGGAAAAAACAAAAACAAACAAAACATATGGTTTCAGGTGATGATCTTGCCTCGAACCAATCCGTTGACATCCTCATCCCAGAAGTGGTTGAACAATTGGCCCCAAAATCAGCTGAGCCACTAAAAACATCCCTATCCCATCTCATGAAATATTACTTGACAGGTTTCCCTATGGATTAGTTCATAATCCCCAATCACTCAGGTAGCATAGTGTCCTAGAACCACTCACCAATCATCATTTATCACCTTGTATCACCAGATCTTTTATAGATAAACTACCAGAAAACCACCAAAAAACCTCATGGTTAAATCATGTTAAATCCTACTCCAAGACCAAGCAAGGTATTAAAGGCCTAGTTCCAGCGCCGCCCATCCAAGCGGCGCCTAGCAGCACGGTGGGGTACAACACGTAGTGCCAGGAGGCACGTTCCAGGCGCGTTGAGGAAGCCCAAACCTCATGCGGGCGTTGGCGATGGTTTTGGGACGTCCCATGGGTTAATGTGATATATATATATATAAACGGTAAATAGATATAGTTTTTTGGATATGAATAAGAATATCATCGGTATTGGGTATATATACATACATACATACATATATATATATATATACACATATGCATATATACATATGTATGTAGGTATGTATGTATGTATGTTTGTATGTATGTAGGTAGGTAGGTAGGTAGGTATGTAGGTATGTAGGTATGTAGGCATGTAGGTATGTAGGTACGTAGGTATGTAGGTATGTAGGTATCTATGTATGTATGTATGTATGTATGGATGTATGGATGTATGGATGTATGGATGTATGGATGTATGGATGGATGGATGTATGGATGTATCGATGTATGGGTGTATGCATGTATGCATTTATGCATGTATGCATGTATGGATGTGTGGATGTGTGTATGTATGTATGTATGCATGCATGCATGCATGCATGCATGCATGCATGCATGCATGTATGTATGTATGTATCTATGTATCTATGTATCTATCTATGTATCTATGTATCTATGTCTCTATCTATGTACCTATGTATGTATGTATGTATATATGTATCTATCTATGTATGTATGTCTGTATGTATGTATCTATGTATGTATGTATGTCTGTATGTATGTATCTATGCATGTATGTATGTATGTATCTATGTATGTATCTATCTATCTATCTATCTATGTATGTATGTATCTATGTATCTATGTATCTAGCTATGTATCTAGGTATGTATCTAGGTATGTATCTAGGTATGTATCTAGGTATGTATCTAGGTATGTATCTAGGTATGTATCTAGGTATGTATCTAGGTATGTATCTAGGTATGTATCTAGGCATGTATCTAGGTATGTATCTATGTATGTATCTATGTATGTATCTATGTATGTATCTATGTATGTATCTATCTATGTACCTATGTATGCATGTATGTATGTATCTATCTATGTATGTATGTATGTCTGTATGTATGTATCTATGTATGTATGTATGTATGTATCTATGTATGTATCGTATGTATGTATGTATGTATCTATGTATGTACTATGTATGTATGTATGTATGTATCTATCTATCTATGTATGTATGTATGTATCTATCTATGTATGTATGTATGTATCTATCTATGTATGTATGTATCTATCTATCTAGGTATGTATCTAGGTATGTATCTAGGTATGTATCTAGGCATGTATCTAGGTATGTATCTATGTATGTATCTATGTATGTATCTATGTATGTATCTATGTATGTACCTGTGTATGTATCTATGTATGTATCTATGTATGTATCTATGTATGTATCTATCTATCTATGTATGTATGTATGTATGTATGTATGTATGTATCTATGTATGTACGTATGTATGTATGTATGTATGTATGTATCTATGTATGTATACGGTACTGGCGATTTGTAACCCATGGAATATGGCAAACATGAGACAATGGGATATATATATGGGATATCTACATGGAGGTTTCCTAAAATGGGGGTACCCCCAAATCATCCAAGTCATTAGACTATTTTAGTATCGAAACCCATGGACTTGGGGATCCTCCATTTTAAGAAACACCCATATCTATAACATATTGTTATTCTGTGACCAAATAGCCAGCTAATGGGACATGAATGGGATATATGTATATATTACCAAGAATGGGATACTAATGGGAAACAATATTGGGATATGAATGGGATATCTATCTTGATCTATTTAAAACCGACAATAATATGCCAACTTTGCCAACTTGACATGATGATGGATTTGTCTGAACATAGGGTACCTCAAAATCCACTGTGTATCATCATTTTCTCAACTATATCAAATCCCATTTGGGTGTATATCCTATGTTTGGGCACAGGGCACAGCCATACGAAATTATCGGAATGTTGAGGATTTGTTCAGGAAATTGCTGCATTTTTTTCCTGGAATTCAACCACTCAATCAATTGGTTTAGGGGAAACAGCTGCAGGAAACCCATGGATTTTCCCATGAAATATGCGGGGGTTCCGGTTCCATTTTTCCATTCAATGAACAGCTGCGCGCCCAACCCGTTGAAACAGCTCGTTGTTTTTTTCCGCATGTCACGATGCCAGTGAAGCCACATCCACTCGGCACAGCGTCAGCCTTGGGAACAAACCGTGTGAACAAAGAAAGGGAATTTAGGCAGCAAACAGCAGCATTTAACCAACAAAGCCGGCGGAAACTGTGGCAGATTTACATTGGGAAAACATGTTTAAATCAGATTTCAACATGTTCAAACATAAGTAGATCTGCCCTGGTTTGCGATAGACAAGATTGGGAAAACATGATTAAACATAACTAGATCTAGATCTACCCGGGTTTACGGTAGATATATCTAAAGAATTCTCAAGACATCTCTACTTCACTTGGGTGAAACTCAGCCAACAAGTACAACCCTGTGGGATCACAAGACTTACCCTCTGGTAATTTAACATAGCTATGGAAAATCACCATTTTCAATGGGAAAATCCACTATAAATGGCCATTTTCAATAGCTACGTTAAATTACCAGAGGGTACTTCAGAAGGGTGTTGAACAATGATATCCCTGTTGCAGGTACTGTTTGTCTCCGGAAACATCTGGGTGAGTAACAAAGAATGCCTCCGGGAATCCAATGGCAATCTCCATGGCTAGTCCAGAGATTTTCCAGCCATAATCCACGTTTACCGGAAGGTATATTCCAATAATATATCCCAGGTATATCCCAATGTCCTAATTTGCAACCATGAAATTCCTGATAAATCCCTATCATTGTTGATTAAAACATTTATTTTACAGGGTATCAGGTACATCTATGAATTTCCATCAATATGCATACATATCATACTATCCCGACATCCCATGGTAAACATATAATGCTTCAAGGCACCCTCCCAGGAGACGTTCAGGAAGTTCTGCAGGGTTCAAGCCCTGCCAGCCATCAAGGACCAGTTGAACGAATTTCATGCATCCTTATAGCGTGTTGTAATTGTAGATGTATATAATATGAATACATATATATATATATACATTATATATATATAATTATATATATATATATTATAGTTGTAAACATATATATATATATATAATGTGGGTAAAACAATAATAGAACATCCCCCAAATCACCATTAATAGGTGGTATAAACAGCCAAATGGGTGGTTTATTTATTGTTGTTTTACCCGCATTATAATATATATATAACTATATATATATACATTACCTTGAAGCAAACCAACATGGTGATATCACATAACATCATGTTTTGACCACACAATGATCTACACATTCACTACTATTCATGTCTGTATCAGTAGATCACTTGATTATAGGTTCTATTCCCTATTTTATTGCTTACATATCCCCATATTGAATATGTGGCTGTAAATCCATTGAGGAAACAAAAACAATCCAGTCTCACTCATTTTACCCCAGGATTAATTATGCTGATGATCAATGATTATACCATTCGGATGAATTGCCCCCAGGAGTTTGGCTCCACTACTCCTGGGGGCAATTCACCTACCCAGAGTAACATCATGCAGTTGGGAAACTCTTAGTAGCTCCAACTGGCTCCCCACTGTTCATAGGGAATATGTTCATACCGACTCAGCTCCAAACCGCTTCCTGACTATGGCGCCAACCACTACCGCCTCTAAGAGGATGAAGAGTTCCAACACAGAACTGCCATCCAGGAGTCCTGGATGGACCAGCGACATCCAGCGACCACTTCGTAAAGGGAGAACACATTTGGAGGTGGCGAAGGGTAGCAAAATCGCGCACAAACAGTGTTTTTGTTTGATTGTGGATTGTGTATCGGGACTTTACTTAAAACTGAAAGCACGTCTCTGCTGTCGTGTTTTCTTTAAAACTTATGTTCGATGTGAAACCATCCGAATTTTTTCGTGTCTATGATTTTGAGCCGTACAAGGGCCGCTACCTCCTCATATTGCGGGTACCACAATCCAAGAAAAAACAACCACTTCAAGTCAATGGATTGGTTTGTTGGGGAAAATCTTACCCGGAAACCATGGTCTTGACCATCAGATACCATCAGTTTATAGATTTTATAGGGGTTTCCGGTCAAATTTCCCATCATTTGTAACTATAACTAATCCCCATTTATAGATATTTATAGAATGTATAATCCCATAGAAATAACCCGTATCATCCAATTCTATGATCCTTTGATGCTTCAAGCGGCACGGTGCACCGGTGACTGCCGGTGACGTGCCGTCGATTCCTCGTAGACGTCGGCCGATGGACGAGTCACCCATGTCCATCGAGGCTTCCAGGGAATCCTGAAGGCCGGGTGGGGTAAAGAGCCTCAAAAATCGCCAAGAAGTGTCCAATCAAAATAGACAATTCACTTACAAGATAAATATACAAGATAAATACAAGTTGTTTATAGTTGCTTACTACAATGCATATGATGAATTTCAAGAATTGCTCTGCAAAGCGCAAGCTGTCTCTCACCGCGTCCCAAAAAAACAGTCCTGGTGTCGGAAATACTGGATGCCTTGCAATGGGGGACCCCAACATCGGTGGGGAAACATCCCAACATCAATCCATCTGAAACACAACCACACCTTGAACCATCAGCTATTCAGCTATTCTTTGATCCGATGCTTGTAGCCAATGTTCAAAGAAATGCCTATAGTTGGTGGGTCGCAGAGAACTTTAAGCATCACTTGGGATGTGCCAACCATTATGATGTGCAGCATAGGTGTCCTCACCAACGGTGACTACCCAACTGTAAGGCCCTGCTTCAGGCGTTGTTAACCAGCATCAAGCCCCCAAAGTAATGGTTGATTCAGCTATCTTTGCAGTGAGCATTCCTGTTTCTCCTTTTTGGCATGTTCTCATGTGAAAAAATAGGCCATTTGAAAGTAGGATTGGCATCCCATAATCGGAGTCAGACTGCCAAAACATGGCTGGGAGTTGAGTGTGGAGCAAACTGTCCGAAAAGTTGCGCACCGACAATTCATATGTGAACACAACAAGAGAACCATTAAGAAACTTAGTTTTGAACATCAGCTACATAGTACAGTTACAACTTAAGATACCAAACTAGTTGACTAATGCTGGTCAACTTTCCAAACCAAGCTGACACCAGCCACCATATTCATATCAATTGCATATTACACACATGACATATTGACTTTTCATAGTTTATCTATCGATCCATGTAGCCATCCATCCATCCGTCCATCCATCCATCTGTTCATCTACTCATCTACCTATCTATCATCATCCATCTATCCATCTTTCTGCATCCCTTACCCTACAGAAAAATATCTTGAATTAGCATAGAAATTGAAGATCGCCTCAGATTCTGTGCTAGAAGACACCATTTCAAACCTTAAGAAGATACCATGGCACTGGCAGATCACCATTAGATAATGGCAGATCCCCTATAGTCAATTACCATAAGTATAGATTCTGTGCTAAAAACACTATGGATGGGTGCCGTGATGCCCGGGCCAAGCCACTGCACTGGTTGCCAATGATCGCTGGCTTGCTGCCCACTGCCTGGCTACTGAAAAAAAACGAGGCTTGTCCGAGGCTCGTGGAGATGTTGTCATATTACAATGTTACATGAAAATTAACTTACACTTATGCACATGTATTCAAAATTTAGTAGACTATAATAATAATATATATATATACACACGCCATCATACACTGTAAACCATAAACCATATATATATATATACATACATTCATATACTACATACGAGCATCATGGAAGTTAAAGCCAGCTAGGTCCTGGATAATATCACAGAGAGTTCAGATCCGAGCAGGTGGCTTGGTTGATTGGTTGAGTGCTACAGCATGCAATTTTTCACTTAGGACCATAGGTAATGGAGTTTATAGTGTATAGGATACCCGTTATCTGCTAACATAACAAAATAGCGTATGGTCCGACTTATTACTTTATCTATAAATATACACATAACTATAGGATATCCTCCGGCAAGCAAACATTGGCAACGGAACATATCCAATTTATAGATGATTTTCCCATTCAACAACTCCGGAGATCTCCTAGTCACAACGGAGGCGGCCTGTTTCAGCATAAATGAGCCTTCCAGGACCCTGGCGATGAGTTTTAAGCCTCGGTTTGCGCTGAAGGCAACGGTCTTGGACAGTGGCAGTGGAACCCTTTTTCACGGGGGCACCCGGCATGTTCAAAGCAGTGATATCCCTTGATCCAAGGTCACATAGATGATGATTAACTACGCATTTACATAATAGTATATAAATGTATATAATTAATCATCTTCTTGACCGGAACACCAAAATTGCTAATGGAAAAAACACAAAAACAAACAACTATTAGATGTAAATGTGGATTGTCCAAAGCCCAGTTCGACTATTGCAGGGTATAACACATGTTAATTGTCTATTTTGTGCAGTTGGCAGTTAGTGTAATTCACCATAAGTTTTCTGGGAACATCTTCATTTTTTGGAAAACACATATATTCCCAACTTCCTAACACAGCATCTGTATAGTATATTGTTCTCTGTCTTGACGTAAGCCAGCTTTAACCTTTAGATACAGTCAATCCTGGGAAGACTGTGAACTTATGGCTAGTCTTAGATACCCTCTGGTAATTTAACATAGCTATGGAAAATCACCATTTTTTAATGGGAAAATCCACTATAAATGGCCATTTTCGATAGCTATGTTAGTTTACCAGAGGGTACCCCAAAAGGCATTCTACCAACCCAAGCTTTCGCCATTGGAACTGCAGACCTGAGGACCCTGCGCCGACTTCGATCTTCTGCGCTCATCTCATAAACAAACCTGCCAGCTCTCAAGCAACAAATCTTACGTATGAGTAGGGAATCGAGGGACATGATCCGTATAATGATCACAAATAACATATATTAAGATAGTAATAACAATCATCATCCCAAAATAATAGATGATCATAGTCTATATATCAAAATCATCATCATTATGAATATACTATATTAAGATAATAGATGATAATAGTTTAATAGTCTATAAATGTCTATAAATGTCAATAATCATCATCCCGTTCCCCTCTTCCCCTTCCCCTTTCCGCCGTGTGTTTTTGTATGCGCCAGTCATGTCATCTCTCCGCCTCCGAAACTGGAGCCCCTGCGGCGTGTCCAGCCAATCTGCCCCCTGCGCGCTGCGGGTCATGGACTTCCTCCGTGGATGGTGAACTTTAGTATCAGTTCGTTAATTGGATGGTTCAATAGGTGTTATAGTTAGTATCAAATATGTACAAATCCTAGTAATTAGTTAGTTTTGAACACATCCGATTTGAACATATTAGCGGGCTGTTACTCTCATGGAACACATTTTGTGTGCAGGAAATACAAGTGACAACCCGCTTATAGACTCCTCAAAACCCTATATAATATACGTCCTTGGAACCCAAAATGCGTGTTGAGACGATAAGATGATTGTTTCATTGGAAATTCCAATGTTTCATCTTCAAAGAGTCGTGTTGGTGCCTGAAGGGTGAGATCAATACTAGCAGGGATGCTCACTGGCCTAGGCCTTTCAAGGCTACTCCAACTCATCACCAAAGTTGTTAGACTTAGAGTCCCTTCACCGGCCAGACCGGTCTCCCCGTCCGGTCTCCCCATCCGGTCTCCCCGTCCGTGTCCTCGGCCACGGACCAGCTAATCACCAACTGAACGTCTGGCAGACGGAAGTTCAGAATCAGCGAAAAACCGTTGCCTCAACAGGAAAGGTCGCCAGGCGACGGGGGGTTGGGCAGTGGATCAAGGGGTAAACACTGCAATTCATGGCCATCCTTTTGGAAACTGATGAGTTCCTGTCCATGTTCTACAACCAATGGATTGAAGTAGCCTAGTTTCAGACAAACTGTTGTAACCTTACGTGATGTTGTCTAATCATATCCCATATGCTTATGGGTCAAAACCCGCCCTAGGTACCTTAAAATAGCAGGTGAATGGATGTTTATTCCCCAAAATATGCTACTACTGTGGATGGAGGATATCCTGCACCACCTTGGATGGTTGAAATCCTACAAATAATGGGATAAACCACCTATCCACTGGTGCAGGATTTCTTCCATCCAACGTACTAGGTTTCGAATGGTTTTGACACATCCCTAATAAAAAGAATTCATGTTGAATCACTTCACCTTCAGCATTCAGATCCAACGTCCCAAGCCCCCGAATTGGGGCCTCGAAAACAACATTTGGAGCTGTTGCTGTAGCTTTCCAGGTCCTGGTTCAAAGCCAGCAACAAAATATCGACTAATGCATTCAGCAGAGAAAAAACGACTCATACTATTACCCATAGGATCCACGTATGCTATATATGGCAACATTTACCATCAATATACCCCCAATGTTAGCATATATACCATACATGGATCCTATGGGTTATAATATCCCATTTCGTCCATTTCCGCATTGTTCTAAGCTTTAGAAGCAAAGTCAGCTAACTGCATATCTCAAAAAACGTGGGTGCAGCTGGCGATGCGGCGCCGACTTCCGAGGTGTCCCGACCACGAAGAAGTTGAGCGCCATCTAGAACCAACATTGGGCTCTTGCTTTCGCACTTCCTGACGCAATCCATGAAATCCAGAAAACGATCGAAAATCGTGTCTTGACATCATCAAATTGTCATCAAACACTGATTTATGATGATTTATGATGATGTATGATCATGTATGATGATTTTCAAACCCTGTTTTTTGATGATTTATGATAATCTATGATGATTTATGATGATGTGTGATGGCTTATGATGACTTATGATGATTTACCCATTAGGAAAGGATCTTACCTGGGGTAAACGTTTAAATAGCAGTGGAAAACTCATGGTTTCCCTAGGAAAATGATCGATTCAGTTTGAGGTTTCCAGCTTTCTATGTTTGTTTACCAGAGGGTAACCATCGGACCTAGGGAATTTGACCATCAACAGTCGGCGGATTTTCAGAATGTTACATAAATTGGATAAAAAACGCATCTAAACATGAACTGGTGTACAAGATGAATTCTAAAGATCTTAACATGTATTAACAATCAACATCATCTATAAAATTCCATAAATGATAGATTTTACATTACCATGTTTGATTACCAGCCTGACCAGAATTTCTAGGTTGGTATTTAAATGTATTTAATATTAAGGGGATGGGACTACTTCTGATCACTCCGTCCGTGCACTTCATGGAGCATTGTGAAGCTTTGGCTCGAACATGGGGCGACAACAGACCACACAAATTGTCATTGTTCTTACTTCTCAATTGTTTTTTGGGTAGATGATGTTGAGCCAGACTCATACAACGATTTCCAATATAATAGAAAGACGTGAAGTAGGGCTCCGACAAAGAGTCAACAAAGCCATACTCTCATACAGTAACTATATGCTCCTGAAAAAAATAGTTTTACCTCCAAAAATGATACATTCATATACATTCTATGTCTACAATGCCAATAAGTCAAAATATTCATGGTCATGGTACAACCCAGGGCTTCCATGGGTCATACCAAACATGCTCCACATGTGTGGGACCCTGTGTTTCAAGTATGTCTGAATTGAATTCCATATTGCTGGAATTAAGGTTAAATCTCTATCTTCTCCAATCGGGATTCCCATGCCATGCCATCGCGCCAGTACATGGAGGATCATCCCACTTAGAAACTGCTGAAGAACCCTGGTTGCTAGGTCCCATAGGTTATCTCCTTTGTAAGTGGGTAGACATGGCTAGACATGGGGCCCACTTACAAAGTCGCCACAAACACGATCGAATCCATGGGATGATCCAAGTAACACCCAGCTTCACCAAGACCGCCCTTGCTGCCAGGACACTTACGATCCTGCAAATAGCCAGGACCTCTCACCTCTGCCCCGGCGCCAAATCGCTTGGTCGCTTGGTCGTCTGTCTCACTTATATATATATAATATATAATAGAATATATATATAATACAATATTATATAATATATGTGTATATATATATATATTGCAATCCACAAAGGGATTAAAAAAATTAATGTCCTACTAGTGGTACATTGTTTTTCCATCGTTCTGGCGGGTTCTATGAATGGTAGGTTTGTTTGCTAACCACACGTGGCATGCTGGACAATTTGGATTGTATGATCCCAAAAACAAGATGAGTTCCATTGCGTAACGGAGCGGAAATATCTGAGCCGGAACCGAACAAACAAAAGTTTCAAAAGAAATCCAAGCCCAGTACGACAACGACTGCTTCTTCAAACTCAAAAAAGTTCATCGCCGATCATCTCCCAAAATCTCCATATCTACATGTTTGGGTGGTGAAATCATGTTGAAAAAAACTGTGAAATCATGGGATTTGTTCCCCATCCTTGCCCCGGCCCGAAAGGTGAAAAACACAAAAAATCTCGCACCTTGATTCCTGCACCATCTGCGGAATCCCAACCTGGAATGGGCAGCATCTGGGATCTGGGCACCGGTTATTGAACATACGAGTAGCTATGGAAAATTGCCAGTTTATAGATGATTAACATGATGTCTTACCTAATAGTGATGTTCCACAGCTAGGTTGAATTATCAGAGGGTACATCCAAAAATGGAGAATTCCCAGCTCCTTGATGCTTGACGGTCATATTGGGATTCTGTAGTAGTGTCTACATTGCTTCACGCCCAAGCGTTCTCGTCGTGATTTCTTACCATGAAAAACTCGGCCTTTTGGCATCCCAAGCTTCAAGTCAGTACTTCAACTTCAACAAAATAATGATGCCACGTAGATCCCGTATTTTCCATGTGCATCTAATTTACACACATAAAGCAAATGATTAGTATACATATATATGGGGGTTGTCCAAAATACCTTTTCCCGGACAGCCCTCAATCGCTCAGCCAATCGCGTAGCAACCGCGGTACCACAGTGAGCAATCGCGGAAGGGTTTGTTCTTCGTTGATCAGATCATATACATAAAATATAAGTTATGTATTATATAATGAGGATCCATGCGTGAACGCATTCGATTTCAAATTTGGGAACAAAATAAGTTCGCGCGGTCCGGAAACGGTCCGGAAAACTCACAGTAGTACCAGCAGCAGTAGTACTAGTAGTACTAGTAGTACTAGTAGTACTAGTAGTACTAATCGTCGTCGTAGTAGTAGTAGTAGTAGTACTAGTACTAGTACTGGTACTAGTAGTAGTACTAGTAGTACTAGTAGGAGGGGTAAGAGTAGGAGTAGGAGTAGGAGTAGGAATAGGAGAAGGAGTTCTAGTAGCAGGGCAAGGGAAGAAAGGGAGAGGGAGGGAAAGAGAGAAAGAGAGAGAGAGAGGGAGGGGGGGGGAAACAGATGGTTGCGTTTGACCGGTTTCTGACGGGTTTCTGACTGGTTTCTGACTGGTTTCTGACTCGTTTCTGACCCTTCAGCGGAACTCGTGTCAATTGGATTTAAAAGCAAGAGCAGAAATTCCTAGGTGTACTAGTGGTAGTGGTGGTAGTGGTGGTGCAGTAGCAGCGGGTGTGGTGGTAGTACTAAGAGTAGTAGCAAATCTAGTAGTGGGAGTAAGGATCCATGCGTGAACGCATTCGATTTCAAATTTGGAAGCAAAATAAGCTTGCACGGTCCGGAAACGGTCCGGAAAACTCACAGTAGTACCAGCAGGACTAGCAGTAGCAGTAGCACTAGCAGTAGTGGTAGTGGAAATTGCAATAGGAGTAGGCGTAGGAGTTCTGATGGGAGGGTGAGGGAATAGGCAAGGGAGAGAGAGAGAGAGATTGCGTTTGGCCGGTTTCTGACGGGTTTCTGACTGGTTTCTGACTGGTTTCTGACTCGTTTCTGACCCTTCACACGAGTGCAATTGGATTTAAAAGCAAGAGCAGAAATTCCTAGGTGTACTAGTGGTAGTGGTGGTGCAGGGTGGTGCAGTAGCAGCGGGTGTGGTGGTAGTGCTGGGGGTAGTAGCAAATCTAGTAATGAGAGTAAGGATCCATGCGTGAACGCATTCGATTTCAAAATTGGGAGCAAAATAAGCTTGTGCGGTCCGGAAACGGTCCGGAAAACTCACAGTGCACTAGCAGTAGCACTAGCAGTAGTGGTAGTGGAAATTGGAATAGGAGTAGGCGTAGGAGTTCTGGTAGGAGGGTGAGGGAATAGGCAAGGGAGAGAGAGAGAGAGAGAGAGGTTGCGTTTGGCCGGTTTCTGACTGGTTTCTGACTATTTCTGACCCTTCCGTGGAACTTCTGTCAAGTGGAGAAAAGCAAAGGCAAAAATTCCTCGGTGTAGTAGTGGTAGCGGCGTTGCAGTGGTAGCGGCGCTAGTGGTAATACTGAGAGTAGTAGCAACACTAGTAGCAGGATCCGCCCATGAACGCATTCGTTTTCATATTTGAGAAGAAAAGAAAATTGCGCGGTCCGGAAACGGTCCGGAAAACTCACAGTAATACCAGTAGTAGGAGTAGGAGTAGGAGTAGGAGTAGGAGTAGAAGTAGGAGTAGGAGTAGGAGTAGGAGTAGTAGTAGGAGTAGTAGTAGTAGTAGCAGTAGTAGCAGTAGTAGTAGCAGTAGTAGTAGTAGTAGCAGGAGTAGTAGTAGTAGTAGTATTAGTAGCAATGATAAGAGCTGAGGTGGATGGATGGATGGATGGATGGGATGCTAGGCAAGTGCTGCCTTTTTGGTGTTTCTGACCTGTTTCTGACCTGTTTCTGACCTGTTTTCAATTGGAGCTAGCTTGAATGTCCTTCTGACCTGAAAACATCTGCGCGGATTCCGCGATTCCGCGCGCGCGGAATCCGCGCGGCCATGTCAATTATTGGCATGGTTCTGGTCTCGAAAGTAGTAGTAGTAGTAGTAGTAGAAGTAGTAGTAGTAGTAGTCGTACTCGTACTCGTACTAGTAGTAGTAGTAGTCGTAGTCGTAGTAGTCGTAGTCGTAGTAGTAGTAGTAGTAGTCGTACTCGTACTCGTACTAGTAGTAGTAGTAGTAGTAGTAGTAGTAGTAGTACTAGCAGTACTAGTAGTAAAAGTAGTACGAGTAGTAGTAGTAGTAGTAGTAGTAGTAGTAGTAGTAGTAGTAGTAATAGGGTGGTAGCCGTATAACCAATCGCCAACCAATCGCTCAGCCTATCGCGATGCAGGTTTTAGCAATCGCGCAAAGCAAAGTAAACGCATCAATTCATAAATTTGTGACCTGCTTTTACGGACGGCTCCCATATATATATATATATATATCCCTATGGATCCAAACACTGTCTGAGAAGGTACTTAACCCTCCAAATCATACCCCAAACACTTCCTAAGAAGGTACTTGGATCCATAGGGTATATATATATACTGTACCAAGTACTGTATTCCTTTGTTTTTGAAAACACATGGTTTAGAGATTCATGGTGCTCATTTTTCACTGGCTATTTTGGAGTATCCATCATATTCAAACAAACCCATTACACACAAAAATCAATCAAACAAAGATTCACCTGGCCAGAATTCAACTTCGGATCCACAACAAAAAAACACTTCAGATCCCTTTTCAGTCCCTTTTCAGATCTACAGAACCATTTCAATGAGTTTCTCTTAAAAACCAAATTCATTTTTTTAATAGCTGAGTCATCTTTACATGTTATAAATGGACCAAGTTCTTCCATGTTCCATATGTTGTTCCATCGCCACGTCGTTTCGTAGATCGAGTGGCAATTCTTCTGATCCAAACGACTTCGACGTGGAAAACTCGGCACTCCAGGTGCCACCTAGAGCTTCGCGTCGCGGGACAGCGAGTTGCGCAGCTGGGGGTGTCTGATATGGGTCCATGACTAGGAAAATATTGTATATATATATATACATAATATGACCAATGAATAAAATGACAATAATATACAATTTTAAAGGAATTATATTATATATATATATTGGGAATTCAAAAATTAAAATAACAAGCTGATAGGAAATCATGACTAGTATGATATAATATAATACAATATAATATAATTATATATTTATGATTTATGTATGAATAAAATGTCAGTTTTATGGGAATTGAAAAAGAATGGGATAAGTAAACCAACTATATTTTGGATATAATCTAGAAGCATACAGGGGGATTCAACCAAGAAGAATGGGGTATACCAACCAACACTAGTTATGGCATAAAGGGAATATAACTGATATACCCAAGATTATGGCATGGGTTTGTGCCAGAAAGGAAAATACCTCAAGATTGTAGTTTAATGAGGTTCTAAAACCATGGGAGTTTGGGGCACCCTATTCAGACAACAAAAAACACTGTTGCATTGTTTGTATCCCACTCCATCCCCATCACAGCCCATCATATCCCCATTATATCCTTATTTCATTTGGTTGATAGGTTTCCCATTCCGATGGGTTATCATAATCCCCAGTAAATCAGGTAGTATATTATAGTATAGTATAATATAGTATAATCTCCCAAAGCAATCAATTTTTCCAGTGTCTTTTTTGGCTCATTTAGTTTTATTACCACATTCTGTATGATGTTTTATTACCATCTATTTCATTTGGTAATCCCAAATCATTACTGTATCCTTATTTCATTTGGTTTTATCCGCCATTCTTTCTGATACCCTCTGGTAAACTAACATAACTATGGAAAATCACCATTTCCAATGGGTAAATCCACTATAAATGGGCCATGTTCAATAGCTATGTTAAATTACCAGAGGATACATGCCATGACCGCTTCACTGTGCAAAATCCCACCTCTGCCTCCTCTCCTTCCGAAGGCGGAACGGAACAGCAGATCATGGCCGGACATAGCACGCCCGGGGGAAAGGCGAACCTTGGGAGACCAAAGGTGAGGAGATGACCAATCGCTGCATCAGATATGTGAATATATTACTTCGTAAGGCCAATATATAAATCAATGTACATCCACTTTATAACACTTTATCGGGTTTAGTTGTCTTTTCAGTTGTATAACTTGTGAACAGGGCTCGTTCTAGTCTCCATCATCCAGGCACGAGTCGAACTCGCGCTGCTCGTAGTGTTCCCAGAAATCCTCCTCCTCCTGGATTATCATCATCCCTCCGTGGTATTTATGGTGATTTAGTGGTCATTTAACGGGATTAGAATGGTGTTTTAATGGAATATGGCAGTGTGTCAAAACCAATAGTACCCCTGGTGAACATCAAAATAGCTGGTAAATGGATGTTCATCCCACTAAAAATGGTATTAATAGGTATTGATCCATACCCATATCATGGGAGGTAATGGGATTGGAATGGACGTTTCCATCCCATTGATATTTAACAACTTTATGGTCCCAGATTTGTGTAAATCTCCTGCTAAACCATGGTTTTTGCGGGGTGTTTCATATTGGGGGATCACCAACTTCCACCAATCAGCTAGCTACTACCAGTATTCACATGACATAAATGTTGGAATTAAGATAAAACCAACCAGGCAATAATCAATATTCAGATCATCACACAAGCGGCCAAGAAAACAATACATATGTATTCACATGTCTGAATAATAAACCAAGTGAACTAGGTCAACCTAGCTAACTATGGCAGCCCCCATGTTCAATGATATTCCCATGTTCAGTAATCTCATGGACATATTGCCATATTCAATAATCCAATAGTTAATTACTACTTGATTGTTATTCCGTATTAATGTGGGTAAAACACTGCCATAAACCATCCCCCAAATCCCCAAAAAAACATCACAACTAGATACAAATAGTATAAACCATTCCCAAATGGGTGGTTTTTGGCAAAGTTTTTGCCCATATTATTCCCCTGACTTTGTCCCTTATGCCCCCCGCTGTCCTCCGACACAGCCGACTCGGAATCGCCGCTCGTGGAGGACGTGCGCCGGTCTTGGCGTCGTCGCCGGTCTTTGCAGCAACAGCAGCAACGGCACCTGTTGAAACGGCCGACCATGGAAAAACATATGTACCATCTGGTTATTTAACATAGCTATGGAAAATCCCTTATAAATGGAGGTTTTACTGGGAAAATCATCTGTAAATGGGCCATTTTCCATAGCTATGTTAAATAACCAGATGGTAACATACCATGGAACACCATGCTTTTTGTTTCTCTGCAGCTAATGGATACTTTACAGGAAAATCATATGAGTTTGGTTCCATCTGACATGTGTTTCAAAGGGTTTCAACTGCATTTTGTTTCCAACACTTCTGGGACGGTATCATGGCCTTGGATTACCATGGGAGAAGATGGGCCCCGAGTGATTCGTAGAGGAAAGCATCCCAAAACCACGGTTTTATGTGGGGAAAAGTGTGTCATGACATTGCGAAGAGTTTGTCTTGCAATCTTGGTTAAAAGCCGAATTACCCTCTGGTAAACTAACATAGCTATTGAAAATGGCCATTTATACTGGATCTTCCCATTAAAAATGGTGATTTTCCATAGCTATGTTAAATTACCAGAGGGTACCCGGTATGAGCCAGTTTATAACATGTAACATATCTGACACCGTTCATTAACTACAAGATGGGGACCCCCTAGATAGGAAAATATGTCTATAAGTACAATAACTACAGTACATCCTGGGTAGGGTAGCTAGGGTGTGTGGCGGTTTATGGACGGTTTATGGTAGATATATAGATGGGGTTTATAAACCAACTTACTACTGGGGGGCCACCTTGTGGGTGCTTTCTCATGCTGATTGCTCATGCAATACATGATTGTGATATGTGATGATATGTGTATATCTGTATATCCCAACATTCTTGGTATATACTAGACTATACCCCCATGCTCCTTTCATATTTGACACCCCCAACCAAACCTTTGGTTCTATAGCCATTGCAATCATGCATTACACACAGTTGTGTCAATCAAATCAGTTGAATCATGTCAAATCCAAAGCTTCGATGTTTCAAACCACCAAACACCACCCAACCAGATCATGCCGTGGTTATCTATATTGTGAACAAACCCATTTTCAGAAACTGTACATGTATGGCACTTAACACTTCTACATGGTATCATATATATATATTATCATGGCCAATCTTAGATGCCCTGCAGAACAAACAAAACAATCTTAGATGGTTAGTAAATAATCCCATTCATACCAAAAGACCAAAGGATTAAACTACCCATCCAAGATTGACCTAGATATAACTCCTATACTGAGGTGTTATATGTATATATATATATATATATTTATCATATATCATTGTATATCATCAAAATTCATGACAAAAGCCAGTTATGAGTACTTTTTTGGGCTATTTCACTGTAGCTGGCTTAGCACCATCCAATGCTCATCTTGTTGCCGCGGCCTCATGGCCCATCCATGCGTGTCATGGCACCGGCAATCCACGAGGTTGTGATGAAGCTTGCAGCAGGTGGTTGACAATAGTGGTGATTTAATGGACTATAATGGGAAGACCCATGAATAATAGTGGAATTTAATCTATACTATATGGAATTATAGTGGTGATTATATGGAATTTCATGTAATATCCTAGGGTCAATGTACGTAAACATGTGGAAAACCCATGATTTCCCCTTCGGAAAATCATCTACATTCATGTTGGGTAAACACCACATCTCATCTATGTAAGCATGGTATATATTCATAGAGGTCCCAAGACACATGCATAGACACAGTGGTTGCCCACTAGCTTGGTGATGACTCTCTGTCAGTCGCCGACTTTAACCCTACCATCTGGTTATTTGCATAGCCATGGAAAATCACCATGCTATTAATAGGTAAACCATCTATTTCTATGGGCCGTCTATACTATGGCAAACTGATTAATAACCAGAGGGTAAATGCACCAATACATGGTTTGATATTTTGTTTTTTTTTTCTGACCAGGAAGAAACATTGTCTGAAGCGATTCTCACCTTCATGAATGCAGCAATGCAAACACTTGCTGCGACAAAAACCATGCTCTAGTTTCAAGCCCCCTTGCTTCTCCACGAACCATTGTACATCCTCCACATATCCAACAGCTTTGATGACATCAGGAAGCTCAAGATAGCCTGTGATCCACATCGACTGCATCGGCCAGGCGGAGCTACACCAGATATCACCGAACATGATACAGTACTTGGTCTGTTGGTTTAAGACAATCCTGTGGCAATCTACAGTACCGTTTAATCTCATAGATTCTGACAGTAAATGCATGAACATTGCGAATCCCGGATCTGAACTACGATGCAGAAAATCTCAAGGGCAAAGCATCACAAGCCAGCATTATCCAGCAAGTGTTTTGCCACACAGCGGTCACCCGGTATGATCGGTGGAGCGTGGGATGAACATATCAACCATGGAAAAGCTCATGTGCGGTCCACTGTTTGATTCACCTTATTAATTGTGAGATGTTTGCCCCACTTCTACAGTAATTTTAAACCACTGGCGAACGGGCACATCCATATTTTGGTTTGTTGAACATTCTTTCTTGTTGGCAAAATGGCTGCAGTTGCCCATAACAGTAGGACTTCATATCCAAGTGTGGTGTTTTTCCATATGGTCAACACAAGATGGGCAAAACAATGCAGACACCTGCTGGCCAGAATGACATGTAGCTGAACATTGTAGCCGGCCGAGATTCTGCTGGAGAGGAATGGAGAAATTCTCCATCAAGGCAAAAAAATGTTGGTGACTCACCCGAACTGGGACGCCCAGCAAGGGGCAGGACCATCCATTTGTAGTCCACCACATAAAAGCCAAAAATGAAAATCCTGACGCAAGAAAAATCGCCATTTGTTGGCCAAATCGCTTGGTGAATTAAGGCCATAAAAGGGGATGATTTCCCTTGTAAAAACCACGATTCCAGGCTTCGGTCGCAGTGAGCAATCGAAGCTCATCGGGTTGATAAACTAACCGGGGGGCAACACCTTGCAAATCCCAACAGTATCCTCTACGTCTTACACCGGTTTAACACTTTTAAAATCTTTTAAACGCTTGGTCTAAACACCTCGGGAAAATCCAGCATTTTTGTTCAGCACTGGATATAATATGATACAACCGGACACCAACTTGTGTTGGGCAGCTGCGACTTGAATCAAATCGCAAAAAATGGCGCAAGCTGTACGGTCTAACAAAGCCATACGGCTATGGACCAATACCTATACATACCATTTTTAGGGGGATGAACATCCATGAATCCCAGCTATTTTGATGTGAACTACAGGGGTACTATTGGTTTTGACACACTGCCATACAAAGCCAAGACCGATATCGGATGGAGATCTCGGATTCTCAGTAACACGACTGCTGTTCCAAGATGTTCAAAGTGTCGATTTTTTTCGACTGTGCAAAGCAGAAACCACCAGGCGACCATATTCGAGAAAGTTCATGATCAATTCATGACCCGAATCCGCCCCAACAAAAATCCCATGAAATTATGGGATCATCCCATTGCCGCTTCAACGGTAAATATTGAAGGTAGCCACTGGAACAATCACCATGTTTATCCATGTTTCAATACGGTAAATCATCGAATTAGGGCCATTGAAATCGCTAAGTGATAAATTATCCGGATAATTCCGGATATATATATATATATATATATCTCCATGATGTATCATATCATCCTATGAAATTCCATGGAAAATCACGATGTTCCAAAGCTACGTTCTATTGCCAAAGGCTAAACCACGAAGCCCACATTTTTTGTTCCGCCCTTCGGAAAGGCACCAGGCGGAGCTTAGAAGCATGGCCCACGTGAAGAGAAAGTTGGGGCCTGACGGAGCAAAGAGGGGAAAGCTATAAATGCTGGGTTTAATGATGGGATAATATATATATAGATATATATATATATAGATATAATATGAATATGGATTAATTGGGATTATTTTGTATGATCAAAAAATATCAACAATGAGAAACCTATATGATAATGGTGATTAATACTCATTACTGGGATATCATTGGGATTATAATGAGATATTGCGATGATAATGAATCATGTATGTTCTGGGAACATGAGTTTCCCAATATCTTCTCTGGGAAATGACTTTTTGGCGAAGCGAACACTGTCTATCCGGGAAAAGCCATATAATTATGATAATATGGCAGTCTGTCAAAACCTTGTACCCCTGGCGAACATCAAAATAGCTGGTAAATGGATGTTCATCCCACTAAAAATGGTATTAATAGGTATTGATCCATACCCATATCTGGGAAACCATGATCAATCTTGTCTGAGAAAATGATTGACCATGATCTGGGACATGATCAAAAAGAGGGGAAACATGTGGGGATTATCTACTTTGATCTAACCATCATCTATTGTGTCCGTGAGGTCAAATGGGGTTGCTATCATTTAACATAATTTAACCAGATCTTCTGGGACTTCTGTCACTGCAGTTGTAGGATATATATAATTGATATAATGATACTGATATTTATCATGGAATATGTGCAAATAACACTTAATATAACTTGATATATGTTGATATGATCTTTGGAATGTTTGAGTGTATTGTCAGTATACCCTCCATTTTGACCATTGAATAACATGGAACAGCTGCCAACAGAATCCCCCAGTAGGCACAACCCCGACTTGGGGTCCAACAAGGCACGTCAGCGGCAAAATCTCGGGCCCAGACTGACTCTGCATCGTGGATCAATGCCCAAAATGAAACTGGGAGGCAAGAATCGGGCTTGCACAAAGGCAAACTGCTAACCCTCTGGTTTTTTCAAAACCTTTACAGATACCTAAAATCATTTCTGAATTCAATCTCATTTTGCCTCATTCATTTAATCATTAAATTGTATGTTTATTTTCTAATTTAAATTTAATATTATCATTATATTCAACATAGCTATGGTAAATGGCCCATTTATAGATGATCTATATAATCAACAAAGGGTAAGAGCTTGACTCTACGGATCTGCTGAGATCTGGTTTCTTGCCCCAGCTTTCGAGTGTGGCCCCGTCTGGGCACCAAACAAGTGATTGATGAAGTTGTCCTCACCTGTTGCAGCAAGACCATGCCAAGTGGCCAGTTGAAGGATGATGTTATTTTCTTATATTTTCTTGTGAAACCGTGAAAACCACAGCAACAGGACTGTGCATCATTTGAGGTGAGAAACATCATCGTGACTTTGGGCTCATGTAGTACTATATCACATTATATCAAAATCATATCACATCATCTCCAAACATCTCACATCGTAGTAGGGTCAAACCATATCAACAAATATTGTCTCACATCGGTATGTCTGAAAATGGCGGATACCCCCCACAGCCGTAGTAGAGATAATTGTGATCGACCATGCAGTGGACTTATTTCCAGCCCACCAACCACCGGTTTGTGGTCCGCTCGGTGTTTTTCCCGGGTGTCCACACAAACACGGGCCACACAGGCCATACCCAGAATCACCAAAACGGCGCTCAAACATACTCGAAACCTGGGATCTGGGAGGAGGCATCGCGTTGCTGTCCCATTTCCTATCACCAAATTGGGGAATCCCAAAATCACCAGATCATCTTTATCATCTTCCCATTCTTCTGAGTTATATCAATACGCAGAAACAACTCCTGGCTCAAAAGCATCTGTATGAGGTAGTCACCACTACTATAAAAATGAACTGGGTGTCTGATGTCTCATGGTTCTTAAATCTCAAGCCACTCCCAAATGAAACCATGATCATTCATCATCAGCATCCTGAGTATTTGCCATGCTACTGATAGAACTCATTGAACTATTCATAGTCATTAATAACCCAATATATATATATATATCGTAACGATAAACATCGGATTCAACATCCAGCATTCAGAAACCATTAAATATGGTATATCCATGTATGTCCCGGATAATTACACATTGACCGCTATTATATAACCATTAATAAGCCATGTTTGATGCAACAAAAACAACACACTGAGTTTCCCCGGCACTGGGAAGCTGCAAAGAAAGTAATTCTTAGAGAAGGTTTGTGGGTCCTGGCTGATGGATCCATGAACGCCCTGAACGTTTCCAGGAATAAAGAAATGGCCATATCAAAAATGTGATGGGAAAACATGTAGAACACTATACGGTCCTTATGTTTGATGTCATATGATGTCACGGATGTTTCAAAATATCGGAAACACTATAGATACGTCCTTAATCCGTAAAACACTGGTGATGTGATATCTAAAAAAAATTGAAAAAACATAAATTCATGGTCTAAGAAAATGTTCTTTGGATGATATGTACCCTAGGCAGAACATCATTTGTGGGTCAGATTTGCCAAGACCTATCTGAATTTAGGAGCATATGTTTGTTGCATGGTCAGGCATGAGATCCCTAGAATTGAGATCGTTCACCGAAAAGGAATTGATAAGGATCTAACACCATCAGGTTTGCTCCAAACACCCCAGGTACAAGGTGGATAGATATACATAGAGGTAAAATAGTCACTAGTTTTCTCCTGGTATCATTGTCCACCAAGTCTGGCTGAAACGAAACAAAAATAACACCTAATTATAAGGTGGTGCCATTGGTTCAGAAACCCCAGTTCACTAATCCATAAATAGATCTACCATCAATGCGGGTTATGCTAGGTCTACCCCAAAAACTGACAGCTTCCCTAGAGATTTCACAATCCCAGCTGCTTCACCGTATCTTCCCTACAGCGGTGACCGAACGCCTTCTCGGGTAAGCAAATCAAGGCAATGATGGACACGACCAGGGCAGAGGAAGACCTGGAGATAGCAAGAGGTTCAAGTCCAAGCCCCGGCAGCATGCCCCGGCATGCCCCGGCAATCCGAAAGTGTGGCTTTTCTCATCATGTTAATACCCCATATATGGTGATTTTTAGGGCAGATGGACCTCATAGGATTCACTCGAAACCACACCAATATCCTGAAGATATCTATCATACATATTTTAAGCCAATTTAAGCATCATTCAATGGGATTCCCGGATATTTCCGGGTGGTGTCGCTTGGTTAAGGTCCCCTGCCTATAGAGTAATGCGACAAACATCAACCATCCCTGAATTTCGGACCAAGTGAGAACTGGCTGCCCGGCCATCCTGTGCCATAGTGGATGATAGAAAACAATATGGAATCACCGGAAAAAAAAACAAGGATTACAGTGGGAGTTTGTGGATGATGATCATTCCCAATACAGTGGCAGCTGATCATCTCCTATGACAAGGAATGGTTTATACCACCTATAGAAATGGTGATTTGGGGGATTTATATGGATTTATTATTGCTTTACCCACATTAGTCATTTACCAACATGTTTGTAAGATGTTACCCGTGCTTGCAGAAATGATGGGTTCTTTGGGGCACGACATCACCTGAACTCTGCGGTTTTCGGATGCTGGGGAACCTGGGACCCCGCACCCCAAGAAGAAGAAGAGAAAACGCTCCGCTTGAAGTGCTCGGCCCTGCAAAGAATGACCAATTCATATCAATATCTGGGCAAAAACATGATTTAGTTGGATTCAGTTGGATTAGTCATGATAATGAATCATTTTGAATCATCATAATCCAACTGAATCATCATTAACAATATCTGAATCATCAATTTATATGCTCAACAAGTCATGATGCACTTGGATTCAGTTGGGAGATAGTTTTTCGAGACGTATCCTGGGAATATCGTGGATGTGTTGACAACCAAAATATGTGGGTTTTTGTGAACACATTATGGTATTTACCCCCAATGTGTGGCCACTTTGAAATAGGTGAAGAAATGATGATGAATCAATACAGATTGAATGGGGTACATAATGATACATTTCCCATGTTCAGAGAACACAAGTCTGAAAACAGATCATGCGAGCGTAAGTTCGAGCATTCGCGCGTTTGAGCACAATCACGTCTATCGATGCCGGGAAGTACCACTTTCATCAGGAAAATCATCTGTGAAGGATTGACTTCATGGAATGTTCGTGGATTGCTGCATTGCAGGGCTAGGTTCTCAGAAAGTACGAACTTCTGCTTCGTGCCTGCAAACCAGCTGAGCGTCTGCCAAGACCTCTTAAAGTCTTAAAGAAGCACGCAAAACCAAAATCAGGTGTAAACAACTCATAGAGGTTGAGACCCGATTGCTTAAGCATCATTCCGTTCGAAAAACTGAAGCAATCCTAGAACACCACGTTTTTATTCTGAGAGCTTTCTCTGCAAATATCTGAGGGCCAAGCCAGCAGCAAGAAGGGCCACCTACACGACAGTCACTTGGGATCATGCTGTGGCTCCCAGGACTTTGAATCTGGGACTCAGGTACCCAAATGGTGCGCAAGTCTTGGCTTAGGATGAGCTTAAACAAATAGCTGCTATGACAAACATATCCAATCCAACTTGGATCCGCAAAGTTTGGGCTAGGAAGGTTGCTCCTCATCAAGGTAGTCCTTCCAGTGTCAATTCTCAACTTGAATCCTCAGGACCCTTAGACCTTTCAGAATGGTTCAAGATGTCCCAAGAATTATAAGATGGTCACGACCAAAAAAAAGGTTAGCATCTTAATGATACCATGGCTGTTGCAGGGTTATGTCGCCCAGTTATGTTTGTAGATTTATAAGCCCTGTGAAAACTGTCAATATATCAGCCATAAATCCTATCATTGACCTACGTATAAACCAACTTACGTAGCTACAAGGATATGTTCTACCAATAGATCTTAGTAGGTTTGAACCACAAAGGTTGTTAGCCACAATCCATGGACAGAACGGCAGCCAAGTAGACGCCCCTATGGCTGCCAGATCTTTGGCTGCTTTCTGGGCCACTTTTGGACAAAGATCCCATAGCCAAATCCCAGAATCTCCAAGAAAAACACTGGATTTGGCTAGAAAGATGGGCAGTAATATAACCATCATGGATTAATCTCAGGAGATATCCCATAATCATAAAACATCATAAAACATCATAAAACACTAAACCCAACATTCGGATATAGTTGATGTCTCAGGCAACAATGCACTAAAGATCTAGAAAGATCTGGCTCGACTACCCAAACAAGGACCAAGCAAGGCTATGTTTTTGGATGCTTCATGGTGATCGGGCCGATGGCTACAGCAACTAAGATGGGAGGCTCTCAGGTCTCACTGCTTCAGGCCTCAGGAAAGTGGCCCTGATACACGCTGCCCCGTTGCCGAGAAGTTGCTAAAAATAACTAGCAGTAGATTAACTGTTGGGTTTATCGGTTTATGGTAGATGTTGAGAATTATAGAGAAATGGCTGTAGAAACTGTACCAAACATAGCAGTGCAAACACCGCAGATATCTGCAACGCAGCACTCTGAGGGCGAGTCTGTCTCCGCTTCCTTCTGTAAAGTCCTGGCTTCGCGATGCAAAAATGAGTGGATCAACCATCAAAACATGTGCCACATGGCGATTCACCACTGACAAGAAAACACGTGAAAACACCACATTTTGTCATGTTGTTTATCTTTCTTTGTTTCTGCAAAGTGTCGAAATTCCATTGCAATCACAGCTTTCAGCTTTCCACGTGGTGTTTTTCATGCTTATTTTCATTCAGAGTGCCACACCTCACCCAGAAAAACATGGCCACGGTCCTGAAGACCTCCTCGTGTCCGGCACGCATGGCTTGAGAGATAAAAGTCCTCTGTCCATCAGGATCCGGTCATCTGGGGGATCCGAGTTGATCCAATGGTGGGATCATGTTACCGAAATGAGCCATTTTGGATCACGTTTTTTCGTGATCCAAATAAACAATTCAGGTGAGCCGTGAAGAATACCCTATCCATCCCTATTCCATCTCATTACAGTGGTTGGTTAATAGGTTTCCCTACTATGGGTTATCATAATCCCCAGTAAAGCAGGTAGTATAATCCCCTACAACAAATATAATTCACCCATCAACAACGGCATTTTTAACAGCTCACTTCTGGAAACTTCTCAAAAGTCTAAAGCTTTTGGGAGCACCTTTCCAACAAAACCTCAGCACACACGAGCCGTGCAATATTAAAATCATATGATATTGGTTTCTTGGCTGGTGTTGGGTTCTTGGCAAATATTATCCCGATAATTATGGGTTAGTTCATATTAGTTCACAATCCGCAAATAATCAAGTATAGCTTAATATCAATATATACCTCCCTACAATGCTAAAAGAAGCATAAAGAAACCATCAACCAGCATTTATTATATATATAGTTCTATTTGATAATAAAAAACTCATGAAACCAAAATCATTGATGGTTAGTTAATTCCCATTAAATTGAAATCCTATAATGACCATGGCTCAAATACCACAGCTTTTTTGCCTCAGAAGGGCTTCCGTCACGGAATCCGGGATCGGAAACCAGTTTGGCCTCAGCTTTTGAGCCGAGCATGGCTGAGCATCTGGGGCAAACAAAAACGATGGATCAACCATAGGAAAAGCATAGGAAAATGGGGCTGGAACCCACTGGAACCCATGAAGCATGGGCATTGGTAGATGATTTATAGCGAAGAGCTTGAAATCATTAGGGTCACCACCTTGTAGCAAAAAGGCGGCTGGATCTCATCCCATGTGAGGAATGATCTGCACATCGTTTAAGCATCTCAAGCTGTGCAAATGTCTCCGAACATTTGACATCAGCAAACAGATCTCAGTGGAATATGGGTTGCTGATCAAGCTCTCTCAGGTACACATTATCTGAAGGGGTCAAGAGAAACACAAGGCAATTACAACCTATGAAAGCCATCAAAACAAGCCCATGGAAACAAACATGTTGTTTTTGAAATGTGTATGTGGAGGTTTCTTTCCTGTCAAGTGGTTCAAAGCACAAATGACTAAGAAAAGTCACAACGAGTCAAACCTGGTTCTGCCTTCCAATTTACCACTTCCTGAAAATACAGTGAGCCAAGTTCCATGTTTTTTTCAGTTCAGCGCTTTGACCCAAGAAGGGCCCTGCGAGATAGTCGTGATGCCTCCGGCTGGGGTCCTGACATGTAGTACTTGAATCTTTGCAACGCCTATGCCGCGTTAAACCGAAGGGAAGTGGCAGGGCAAGGTTTCACGGGCAGAATGTGAAAGGTCAAGTGCACAAGATACAACAAGAATGTACTGGCGTCATTTCCTTGGCAAAACAAGTTCAGTGTTATTTGTGGTAAATCAATTGAATTTGAGTCGAGGTTCGGTCGTGGTGGAATCTCATGCTAATTGTTTTTGTTGAACATGAAACATCATCATTTTGCAGACACCAGTCACAGCATGTGTGTACTAAACTGTTCAACATCCCCTGAAATCATCCCTCTCTTCCTATTTGGGTAGACAATGGTAGACACCTTGGAGGCAAAGCTCCTAAAACACTACTTGAACCTGCCAACTTCATTGCTTGCGAAATGGGATCACAAATGGCAACAACTATATTCATAGTGAACGTAGACGTAGGCAACTTGGCGACAAAAAGACAATCGGTCAAACTGTTGAAACTAGCTTTATGAGACATGTTACCCTCTGGTAAACTAACATAGCTATGGAAAATGGCACATTTATAGTTGATTTACCCATTAAAAATGGTGATTTTCCATAGCTATGTTAGTTTACCAGAGGGTAATACATTTCAAACTTCAGTTGGCCGAATTTTCGGGGAAACTCCATAAAATCCACGTAGCAAGTTTTGGCAAACCCTCATTGTTGGATCAGTTGCATCCGCATTGTTGCTGTGGGCAATCCATGCATCCATTCCAAACGCCCTTCTGGCACAGGACATGACATGATATGAATTACACACCGGCAATTTGTGTTGCTTCAAGACCTTCATTCCTGATGGCATATCCGGACTATGCCTTGAAACATTTGGTACTGCAGCTCATGGCCAATTTTAGATTGATTGCAAATTGGCAATAAAACTATCCACCTACCATTCACCATTAACAGCCATAAGCGAAATAATTGAACCCCGTCACCATGCGCATCCATTGATTTACAGTATCGTAATTCCCTGTTGAGTGAATCCTGATTTCTACTGATTCAACGCTCTATGTTTACCCATTATCCCCTTAGCCATTCATCTATCCTTTGGTTATTCAACAGTTTGCTATGGAAACTATGGTGCGTTTACTTCGATGAACAATCCTATTGAAACGGTGAATTTCCATGACGCAAAGTGTAACGAGTTACCAAAGGGCCCAATGATATCCCAATAAAATTCTTATAAATCCCTATTGTCCCTAACAATCTCAAGGTTTATCTTACATTTGTAGGGAATTGTCTTCCCAATATACATCTCTAGAAATCCCGAAGAAAATCCCAAGCTCTCCCCGGCCTGCTGGTAGATTCGAAGCTTTCCACGGCCATCATCTTGCCACCGTAGCTGGATCTGCCGCTCGGACCATGGCAAGGGGAAGCCCTTTACCCGTATTTCTATGGTTTATTTCTATGGGCTTAAACCATACATGGGGTAACTTACGGACTTATAACTTACAACTGGATATAACTGGTATATATAATATATACTATATATATATATATATTATAGAAAGGGCCATAGCAGCCAATTTACAAGTTGCAAACTATAGCTATATCCCACCAAAAACCCTAGATAGCACCAACTTAGCTCACTTTTCAGGGAAAATCATGTTTTTTTGGCTCAGGGCAGGTTGGCAGGTACCCTACTCGGGTTGGGGTGCAGAACCAAACACCCCCAAACATGGGTACAAACTGAGCCCCCAAAGTTGGTTGAAAACACAGGGTGAACTATGGTTTATGGCAAACTGGGGTTTGTTTTTTAAGCCAACTTATAACTGTTTCGACCTATTTCTGTATATATATATATATATATAATTATCCTTAAACTTAAATGTTATAGTTGAATTCCCACTTTATTAATCGATATATCTCGGGATGCGCTGCATCGCCTGTTACCAGTCCCTGGACTGTCACGCCTCCGTCTTGGCTTCCAGCAACTCCTCAAACTCCTGAAGGGCGGCGCCGTCGGTTGGATGGGAAGTATTTAAGGGGAATGGGACCAACACACATTTGTTTGGTGATATATAGAAACCATTGATCATAGCTGGGTCCAATAGACCCACGGATATTATATTACTGTATTATGTTGGTTGTTTATATCTAATATCAACCAGCAAACATTTGATATGCAAACGTGGTTGAAGGCAAATGATAGGCTTTGTTTGTATTCAACCAACCACGATATGCAGCGTCTGAACGGTGATTTAGCCATGCCTGGATTAACCCTCTGGCCGTTGGACAAACATAACTGGATAGCATCCCAATAATGTTAAGAGGAAAACATATGGGACAGACACGGAATATTATGGACAGAAATGATGGTGATTTTCCAGCAAACCAGGTGAAATTATGGAATGCTACTGCAGCAAGCAGCTGCTGATCATGAATATGACATGATCATCATGATGCAACACCGCCAAAAAATGATGAGTGTTGATGCTTATCCGAAAAAATGGTTTTCAATCCATTCCCACAATACAAGTCAAGTCGAGGAATCGGTAGTTGAACACTCCCAAAGTATGAAAACATAGACATCATAGAAACTGACAAAATCTGTCCATGCTAACTGCTACCATCCATGTCAGTCTGAAAACAATTTCAGGTTCTGACCAGGAAAGTGCCTGGTTACTCAGTTATTGTTTCTTCATATCCAAAAATGAGATGTATATATATATATATATACTGTAACTATACGGTTATATATATACTGGTTGGTGGTTTCAACCCTCTGAAAAATATGGCGGCGGCGCTGATAAAAGGCCGTGCAATGGCACAACATCCACATTTGTAGCATCAGTGTCCAATCTCAATTTCTTGGAGTTTTCACACTTTTGCATCATCTTCATGTGTTTCAATGAGCTCAAAACCAAGTGGTGTTCACCGATGTTACTCAGTTTTGAGCATTTTACCTCAAAAAAAAATGGCAGGTTTTTATGGCAACAATTGAACTCGAAACTTTGCTTGACATGAACTCTGGTTGCTTAATTTAAGGCAATCACAGGCTCAGCCCGATATTCAACGTTTATACATTCACTGCCAGCTGTCCCAACTTCTCAAACACCTCTGCGCTGGCTTGCTTCCTCCAGACCGCGCAGCAGCGTAGCATGACGTATGTGTGGAAGTGCAAGAGAACGTGCAGCAGCGTAGCATGTGTGGAAGTGCAAGAGAACATACTGTGTGGTTGCAGTCGCAATGAACGTTAACATCCCCCTCACCCCCCCAAACCCAGCCAACAAACACAAAGACAACAAGCAGACAGCAGAAGAGAAAAATGAAGACAGCACACAGCCACTTAACAGCATCGACACCAAAAATATGATAGTCATCTGGGGTTATTATTCCCAATATAAGGAAAAAATGTTCCAAACCACCAATCAGTAAATAATTAATCCCATGACCCCAAGCATGCCCGAGGCAGTGACTGCCAAGACAGAGCCTGATCTGTCCTTCAGGTACTCAATTGCCCCATCCTTCATGAGCCCCGGGTTGATGGCCAGAACCTGGTCGACGGATCATCGATGTGGCCTCCCCGACCACTGGAGAGCTTTGTCAAGCCGTAAGCCTGGGAACATGTTGTGTTTGGGGCTTGTGAATACCTGTATATATAATCTGGATTTTAAGCTGATTTACGGACTAGTATCACATAGTATCATCATCATCATCATCACAACATACATATTACACACTGGTTTGTTGGCACCTGCACATCCGCTCGGTTGGCCCTTTCTTGGACGATCTTGCAGGTCATTCTCACCTCGATGGGAAGTCAAAGTCCAATGCTCCAGATAGAGTGAGTACTACAAGGTTGATGATTATAGATTATATGAGGTTATACTCCCCAATGTAGTACTATGGGAGTACTCACATATATATATATATATATCCCCAATATTGATTAGACTATCATATATCATATATTGACTATAATCCACGGTTGGTCATACTCCCCAATATATTGGGGATTTCTAGGGATGTATTTGTGACAGAATGGGAAAATTATTGGACTATACCCTCTGGTAATCACACGTGGCAATGGACTATATTCCCTTTTTGAAAGGATGCTTGAACGGGAAAATCATCTGTAAATGAGGATTTTCCATTGCCGCATTTGATAGCCAGAAGGTATGTTTGTTGGTTTATTAATGTTGCCTCGTCTAACCATGTGTATATATATATATGTATATATATATATCCTATCATTACTTATGATCTATGTGGATAAATTAACATATGTCCCAACCTGAAAAACACACATATAATCGGCTCAGGATGATTCCCTATGTAAACATATCGTGAACATGTTTTTCCAGCGAGGTCGCAGTGAGGTCGTTACAATTGATCCAAACATCCATAGTGACTAAGCCTCTATTTGTGAGCATTCCAGACCACGCAAACCATCTGGGATGGGGACACAAAGACTGTGACGCCACCAGCCATCAGATTAACTCGGGTGCCAGTTAACCAAGATACAACCGGGGTTTAACTGAAATAGAGATGGTGCTTACGCAGGGGTTGATAGGGGACTTGTCTCCCATTAACCTCCAAGGTATGGAGATTGACGCGTGATCCTCCAAATCAGTGCCACTGGTTGGTGGTTGCTGCTAACCCCTCTGAAAAATGATGGAGTGAAAGTCAGTTGGGATGATTCTATATTCCCCCCTGGACCTTCCAAAGTACAGAAAATTCTGTACGATTGGGATTTCTGCACTTTTGGGCCGGTTGAAACGTTTAATCTTAAATGTAAACGGTTTCAACAAAAAGTGAACTCTTTACAGCAGTTCTGACTGCTAGCTTAGATATGGCACGGGTGGTTAAAATATCTTGCCGCAGTGGGTCCCTCACAATTCACCGATTGGAATTGCTGGTGATAATGTCCATGCTTTCCTAAATTTGCAGAGTTTGTGTTGGTGATTGGAGCCCCCAAAGATTCAAAGCCTCAAACATGCAGGAATACGAAGCTATATTTGAAAATAGTTAGTTTGAAGCATGCTTAGTTTGCAGAAATAACAGTTTTCATTCCAACAAGCTGCGATTTGATGCGATTTGTCACATGCATGAACCGCAGCAGTTAAGAAATCCCGATTTGCGTACTTTTGCGGATATTTGCGTATTTTTGCGGGAAATTTGCGTACTTTTTGCGGGAAAACTGTCGACATTTTTGTTGAATTCAGAGCAGTTTTGGAATTTCCTGTAGGCATTTCTTAAAAAAAAACATGGGCGTTCTTTTTTTTTACAAATTCAGACAAAAACAGTCTGTTTCAACGTCTATAGCGGTCTGGTGTCTCCCATCCAGCAAAGATTGCTTTTAGCGTGGCACCAAAGCCTTCTTTGAGCGACTTAGTTGTTTTGTCATATTTTTCACCAATCTTCACCAACCGGTAGATTTGTTTTTCTTGCCGTCTGCTAAGCAGGTCCACTTTGTTTGTCAACATGCAGAAACTCCCATCTAGCATGCCAAGATACGTCAAGTCAGCTTCATTCTTGCAATTTCATGTTGTTCTAGTGTGTTTCTGAACGATTGGTCCAATTTGAACTATTTGCGGCATTTGCGTTTTTTTGCGGTCATTTGCGGCCAAAAGCCCAAAAGTACAGAAATTATTGAACTTTGGAAGGTCTAGGCCATATGAAAAAACATGTTCCAAAGCACCAAGCAGATAATCACAATCCATCTTTTGACCATGGGATCACGGGCAAGTATTGAAATAGTCCTATGGCCCATTCACACATGATGTCAACTGATGCTTCGGCACACAGGACCAAATCTGGTGCCTGCGAGGTGTAGGGTCCGATGTCCATCTTTGGAAAGTACAAGTAGACCTGCCGTCAGCTTCGGAAATCGAAACGTGGATTTGCTGCGCTCTTCGACGAGATATTCAGCACCCTTGGGGAAGGTCAGAAAGGTCAGAAACAGACCTCTATGGTCCACAAAGAGTCGAGGAGGAGGCTCAACACGATCAAACACTGATGAACAAATACGGTAACCCCATCTCCCAAACAACAACAAATTTCACCCATATGGGCATCAAAAATGAATAGGTCCAAACCAAGGTTCATAGGCTGATATTTCGAGATAAGGCCAAATTTAAGACCCAATTACTACTGATCCAATTTCAGGGGTACCCCGGTTCTATCCTATTCTGAACCATGTTGCAAATTCAAATCCATATATATATATATATATATGGATGTATCATACATACTTATATTTCACATCATTATCAAAATTATATTTCATATATAGTTATTTATAGGCTATAGGGGTTGTAGTAGATCATCCCAACTTACAGAGGTTCTCACCATGGCCATACTATCACCCAAATGCACCCTCAAAGCATCCATAGACCACCATGGACCTGTCCATCGTCCAGCCGCTCAGTGCGTTCAACTCCGCTGAAGAGGACTTCTACAGCTCTGGACTTCAACAAAGTCTCCATCCACTGTGGGCTGCAACCTGTCAGCTTCACTCTACAAACTTCGAGTGGTGGCAAAAGGCACTGGGGAATTTGGAATCATCCAGGCCTGTGGCATCTCTGAATTTGAATATTCAAATCCTCACATCAAAATTGACCATCCCATCTTGAGATCTGCTTTTTCATCTTTTTCCAGACCCCCAACCTCCAAGGTCCCGAATTGCCCGGGCCGCACCTTCCAGATCATGTCTGTCAGTTTCCTCCACCACAACGCTCACCGGTCGACCCTCCACCCTTCGTCCCAGCCGCGGACGCCGACGCCGCGACGCCGTGGTCACCGCCACGGCCAACGGCGCAGCGACGGCAGCGACGGCAGTGGCTGGGCTTGGGCAGGGGGCCGAGGCTCCCGAGGGACTGGATCGCCCAGGACGCCAAGATGGCAGTTCTACAGGGGCAATGGGGACTGGAGCCACAGCCGCCATGAGGTCAGCTATGGGCTGAAAAAGTTGGGTTCTAAATGTGGCAAATGTGATTCTAATGGATGGATGTGTGTCAGAAATGTTGTTTTGGTGCGTTTCTCAGTGTGAATGAGAAATCATAGGATGTAGAATAGGGCATGGTGTCTAGTAAGTATCCGAACAAACTGGAAGGTATACCACGCACCAATCAGATTTGAAGATATTTGAAGTCCAGATTTCAGTGGCATCTGTAGCATTTGGCTCGGCTTGTCAAAAGCTCGGCGGCGTTGCAACTTATCTACTTCACTGCCCCAAATCTAGAATGTACATGTTCATATACAATGGAGTTTCACTTCACGTTTGACACCAAATCCCATCCCCTCAACAGAAGATACCAATTACTGCTGGTTCACCCTGATTATGCAGGTAGCAGTCTCATTCCCATTGTTCACTGAAGGGCATTAATCATCCCACATTGTTGTTTGCGCAACAAAACAACATATCCCATGTAACATATCACCATGAAATGGTTGGAATTCCCTAAAAACATTCATCTAATCTGCATAATCTTACTGGTGCTTAGTAGGGAATGGATGGGAATGGAGGAATGGGATTATTATGTATTATTATTAATAGTTATTGTGGATCATTCCCTCATTCCCTCATTCCCTACTAAGCACCAGTAAGTAATATTGTAGTAGGCCACATTTTATCTTAATACCCAATCCCAACCATCCGAAAACATCATTTATCCAGATCGTCATTGTAATCCCAATTATATACCTCATATGAATCCGTATTGTTGGCCAAATCCAACATGATGTCACGTTTGCAAGTTCAACTTCCATTTTGTTTGGTTATCCCGTCCATATATATATATAAGTATTCAGTAATATTCAGTATGTCTACCCCAGATGCTCCATGGTGGAATATTTAACCACATAAAAACCCAACATACCATCTGGTTATTTAACATAGCCATGGAAAATCCCCAACCATAAATGGAGGTTTGTGGGAAAATCATCTATTTCTATGCAATCCATACCATTTAACATCATTTAACTATGCTAGTCATAACCAGAGGGTAAAAATCACCCAGTTTTTTGTCGCGAAAAGCCAAAAGGCCCTACCATGGACTCCATCACCTTGTACCCCACGGGATCCACCTCCGGCGAGATATCCTGATTGGGCGCTGGAGAGCGCTGCGAAAAGGCCTCGACGACGTAACGACACACGCGACGCTGCGGAAGATTCTCTGATTGGTCGGTCGTGTGTCTTATGATCAGATATGATCATCATAAGATATGTTAAGGTATCATACTATATTAAAATATCATAAGATATTCTAAAATATAAGATATTCTAAAAACATATAAGATATTATAGGATATGAATATCATAGGATATCATCAGCATCATCAGTGTCACGTCTGAGACTCCTTCTCCTTCTCCTCGTCATCATCATCGGGTTCCGGCTCACTTGCCCAGGCTGGTGTATGGTGTCAAACCTCGCACATCTATCACTGAGTCACTGCGGATTTGAAGCCTCACACCCACTGTTAATATCTGTTAATCAGGCTTGACAGCTAGAAAACTATGGGCAGGACTTTATTACTGCTCTCTCTTATATATATATATACATACGTTGTCCATAGTTTTTCAATAGCCCAAACAAAACATGACACCGCATGACACCGGGTTGCTCCCAACACCCCAAATGCTCGCGGAAACAAGTGGCTGAGAGGTAAAAGCGCTGAGTTCCCCCCCTCATGCTATCGTTTGTCATAGGTTGGAGCAACCCCTATGAAACTGGCATTTGTTTGTCACGTTGATGAGATTTATATAATCCGTTTGTCTACAGAAAACAAAACACGAATCCACTAGACCCCAGCATCTACTAACTCTGCCAAGAATTGGACATCAGGTCGATGGGAAGAGGACGAAAACACTGATCTTGGGGGGGTACCATATATATATATATATACATATATATATTATATATATATATATACATATATATATACTATATATCTATATATACTATATATCTATATATATATATATTATATATCTATATACTATATATCTATATATACTATATATGATTAACCCATTCCATCATATCCAAAAACAGGAACAAAAATCCAGACCTCTTTGGCCCATATTCAACCCCAAAGCTCGGATGTAAATCTTTTGTTCCTAGTCACTTGAAGCATTCCACTATTATCCCATACTAATCCATGTACCCTCTGGCAATTTAACATAGCTATATTGAAAATGACCCATTTACATTTGACTTACCTATTAAAGATGGTGATGTTCCATATCTATGTTAGTTTACCAGAGGGTATTATCTCAATAATATGCGACTGTATCCGTTATCCCGTTGTCATTGGCTTTACCACATTATCCTCAAAACATATGTCAGATTCCACCAGTATTGTCAGTTATTACTATTATATCAGCACTCAGATTGACCATTTTAAGCACTATTAACAATTATAAAGAACATTATTATAATATTCATACTAATAACGCAATATATTATAGATATTTCAGTTATTCCAAAAGAAAAAGCCCTCACTATTTACATTGGGATGATATTATTATACGTTTACTATTGGGTGTACCATAGTATTTCATTTTATTTGACATTATTAACCATTCTTAAGCATTATTAACCACTATTAATCATTATCAACGATAATTTAACTATAATTAAGGATAAACTACTAATTATACTATCTGGGTAAATTATAATATTTCACTAACCTGAATCTTGCGGCCATTTGGGGATGATTTCCCTTATAAACCATGATTTCCAGTGAGGGAGAACAGTGAGGTCGTTATAATTTACCCAGATACTATATAATAGACACACATATTTTGCATATTCCCCGACCCAAAACGTCGCACTTCCCTATATAGTCAGGACAAGCGCACCTCCTTCACGTTGGCGTCCAGCGCTTCGAGGGCCGACATGTCCCCGATGCGAGTGCCCTTTTCTCGACACCAAAATCGAGGTGTGTTGGCAACAAGAATAGGAATGATAGGCGATATGGACGATATAATGGGAGATATTGGGATGATAATGGGGGCAATCATATAATCGGATAAAATTTGGGATATATATGGGATATATAATCAAAAATACGATTGTGATATAATTGGAATACAACGAGAATATAAGGGCCCCGGCCCTTAAAGGGCCCTCTGGGATGACAGCCGGCCCGTTTGGTGCCACTATCGAACTAGTTGGATGGAGTTGAAAAAAACGCTTGGAAATGGTGGATAAACCGCAACAATAGTTATATGGGATATAAATGAATATAATCAATGGGATATACAATCAATTTGTGGCAATTTGATATGATATCTGGGTGTGTCTGAAACTGGAGCATACTGCGGACAATAATGACCATCCGTCAAGTTTAGGGAATAAAATAATACAGAATATATGTTCAAACAAACACAGGTGGATAGAACGTTCAACTCAGATTCCGCAGCATTGAGAATTACATCAGGAAATGCTTTTCGACCGGGGCATACTTGAACAACAACAACAACAACAACAGAACCATGCAATTCGCAATTCGATTGCATCATTCCTGGGGTTTCTTCAAGCCGTGGTGGTTTTGGGAGTCTCCCAGTGACCCAGTGAAGTGAACCCAAAAAGGGCCGGGTCCAAGGCCTCAATGATCTGCGGATAGATTTGCGACACTCCATCGTTGCCTGAGCCGGTGGGTTTTGACCTGGCAACAAGGATGGATAGGGGGTGATTCTATAATACTATTTCATATGGTCACCATAATAATAACAATAATAATAATAATAAAACAATCATCATCATCATCATCATCATCATCATCTAATGCTTTTGAAGACGGGCATCAATGGGATACTTTTAGGTTTGGTGGGGAAGCTGCTGCAGCTTCTGGTGTGCTTGGAGCTTCTGCTAAGGCTCCGATTGATCCAGCATCCCCTGCGGCCAAGATCGCCGAGCGACGCATCAGAACTTTGTCCCACTTGCGAAGGATCTTGTACCTCAGCGAAAGGGACTTCACTCACTAGGCCCACTATATAGGCCACTGAAATATCTGTTGATATCTGTCGATCATCTTGGATGTGCTTAAGATGGGGTCCTCAAAAATGTTGAAACACAAACAAGAAAACCGTGCGAAAATCAACACATCACCATTAAACAAACACAGGTCATGTTGAATGGACATAACTTCTCCTTTCTGGGACTCCAGATTTGATGGGATGCGAGATCCGGGAGTCGGTGGCTCATGGCATATCATATCAACATATATCAACCATCAACCATGATTTATGGCCTATCTTCCCAAGTGGCTCATGGTGAATTCCGCCACTGAAAAAAATCAATTGCGAATCCATTCAGTTTTATCCATTCACATCCTCCTAAAAATCAACTTCGACCCTATCAACATATTATATATATATATACTGGTTGGTGGTTTCAACCCCTCTGAAAAATATTAGTCAGTTGGGATTATTATTCCCAATATATGGAAAAATAAAAAAATGTTCCAAACCACCAATCAGTATATATATATATATATGTATAAACAATATTATTCTGAATTATTTCAATTACTTTCATGGAACATCCAACCCATCGCTGGCTTCCCTGCTGTAACCCCCCGTTCCTGGCAAATTTCACTGAGGACAGCGACAACGCCGCATGGTTCAGCTCGTTGTAGCCCTTCAAGCGATAGATGCCATCGGCCAGGCGTCCTAACGCCTGCAGGCACCGGTCCAATGGTTCACAGCGAAATCTCTTGGGATCGAATCCCTGTTGGAAATTACTACCCTCTGGTTATGACGTTATTTAACATAGCCATGGTATAGATGGTTTACCGAACTTAAAAATGGTGATTTTCCATGGCGCCATGTTAAACAACCAGAGGCTATATTCATTGGGTTTCCATCACCCTTTTGGTAGATTTTTGGTTGCGTCTGCATGTCTGATTTTAACTTCTTGTAAAAAAAATGCACATATGTGTGCTTGCATGTCCAAAGATTGGTTGCATCCCCCAGTTGCAACTGATACCTGCTTGGGTCCTAAAAAGGTTCAGACATGGTGGCACATGTTAGTCGCCAGGCTGCAGATTCCACTGGAATTGGTTGCTTAAATAGTTGCAGTACATATCCCTCTGGTTATGTCAAAATAGCTATTGAAAATGACCATAGAAATAGTGGATTTTCCCATTCATAGCATGATGATTTTCCCATCAGTTATGTAACAAATTACCAGAGGGTATCCCTCAACTTGGGATTCATGATTAGTCACTGGCTTTGTCCCAAAGCAAGCAACGAATGCAACGAATGTTTGAAGCAGTCAACAGGAATCCATCGGCACCTAAAATCCCACGATAGGGAGCTACCTGGATCCAATACCGGGCTCCACAGTTTATTCCAAAACATACCAAGTCCCAGCCCACAGATACCAAGCATTATAATGGATCCCAAAAATGAACATATCCTATACTGAAGCAAGGTTTGTAGGAGGTGATTCACATAATTAGCAGCATCCACCATTAAGAGTTCAGAAGGGATCCCATAATTTTCCGTTTTTCCCATGGGTAATTTTCCCATTTGTCCAATTCGGAAGGAGTTTTCTCTCATCGAAAAGCCAGGATCCTGGGCCTCCAACATGTTCAAATGCAGAAATTGGCTCATAGGATTCGGCTCCGCAGTGGCCCCCACACCTGGCGTGATTTCGGCTCACTCAGACGGCCGCTAAGAATCATAGGATTTTGGAGCGGCCCGGTATGTGACGCGAGAATGGGTAAATTTACGTGTTACAAAAAACAACTTTTGAATGGAAATAAATGAAACCACAAATGTTTGTGGAGCCTTGGTCCACAACCAACATCAACAGCATTTCGTTGCTTAAGATGGGAACCACAAAAAATACCAAAGGTATCAAGGGTGAAGTCCTGAAAGGGCTTAATCTCCCTGTCTCTGATAGATTGCGCTTATAGAATCTTCCAGAAATGAGGACAAAAGCTACTAAATTAGACAGACATTTAGTTTAACTCAGCAGACAAAACTGGATTCCGCATCAAGCATGGCGAATCATTCCCAAAATCTACAGGTCAGGGTCCTTGAGCCATCCTTGAGCCATCCCTTCGTCCCTTCCATGTCATTTTGATTCCACCCTGCTGTCTTTGTCAGGGCTGTGCCATCCTCCATCTCGCCCCAAAAAAGGTATGCCGTGTTTCCACGGCATCGAAATGGCTGAGGTGCACTTTTGCCGGTCCTCCTAAGCAATGATGGGTCCTTGTTATGTGTGGAAGGTGGGATGATCCAAATCAACTCCTCTTTGATACCTTGTGGATACTTGTTGCTGCCACCACCTCTATGTCACTTGTTGGGGGCCCATCATTTCACGGACTCTGGTGAGACACACGCTGCCCCACGTGATGCAGGGCACCATTTCGGATCAACCAGAAGTGAAGTTGTAGGTCATAAACGACTACCCTCTAGTTATGTCAAAATAGCTGTTGAAAATTGCCATTTCTAGTGAGTTTTCCCATTAAACATGGTGATTTTCCATAGTTATATTAGTTTACCAGAGGGTACATTCGGACCACATCACTGACATATTGGATCAACACTTTGCATGTAAGCCTGATTCCAAGCATGCTTCCTCCAGTAAGCATCCTATTTCTGCAAGCCATATCCCCGGAAAACATATATGATCATATATGGATTTATAAACCCATCAGGCAGCAAAAACATGGAGACCTCTGGATAGTTTCTATTGAAAAGGATTTTGACGTAGTCAAAGATCAACTTTGGTGAGATCGTTGGCAACAAAAAAATAATATTTTCCCTAAATCCTCAGGACTCTGAGAGCAGTGAGGCAACATTGCGCCGACCTGGTGGTGGCCACACGGAAATGGAAACACATTGGCAAGAAACGACCGACAAATCACAATGTTGACATGTCATCATGAAAGATGAACGGCTTGTTGACAGTGACAGAAATGAACGTTTTAGTGACAAACACATGTACAACAACTTGTCTATGAATTAAACACAAATGTGAGCGCTACAGCAACTCCCAAAAATAATTATTGATATTGGTAACATGATAGTAGCATCCAGCCCTAGAATAGATTGAACCGCTTTGATGTTTTCTTTTGGAGGTGCTAAAACAGAGACAAAAACCACTGCGCTGCACCTCTTTCCAATGCGAGATCACCGGCAGTTCGGCCTCGTTCATCCTGGCGTTTTAAAAAAAGAGACGTGGCCTTTGGGACAACAATCATGTGGATCTCAAATATCTCAAGTGGAATCATATTCATCAAAACATTGAAATAAATTCAAACAGGTTGAAATAGAGACTTTCCATCCGAAACCGCATTTCTATAATTTTCTCCCAACCGTGGTCGCACCTTTCCACCCCTTTCCTCCCTACCGCAGCCTTTGAGCTGAGCAAGGCTCGCTTGTCGGGCGCCAAACCTGATTCGGAGGCAGTTTGAGTTTGTGGTGCCCCAAAAAGCACGATAGTGGTGCAAATAAGCAGCTGGATTCCATGGTTTCGGTATATAGAGATACATGGGGTATGACCGCAACTATATAATTGTAATACGAAGCCCAATCATATAGTGTTAGTATTAGCATGTATTGACCTTCTAGTTACCTTATTCTACGGTACAAGGTGAATCATTTCAATTTGAGCCTTCCAACTAAGTTGGGCATAACTAGTTTAACTGTGTATTGTAAATACTTTGACATAATGGGCCCTTTTGAACCAGCTTGTAGCTGGGGCAATATCCATCCCCTTTGATGAATGACACATATGTTGACCATTCTACAGAGCTGGATTTGTTTGGAAATTGGTGGGTGAGAAATGGGATTGTATGGATATGTTTGGATTGAATAGAGTATATTTTGGAACTCTCAATGCAAATGTTTATCTCAAAAGCCTGAACAGTTTGAGCAACACATATTTATGGATACAACCGAAACACATATTTATGGATACAACCCACAAAACTACGAAAATACTGACCCTTATGTCACAGCACAACTGGCGACGTCGCCAACAATGTTCAAACGCATGGGTTCGATGTATTTTTGGAAGTTAAGAACAAACAACAACACACAAAAACATCTACTCTGGGGTAAACATGCTATAAGAACATGTGGGTTTAGGGCATGTGGAAACCGTTCGGTTTCAATGTGATCTACAAATGGTGGGTTAACACCACATCTATGTTTTTTTTCAGATTAGTTTACAGGAGAGTCTCCAACACTGCCAGTGATATATTCTCTGATTCTCATCGTGAAAATTATCAACATATCAACACCCATGACGGATCCATGGTGCTGCTATATATATATATATATATGGTGTGCCATGGATCCCATCAATATACCCCAAACATGTTAGCATTAATATACCAGCACCATGGATCCGTCATGGGACATATTTATCAACAATCCATATCCAGCATTTGAGCAGTGCCACATGTTGATGATTGTTTTTTGGGCTATACCATGCTATACCATCAATATATTGGGGATTGTCACAACTCATGGGGAAATCCCTTCTCACCGAAAACCCGGTACGAAGAGACGCTGAAAATTCGGATTTTGAACACTGCTGACATGTCCTGTTTTCCACTAGAAATGGCAAATACCCCAAATGGGCAAGCGTTTATGGCAATGTCTATTTGGACATTGTCAAGCATATCAACATTAAGATCAACAATTCTCAGATATCCCTTTAAAACACATCAAAGGAACCCTCTAAATTATATCAAATCATGTATAGTGATATGCTAAGGATTATCAACATGAATATCATCAATCCTTAGATTTACAAGGTACTAATGATCAATTAATCAATTATCATCAATATTAAACCATCAAAAATCCCTCATAATTGGCAGTGTGTCAAAACCTTGTACCCCTGTAGTTCACATCAAAATAGCTGGTAAATGGATGTTAAAAAATGGTATTAATAGGTATTGATCCATACCCAATTATCAACATGAAAATATCCTTCACAGCATCTATCTTCGTTTGGAAAACCACTCGGCAAGGCCGCAAGGCCGCCCAAAGGTCCCGTTCGGTCCCTGGGTTCCCCCCACGTAACATCACCCTTGCGGCATCTTCATGACCCCGATAGGCCACCAGGTGTAGGGCCTATAAAAGGCCACCAGGTGCAGTGCGAATCGAGAGTTGTGTTATGTTAGAAATATGGTTCAATACATGGTGAATATATGGGTTATAATTACGGCTTGTAATTAATATATGGTTTAGGTAAATGTTGTTTAATATGAAACTGCTGAGACCCTTTGTTTGTGCACATAAATATTGGTATGTTACCCCTATAAATTTGGTTTCTTTTTACCAACATTCATTGTTATCCAGATGGTCTAGGCAATGCTTTGGTATTGGCTTACTAGTTACCCACCAACGTGTAATTTAATTAATTTTAATCCCACCAAAATGTGCAGTAATTGGAGGTTTTTATTAACGTTCATCAAACATCACATGTATAGTTTGTGCAAGCAAAACACACAACATGTATGTATATATATATATATAAATTATATATATATATACAAATATCGCAATCTGTTCACCGGCAACAACTTAGGTTTTAGTTCCAATGGAATGCGCAGATCCTGCTGCGACTGGGTGCTGACTCCCCCATCATAGCTATGGAAAATTCCGCATTTATTTCGATGAGTTACCAAATTCTAGCCTTAAAACATGGTGATTTTCCAGTTCGCTAGCTATGTTCGTTTACCAAAAGGGTTTCCAAGTGACAACATCCACTGATGCCCTTTCGGATCCGGCGAAGTCGGCTGAGTTTCCCGAGCCGTAAATCCACTCCATTTCTCCAGGCTCTCCTTCAATCGTGCTCCTTTGTCTGGATCACCTTCTAACCTTGAAGCTCCAGCGAAAGACAAACGATGAAACCATCGGAACTTTGTGATTTAAACATATTTAAACACCACACATGAGGATTTAATATGATTTAATGGGGTTTGCAGCTGATTTATGATAGTTGAGTTGACTTAGTTCACTTGGTGAACTAGGGTCTTATGGGGGATGTAACTATCATAATTGATGTGTTTAAGCAACCAACATATCTGGACGACCTCAGCTTCTCGTGTCATCCCATTTCGCTTCCATCTCAGTGCCCAACAGGATCTCGATCACATCGGCATGGCCCTTCTCACAGGCCAGCTGTAACCTATGGCATCAGTCTGGCGTGGATTTGTGGCGAAATGTCGTCGGCTAAACCATCAAGAAATGGCTTGAAGGATGAAATGCCAACATGGTATTTTCAAGAAGTGGATTGATCGGCAAAAATATTGGAAAAGTGAAATCCTACAAAAATGCTGGCGCCTGATAACTTTGTCTATCTTTTCGCATTATACTCTACAGAAAAACGCTGGTTGTGACTACCAAGTATTGAATTTTTGTAGGCTCCTGTAAGTTTTATATGCAACTACGGCAATTAATTCTGGGACACAAAAACCATCTGAGGCACCACAAGAACCAGTCAAACAATGTGGAGACCATGGGGAGAGTCGCAAGCTACCTATATCAGGACAATGTGGGGATCATACTTAAAATCACCAGCCAAAAGGATATTACGGAACAATCGTGATATTAGTGACACCCTCTGGTTATGACTAACATAGCCATGGTTTTTCGATGGCCCATAGAAATAGATGGTTTACCTATTAAAAAATGTGATTTTCCATGGCTATGTTAGTCATAACCAGATGGTATCACATTCACCAAGACATCAGGGTGGCGTTTAGCCCAAAACTGGTTCAGTTTCATTGATATCAAGCCCAACAATGCTTTAGGATACCCTCTGGTGAACTAACATAGCAATGGAAAATGGCCATTTATAGTGGATTTTCCCATTAAAAATGGTGATTTTCCATTGCTATGTTGGTTCACCAGAGGATAAGCGTCAACAGATTTCAAGAACAATGTGGGGATATCAACCCCAACACATTCTGAGGAAATACTGGTGATGAATCCATAACTGTGGCACCCAAGAGAAAACAAACTACGGAAACAAGTTAAATCAATAAGGTGTTTATTATACATTTAGTATCGATGATATTATGGTATCATCACATATCATCATCATCATCATCATCATCATCATCATCATCATCATCATCATCATCATCATGAGGATACCATAGTATCATCCCCTCAGCTTTAGATACATCTAATATCATTGTGATAAATCTTTATAATATCAACATCATATGATCTATTTAATATTATTATAATCCCCATTCAATATAATGTCATCGATAAACTTCATACCGTATCAATATCATCACATATCATCCAAAGCGTCTTGCTTCAGATCCCCTCAGCGGAAGCTTCTCTGAAACCGAGTGACGGAGTGAAGCCTCCTGACTTGTCCTGGTCAGAGACATCGCTTGGAGATCATCATGTTATTAAAATAGCTGGGCATGTCTGGCTGTCTGTGACTAGTAACTACAGTATATATTCAGTTAATAGTAGTTAATATCATATTTAATATTCTTTAATGTTAATGTATGTATATATATATATAAACATCTTCAATATGTTAAACCATCATTTTCAATTAGTAAACCATCATTCGTGGGCATGTCAGTTGGGATCATCCCTCCGTTGGAGTTGAAATTTTCAGAAATGGGTGAAACATGTTGAAACCACCAAGCAATTTAAACCAATGTGGTACCTTCCGCACCAGTTTCATCCAGAAAAAAAACAGGAAGAAGAGATGACGACGTAGTAATCATAGGCATAAGCTGTGGATTTCAGGTGCCAGATGGTGCCATATTTCTGACCAACACACATCTTTTCAAGGCTGGCACTCTCGCCTGTGTGGACAACATCGTAGAGGAGAGAGTATGTGCCAGCCTCGTGCGGTCCACTAAGACTACATGGTCTCTGCAATCACAACACACACCATCTGCATAGAGTAGATATGTCTGTAGTTATATAATGGGGTGTATTAACCAACTGCATATATATATATATATAGATATACACAACATTGTCCTTTTAGGAAAATATAGGGGCCGGCTTGCTATAAACATGTATAAACTGTGTTTGATCATTTTACCTTTGTTGACTGGGGGTGTCTAATAAAAGCAATGTCATAAACCACCCATATGGATTGATAGCAACAAAAAAACATCTATTTATGCTAAATTTGGGGATGGTTTACTATTAACTAACATAGTAGCCCTCTATTTATCAACCAACCAGTAAGAAAAGAACATCATAGTATATATATATATACATATATATATAGTTATAGCTGAATGATTTATACACTAAAGGTATAGATATGACTATAATGGACTACAATATACCCTCTGGCAATCAGGTCCATGGCTTGCTGGGATTTACCATTGCCATGTTCAACTACCGAAGGGTAAAAAGAGCGGAGGTTGACCAACTAGACAAAGACTCAACTGAAATCGGCTAGATGGAATTTCAAAACAAAAGAGGGCAGGACAGTAGGTCCAAATACATCAAAACATGAATTGAAGACCACGGGACCTACATGTTTTAGTGTGGTGTGGCGGTGATTGTTATTACAGTAAATGTGCAGGAGGGGTTTGTAAACCAGCAAACACAGCTGGGGGTGCCCACATTGTGATCAAAAAATATAGATTAGTACCAAACTACCCGGTGAGAAGGTGCCCCCCCCAGGTATGTCTATTGGTTTGTAAACCCGAATAACACCGAATAACTATGTCAATGTACTGTACCTACTATAAACCATGTCGTTAAACTCGTGATTTCAACAAAGTTCGCTATCATAATTCACCCATCACTTTCCATGTTGCTTGGTAGATCTAGATTTTTCACAATGAACTTGGCTATCATAAATCACCTACAACTCCATGTTCGTCTTGGTTATAACCTTTTTTATTAAGGCTCAACACCTATCGGACCTGCGTTGCCGTTGCCCACCACGTTGTGCGCTGGGTGTTTCACCCGAGGTCCCCGGCTCCAACAAGACCTTGCACAGCTCCGCATGTCCCGCCCCAGCGGCCAAATGGAGCGCCTCAGCCATGGGTCAGGGCTGGGTTTGGGGAACCAAAATGGAGCTATCTGACTAGCTGACCCCCCAAACAAAGGTGCCCATATTATGCTTGTACTGTATATATTATATATCATGTGTATGTACATATAGTTAGGTATAATAATTATATATATATATGTATATATATATATGTATATATATATATATATTTATAATATAATATATATATATAATATATATTATATATATATGTATACATATATATATATTATATTATATATATACATATATTATATATATATTATATAATATATATATATATATTATGTATATATATATATATTATATTATATATATATAAACTATCTCTAATATTCTGTAATTGTGTATATAGATAATTTTAGATAGATGCAGATGCGTGAAAAGATCGTTCCTATCAACTAAAAAAACTACACAAACGCAAGAAAACGCACACAACCTTCCAAAGCACTGGTCTTAGAAGCATCCCTTTTGGTGATGTGCAGCAATGTAGCAACACAATCAGTGTCCAGCCTAGCGAAAGCATGTCAAAGAGGGGGTGTGGTTTGGATTATGTTTGGGCAAAACCCTAAGACCCGTACGGCCATTCATGTGTTAAATCAAATCATCAAAGATTTTTGGGTAAATAATCTTGAGACATATGGCCGATAGTTTGGTCTTTGCAGTTGTCGTTCTCTACATATTGCAAACAATGAATTGGCATAGATTTTGATCACCTTTATCATCTTTATCCACCGATCTTTTGCTTCTCGGTTCCTTGAGTTCCCTGGGTTCCCCGACAGTTTGTCCCGCAAATTTCTCTTGCGCCATCAACAAGCTCTCTGTATCTGGACAATGCTCCACCCTGGTCAGGCGGAGGCTTGTCTCCGGTGGAATTATTGCCAGACAGGAGGCATAAGATCACAACCAGCATTAACACAACCCGGGTTGTTGCCATATCCGTTGATGTTTATGTTGATGATGATGATGATGATGATGATATTATTATGATGATGATGAGGTGGAGGATGAGGATGAGAATGAGGATGCTAATTATCCTCCTCCTTCATGATGACTATCGTTGTGAGCATCATCCACCGCAGTCAGCATCTCAAACCAACCACGGAAGCTTGTACGGAGAGTGTCAGCAAACAAGCGAAAATTCACAGATTGACTGATCAGTATGGAAGTGAACCGTCCATTTTTTTCTGGGTAGCAACCATCCATTGCCCCTTCCCGATTAAATGCCCTAAACCATATGCGTGGTTTAGTAATCTTCATGCTGGGGTCCTTGTTTTGGCATTTGAATTCAGTGGGAAGGGATTACTATCATTTACTATCCATATCCCAATGATAGTCCCCATTGGTCAGAAGCCCTCCTTAAAAGCTCCATTGGCCCCCCGACAGAGTCTTCACAGTCTCCAGGTGGCCCCGCCTTGGTGATGGTTGAAATGCTGGAAATGAGACTATCATACTTGGTGGCTCATCCCACTTAGTAAGTGGGTTATAACCCCAGTTATAAGTGGATTAACCCTACTTATCCCATTTATAACTGGGGTTATAACCCACTTACTAAGTGGGATGAGCCACCAAGTAAGAATGTATAGATGAAATGTTGATTCTTTTTTTGGGTTTCTCTGAAAATAGCCGATCTCAAATAATCCACATTAATCCACTGGTTTCCATGATCATTGTCCCTAGATATCCCAAGTACCATCTGGTTATGACTAACAGTTCGCCATGGAAAATCACCATGTTTAAGTTCGGTAAACCATCTATTTCTATGGGCCATCTATACCATGGCTATGTTAAATAACCAGAGGGTATATAGATGAAAATAGATGAACATAGTTCCCAAAAACACCAATAATTATGGACTTATAGGCGTCAAGAATTCTATCATCCCAAGAAGAAGTGATAATCTCAACTCTTGGAAATGGACAACAAAACACATTCTTCAATCTTAAATGCCAGATGCTAATCCCCATGACACCATGATATTCCAATTGTTGATGGATGAGATCCTCGTTTTTTAATGGCTGAAATCCCACAGATTTCCCAGGTCGTCCCTAGGCCCCGACTCGGCCGCCAGATGCAGCGCCGTGTTCCGTGCGCCCCGATCCGTGGCCAGAGACGTCTCGCGCAAGGGCGAGGCTTCCAGGATGGCGCGCACCTCCGCACCGTTGCGAAGGTGACATTTTTGGGTGGAAAACATGGGGGAAATTATTGTGTTGATTGGGGTTCTAATTACCATGAAAATCCTCTCAACTACTATCCCCAGACCCTAGGAAACTTCATTGTAGACCCTGGATCTAGGGTCTAAAGTGGGGTCTGGAATGATAAATACCTAGGTGATTCCAGAAACATAACGGAACCATGCTAGACCTTACCTAGGGGTCCGGGAACTTGCACATAACACAGCTATGATACTGGAAGGCTCAGAGAGGTAACTTCACTTTAGACCCCTGGGCCCGGCATCTCCGGCAGTAAGCCTAACATCAAAGCTTGAAGTACCTTCCCTCAGGAGCATATCTCCTATATTCTCTTATTTAAGGGTTATATTGTGGTTATTTCGAGACTATATTGATTTAGTATTAGTCTATTTGTTTTACATGCAGATGGAATTCAAATTAACAATTTTTGGGTTATACAATAAACATGAATAAATATTTGTCACACTCTGGTGCCTTAAGATTTCCTAACATAGGGGGTAAGTTTAAAAAACCTGATTTTTCTCGACTCGAGTAAAACCAACTTACCCCAGAGTTATCCTGAACTGTGTCTACCCACAACTTTGAATAAACCAATCCCAAATATCCAAATCTTGCCATTCGACCATTCCACCGAGGGCAGTTTGAAAAAGCTCTGATTAACACGACGCATCCTGACAGCTTCCATTGCAAAATGCTCGCCTTGCATTTTTTCCGCCAGATAGAATTATTTCCACCTTCGAGGTATTTTGGGGTTGGATGTGTAATTATGTGATGTGACCCAATATGTTTTTCTTATCTTTTCCTCATCTTCATGGGTCTGAAATGGTTTACCACATCCTGAAACCAGAAATATTCACCACAAATGCTATGGGAACATCATTTCAGACCCATCAAGATGGACCATTCCCAACTATACAGAAGAGAAACCATCACCATCAACATATCAGAAAGAATGTCAGAAGATATGCCAGATAGAATGTCAGAAGATATGCCAGATAGAATGCCAGAAGATATGCCAGATAGAATGTCAGAAGATATGCCAGATAGAATGTCAGATAGAATGCTTGAAGATTTGGCAGATAGAATACCAGATAGAATGTCAGAAGATATTCCAGATAAATTATCTTTTCCTCATCTTCATGGGTCTGAAATGGTTTACCACATTCTGAAACCAGAAACATTCACCACAAATGCTATGGGAACATCATTTCAGACCCATCAAGATGGACCATTCCCAACTATACAGAAGAGAAACCATCACCCTCAACATATCAGAAAGAATGTCAGAAGATATGCCAGATAGAATGTCAGAAGATATGCCCGATAGAATGCCAGAAGATATGCCAGATAGAATGTCAGAAGATATGCCAGATAGAATGTCAGATAGAATGCTTGAAGATTTGGCAGATAGAATGCCAGATAGAATGTCAGAAGATATTCCAGATAAATTATCTTTTCCTCATCTTCATGGGTCTGAAATGGTTTACCACATTCTGAAACCAGAAATATTCACCACAAATGCTATGGGAACATCATTTCAGACCCATCAAGATGGATCATTCCCAACTACACAGAAGAGAAACCATCACCATCAACAAAGATATCAATGATATGTGTTGATACCAATGAGTACTTGATTTGGAATCATGTCCCAATATGTTATTATGCGATTCGCAAGCATTCATCAAATATGTTATTCGTTTATTTGTGTAATTATGCACCATTATGAACCATTACAATCCATTACATAAAAAATAACATCGCCATTTTACCATCATCTTGTGACAACAAGATTGCGCCTTATGTCTCCACTGGTTGTGGTTGATTGATGTTGGTTGTGGTTGCTTGGTATGCGTTTGGCAACCTTTATTAAGGTTCCAAGGATGCAAAGGGTCTAAGATGAAGTTCCCTATGCAAAAGCCAAAAGGTCTAGAATGGATTTCCCTCATGATAGTAAGGGTCTAACATGGTAGGAGGCAAAAGGTCTACAATGATTTTCAGACCATCTTAGACCTTCCATCTTGGGAGCCCTAGGCAAACCATCTTAGACCCTCTAGTAGTTGAGGGGATCCATGAAATAGATTCAAACATTGGGATTTAGGCATCAAAACATAGGGATTGAACTATCAAACATTAGTCGAAAACATCGGGGGTTTAAGATCTGTTGACCATAAAAAACAATAGACACACAGCATGTAAATTGAGATACACATTGTGCAACCTAGGTTAAGATACCTTCCAAATAGTTTGCCCATGTCATTTTGTCGTTTAACTTCAAATCAGCTTGAGGCATAACAGTGGTCTCTTTTTGGCTGATGAATCAACTAGCCCTCGCCATTCAGTTGGCCGAGAAGTTCCTCCTGATCTCCCGTCCCCGCCGTATAAATCCTTGCAATCCCCATATTCTTGTAAGAGTAAAACCATCTCAACCCCCATAGTTTTGCTGTGGTTAATGTCAACATCCAAATAGTTTTGCTGTTACAAGACCCAGTTCATCAACAGGGTTTTAAAGTGAAAACATGTCAAAACCATGACAAAACCAGGGTTTTTTGGTCCCCAACCCATTCCCCATCCAGTTTCATCCAGTTTCACCAGCGTCGCCCAAGGTGCTGCTTCATTGTGACCAGCTTCCGCTGCCATATGCAGCGCCGTCTGCCCTGAGCCCAGCTCAAAATGGGGATGTCAGGAGCATGTAATGAGCATGTAATGATAAATAAGATATGTGTACATAGTGTATCACTATATCAATATGAATGTGTATACATATATATATGATAAATATGTGTGCAACCAATACCTCTACCTCTGAACAAATTGCGCTGTAACGTGTGGTTGTCCATCAATGGGCTATGCATGGCTATGCGGCCATAACCAAGAATCTGATGTTGATGAGGGAAAATGATGATCTGTGGGAATTGTGAGAAACAAAATCTTCAAACAAACCGAGATAAACCATGCATTCAAACCACCAAACATTTAGATAAGCTCTGAAGCTGAAGATCACAAAAAATATTGACAGAGATACAGTATCTGCAAGTCATGCCAGTGTAAAGACGTAAGAAAACTATGTGGTATTGTTTGAACTGTGGATGATGATGATCCAGCTGCAAACTTTATTCCTAAGCTCAGTTGGATCATTCCAATGCGACGATCCAACTGAATTTGGGAGGGTGTGTGAATGGAGTACATCCGATAAAGTAGCTCAGTATCTCATTTATCCAGGTCCCCCTCAAAATTGGACACTTGCCAAGCTCTCTGATAAATCCTGAAGAAAAGTCTAGCAATCCCAAATTCAACATCAAGCCAAGGAGCATGTTTTTGTTCATATGGCAGTGTGTCAAAACCTTGTACCCCTGGTGAACATCAAAATAGCTGGTAAATGGATGTTCATTCCCACTAAAAATGGTATTAATAGGTATTGATCCATACCCATATTTGTTTTGGGTAACTTTGCCAAAGAAAAGGTCAGACTTGGTTCAAGGGGAAGTCTGCAGCAATCACCCACTTTTCGAGCGAAACCATGCAAAATATTGTCTGCATATAGAATTTCACTTAAACAAATCCAATCCCACCCCCATACCCCTACAACGTGGAGCCCCCTAGCTATAAGTTAGTCTATAAACCCTATATATATCCTTCATAGACCCCAATTAAACAACTTATTTGCACCAACTTAGCTCTCGTAAACAGGGGCCCCACCTTGCATGCGCTTACTGAACATGTCCAAGCGGATCACCCCAAACCAGATGGCTACAAATCCCATGATATCCCATTACCCTCTGGTTATGACTAACATAGCCATGGTATAGATGGCCCATAAAAATAGATGGTTTACCTATGAAAAATGGTGATTTTCCATGGCTATCTTAGTCATAACCAGATGGTAAATCTGGCTGGATTATGCTGGGTTATGATGATTCACCAACTGGAAAGAAGACCATTTGGAGAAATAGTTCTACCCTCTGGTTATGTCAAAATAGCTATTGAAAATGACCATTTATGGTGGATTTACCCATTGAAAATGGGGATTTTCCATAGTTATGTTAGTTTACCAGAGGGTAACTCTTTCCAAACCAAATTCATTACAATAATTCATCACAACATATCATGACCATTCATTACGATTCCCAACCCATCAGAATTCATGAGGACCATGATTCCCCCACTCCTGACCATCTATCATAAGAAGCTCATGATTTTCATGACTACTTGGAAGTGCAGTTCCAGTTAAAAGTGGCTATATGACCATAATTGTAGGGGTTATATCCCAATGTCTCGGGGGTAAAAAAACCATGGTGAGAAACCCATTTGCAACCTCAACTGCACCCAAAAGAGTCAGAATCGAATCGAATCGGAAGAATCGATCGGTTTTCCTACTGACTGCATATTATAATGATCTTATAATCCCTGATGGAGAGCCGGATCATTTTGTAGGGATTACCGGTAAACAAACAGTTTGCTATTTTTCAACTTGCCATAGAATCCATAGAAATAGTTGAAAAAAAACAATGAAATTGCCACATGGTGATTTTCCATAGTTATGTTAGTTTACCAGAGGGTAAATCCCATTAAATTCCATTAAACCACCATAAGACCTCATTAAATCACCATTTTCCTATGGTTTTCCTATGGTTTTCCAGATGCTATGATCCCTTTCTGCTGACTGATCTCTGTTGATGGCAAAAAATGGCCTGTGATCCGTTCTCTGGCCGACACCAGGTGGGAATCGCATGTTGAGTGCAGCAGCTTTCGCACCTCGAAAGCGCAAGAAGCGAAGGGTGGTTTCGGGTGTGAGCAGAATGGGAAAATGCCAAGAAAAACGGAGGGTTTAGCCGGTTTAGCCAACAATAAGGAGGATTTAACTGATTTAACCAGCAAAAGTGAGATTCAGTTTCAGACACCACGTAGTGCTTTTATAACCAAGAAACGAAAACTGCGGTAGAAAAGAGAGCAGAATGGGGTAACCCTCTTTTGTTCCAACAATAATTATGGTTCCACAACCCCCTCCCCACAGGTGACCAGCCTGACCAGCCAACTGATGCTACTTAGCTTAATAAATCATGACTGGTTGGTGGTGCAATAGCCATCTTGAAAAATAATGGAGTTTGTCAATGGGAAGATTGGCATCCCATATGTGAAATGGAAAAAAAAATGTTCCAAACCACCAGCCAGATGAATTATTTATTGGCAAAGTCGCCGGTGTGGAATCTGGCTTAACTTTTTTTTTTACATAATGCAAGTCCTTGGCTTTAATGCAAAAAAAAATCTAGGTCCCGTCTACCATTTTTGGTTGATTATGTTGCTATGTGTCAAAACCCATTCTGTGCCCTGGATAGGTCAGTTCATAATCCATTCATCATGCATTGATCATATTTACAATATCCATCACTATCCCACTGTAACTCTTGTGATCATCCCTATGACTATCCCACTATTGCTGATTACAGCAACCAATTTTGTCCAGTCATATTGTAATAATTGCATTCTCAACATCTAGATTGATCCCGATAAATCCCCATTAAGATCCCAAATTGTAATATCAAAACCATTCAAAACCCACATTTATCTCCATGTTCAATCCCATTTCAATCACGCTTCTAATATCAACATCCGCATGGTCCCCAGATTTCCCCATCTGGGCATCCGGAACTACGGCCCCGTGGCCACGTTCGCAGGCCAAGTGCAAGGCCGTTTGACCCAACTTGTCGGACCTGGAAAACGGCGACGGACGGCGACCGTCGTGGCTGGCATGGCCTTTGGAAAAAGTGACCTTGTCTTTAAAGCTGCGTAGGATTACATACATACATACATACATACATACATACATACATTACATTACATTACATTACATTACATTACATTACATTACATTACATTACATTACATTACATTACATTACATTACATACATCCATCCATCCATCCATCCATCCATCCATACATACATACATATAGATACATATATAGATATATGTATGTATGTAATTATATAATTGTATATATATACATATACAGTATATATTTTAATGTGGGAAAACCAATCATAAATCTACACAATTTCGGGATGGTTTGTTATTGGGGTGCCTATATTATATAGAATATTCATGAATATTCTAAATATAGACAAGATATAATATATAATATATACATACCTGTATCTTCCAAAGGGCTTGAATTTCAGCCTTACCTTAAATATCAGCCTGCGGTGGAAACTGAAAACTCAGGCGGAAAGTGATTTTATCCATATTTTGAGGTATTCTGATAAGATCCTGGTGGACGATCCAGGTGAAAAGAAATGCTCTGTGGGTGATGTTCGCTGTTTTTTTATTCTGGTTTTTAATTTTTATATTTTTTTTCGGGCGGAAACACCCACGAAACGGGCGAAAACACCCACGAAACAGGCGAAAACACCCGAAATGAGATTTTCATGTAAAACAGTAAACTTATTTAACACTGTTATCAACAATATATCAACAATATATATAGTGTGAGCGGGCATCTTAACCAAACATCATCAAAATCACTAAAAACACCCCAGGCGAAAAAAATCCATTCGGGCTAAAATTTCAGCCTGAACAGCTTCGGGCTGAAAAAACGGCCTGCGGAAGGCCTAGGTATCTACTGCAAATACTTCAATATAATATATCCCTATCGCGAAGTACTGACGTACTCATACAAGGTTGACCCAGACTGACGACATAGATTGACATAGTTTGGACCAGGAATTCGAGTGGTTTGAGAGGAGGTTTTGATTCTAAAACAAACTTTGCTACACTTACAAACTTTGCCTAGTTATGAACTAACTTGGCTATGTAACCACAGAAGTTAGTAATCACAGGCTATGGGGATCTTCGATTCCACAGAAAAAAATAGGACTTCTAAGGCCCCCAACATGCCAAGTAAGGCAGATCTGTCTGGGGCAGCCTGGAGCAGAGTATCAACCTGGGCCGTATAAAGGGGAGAAACCTATGGCTTTCAAATCGAAAAAAGGAGATTTCACAAACAGAAATGGAGGATTTAACATGATGTAACTGTTTTAAGCAGTTTCCAAGTGAAAATTGCAGCAACAAAAAAGGGTTCAACCATCAAACAGCTGGGTTTCACCATCTAAAACAGAGGTAGATCATGCTAAACATCACCAGATTTTTGACAACAACTGAGACCTCTGCCACTTCCTTCTCACCTCGATCTGCAGCAATATGAAGAGCCTTGGCTGAGAGCTGAAAGCTAGGCTCATCATGAAACAGCCCGGAGTTGATGCTCAGTAGCTGGGAGCGAACATCCTTCATATCCTTGCGGAAGGTCTTTGGGGTTGCTGGCCACCCAAAAAAACGTTTTGGGGTAGCCACAAGTAGAAAAGTCAAATCACTAGTCACTACTTCATTGTCTCTCTCCCAATAGTGATGTTCAAATAGACCCAAACACTTGGAATACTTGGACTTGGACCATCCTATCATCCTTTTCTCCCAGCTTGGCGGGATTTTTTTTGGCAACGATTTAAACCATGGCTACCATATATGAAACTACCAAGTTCCATGGTCCTCCCATAATGTTGCGAAGTTTTCCCTGCTCCGTACATCATCCCAGTTTCATAAGTTTCATCCCAGTTTCGTGTTCTCTGTTCAATCCGGGTGACCCCTCTATGAACCAACCAACAGTAGAAAAACAACAATTAAAGGACCGGATAACCCCACAAGTCAACTTCTTCCAACAAGCAACAAAAGAAAGGCAAAGACGGCATGGGGTAAGCAAGAAAGAGAAAAGAGACGGTGAAGGATTGGTGTGGAGTAAGTTATGTGTGGACGAGTATGTGTGAGTAAGTTGTGTACGGATGAGTTGTGTTTGTGGGTGAGGTGTGTGGGTGTGCGTGTGTGTGTGTGTGCGAGTATGTGTGTGGTGTGCGGCCACGATCAAAGATGCCCCACGCCAGGAAGTGCGGCGAAGGGCAATCGATGCGTGACCATTGATTATGTGTCCGCAAACGTACAGCGCAGACCATCACGAAAACGGATGGCCCACGACTGGCGTTTGGATGATGTGTGTGTGTGTGGTGTGTGTGTGTGTGCGTGGGCGTGTATGTGTGCGTGTGTGTGTGTGTTTGTGTTTGTGTTTGTCTGTGTGTGTGTGTTTATCTGTGTGTGTGTGTGCGTGTGTGTGTGTGTATGTGTGTGTGTGTCTGTGTGTGTGTGAGTGCGGGTGTCGGCGTGGACCATGTACGCGATGAGGTCAGTACCTGGCAGGTAGTATCAGAAGTTGCGGCGCGGCGCCCCGGCGCCAAATCCCGGCCCAAGGGCGCCACCCAGTACCATAAGTGGCACGCCTGCCACGCAAAACGACGGTAGATGTGAGATTGTGCCACGCCTGCCACGTGAAACGAAGGTGGATGTCAGATTGTGCCACGCCTGCCACGCAAAGTGGCGCGGCGCCCCGGCGCCAAATCCCGGCCCAAGGGCGCCACCCAGTACCATCAGTGCCACGCCTGCCACGCAAAACGACGGTAGATGTGAGTTTGTGCCACGCCTGCCACGTGAAACGAAGGTGGATGTCAGGTTGTGCCACGCCTGCCACGCAAAGTGCCGCGGCGTCCCGGCGCCCAATCCCGGCCCAAGGGCGCCACCCAGTACCATAAGTGCCACGCCTGCCACGCAAAACGACGTAGATGTGAGTTTGTGCCACGCCTGCCACGTGAAACGACGTGATGTGAGTTTGTGCCACGCCTGCCACGCAAAGTGCCGCGGCGTCACAGGCGCCCAAGCCCGTCCAAGCGCGCCACCCAATGCCATCTGGCCTGCCACGCAAAACGACGTAGATGTGAGTTTGTGCCACGCCTGCCACGTGAAACTGGATGTCAGTGCCACGCCTGCCACGCAAAGTGACGGGCGCCCAACCCGAAGCGCGCCACCCAGTGCCATCTGATGCCACGCAAAACGACGGTGGATGTGAGTTTGTGCCACGCCTGCCACGTGAAACGAAGGTGGATGTCAGGTTGTGCCACGCCTGCCACGCAAAGTGGCGCGGCGTCACAGGCGCCCAAGCCCGGCCCAAGGGCGCCACCCAGTACCATCTGTGCCATGCCTGCCACGCAAAACGACGGTAGATGTGACTTTGTGCCACGCCTGCCACGTGAAACGACGGTGGATGTCAGGTTGTGCCACGCCTGCCACGCAAAGTGGCGCGGCGTCACAGGCGCCCAAGCCCGGCCCAAGGGCGCCACCCAGTGCCATCTGTGCCATGCCTGCCACGCAAAACGGCGTTTGATGTGAGTTTGTGCCACGCCTGCCACGTGAAACGACGGTGGATGTCAGGTTGTGCCACGCCTGCCACGCAAAGTGGCGCGGCGTCACAGGCGCCCAATCCCGGCCCAAGCGCGCCACACAGTACCATGAGTGCCACGCCGGCCACGCAAAAGGGCGTTTGATGTGAGTTTGTGCCACGCCTGCCACGTGAAACGACGGTGGATGTCAGGTTGTGCCACGCATGCCACGCAAAGTGGCGCGGCGTCACAGGCGCCCAATCCCGGCCCAAGCGCGCCACACAGTACCATGAGTGCCACGCCGGCCACGCAAAACGACGGTGGATGCGAGTTTTGTGCCACGCGTGCCACGTGAAACGAAGGTGGATGTCACCAAGTGCCACGCCTGCCACGCAAAGTGCCGCGGCGCCCCGGGCGACAAATCCGGACCAAGCGCGCCACACAGTACCATGAGTGCCACGCCTGCCACGCAAAACGACGGTGGATGCGAGTTTTGTGCCACGCCTGCCACGTGAAACGAAGGTGGATGTCACCAAGTGCCACGCCTGCCACGGATGTCACCAAGTGTGTTTTTGTGTGTGTGTGTTGTGTGTTGTGTGTGTGTGTGTTGTGTGTGTGTTGTTGTGTGTGTGTGTGAATGTCACCAAGTGTCTTTTGCGTGTGTGTGTTGTTGTGTGTTGTGTCTGTTGGTGTGTGTGTGTGCGTGTGTGTTGTGTGTGTGTTGTGGTGACAAAGTGTATGTTGATAAAGCGTGTGTGGACGTGTGTGTGTGTGTTGTGTGTGTGTGTGTGTTGTTGTGTGTGTGTGTGTGAATGTCACCAAGTGTCTTTTGCGTGTGTGTGTGTTGTTGTGTTGTTGTGTTGTTGTGTGTGTGTTGTTGTGTGTTGTGTCTGTTGGTGTGTGTGTGTGTGCGTGTGTGTTGTGTGTGTGTTGTGGTGACAAAGTGTATGTTGATAAAGCGTGTGTGGACAAAGTGTTTGTGGACAAAGTGTTTGTGGACAAAGTGTGTGGTGACAAAGTGTGTGTGGACAAAGTGTGTGTGGACAAAGTGTTTTGGACAAAGTGTTTGTTGATAAAGTGTGTGTGGACAAAGTGTGGAGGAGGGCGGAGGAGGAGAAGGCGGAGGAGGAGCCCGGGATACAGAATCAAAAACAAGAACCCCACACAAAGATGTGGGGAAAAAGCCAGTGCCATGCTCAAAATCTGTTTATGGCCATCCATTCCTTTATTGGGGAATCCATATACTCTATGTAAAATATCATATTATCGTGTAGACCGGGTATGAAAAAAAAACCTACAGTATGAAAATAGATAGATGGCCATGCCCCCTAGGTATACAACTTGTGATAAATGGGTGCCCTGCCAAAAGCCTGCCACCTGCCAGGGGCCTGGCCGTTTGTCGATCAAAGCGGTTCACAGCACTCAGGAGCAAAATGCCGCGATCCGACAGTTCGTTGGAAGGCCTGAGGCCCAGATGCGACCCAGGTCGATGTTGAGAGAACACACTGTTTCTTTTGTTGAAAAAGCAAATAAAGCGGTTAATGTTAGTAAAGCCATAAGTAGCGATAGTAAACCATCCCCCATTTTAACATAAATTGTTGGTATAGACCATCAAGATATGGGCTGTGTTTGCTTTACCAACATCGCATGGTTTAAAATAGACTTAACAACCAACCAAAAATGTGGTTTACATTGTTTAGACCACCCGAAATGGTGATATGGGGATGGGTCAAAACCCTATCCCCCTGGTGAACATCAAAATAGCTGGTAAATGGATGTTCATCCCCCTAAAAATGGTATGTATAGGTATTGATCCATAGCCATATAATGTGATATATTCAATAGCACGCTATCAATACGCTATCACTCGGTTGGAGTAAGGACACTTCTGCAAGACAACGAGTTTGTCTGAAACCTACGAGTAGTCATATTCCTTACCGAATCCCATGAATATCACCCAACCAGAAGGGGAAAATCAATACACTACCAGCAACAATCATTGATTCAAGTTGGAACCCTCCAATGTCATCCAGGTATTCGGGAACTCTTGGTGCACCAGCAACTCTCTGGTAATCACACATGGCATGCTGAAAATTCACCATTTATAGATTTTATGCCACAAGGCGAGGCGGACATTGGACATGCTCCAAGTTGCAAAAACTCTATAGATGGATTTGTTGATTATGCCAAATCATCTATGGGATTGTCATGGGATCTGACATTTACAGATGATTTTCCATCTGAAATCACAGAAATCACAGGAATTTCTGAGCCATGGCTCCCGGACCCTGCGTGGCTTAGAAGAGTATGACACGTCACCGTATGACCTTAGACCAAGGGACCAACCGTCGCTCGAAGGCTTACCCTGGGCTAAGTCTTTGTCCTCCAATAAACCAACAAAAACTGATCGACATCTATGGACTTCAAGTTCGGAATAATCTAAGTTCATCTTGGATTTTCCATAGTAAAAAAACATATACATACATGTGGAGGGCAAGATTGGCATAGTAATGACCAAACAAGATTTTCCACCAATATAGACATCCGACATCCATGGATTGTACCATATGATCTATCTCTGTTTACTGGAGGGTAGATATTGATATCCTGCAACACGTTGACACGTTCTCTCACTTAGTTGATATACATGACCATCCATAGCCAGATATTGAAGTATTGAAGTACTAAACTATCCATTCAGTTGGCTTCCCCAGCTTAACTCCACTTGCTTAGTCCCAAATTGTATTTACAACCAACCTTTTCGCCCCCCAATCTGGGATATGTTTGATGGGTGTTGAAATACACTGTGCACATATACATGCATATAGCATACTGTATACATACCATTACATACCTACATATATCGATTATATACATATACATACACTCCATAAATCATATGTGAAATCCCCTCTCTTCACCTGGAAGGATGTCAACGCAAAGCTCTTCTGCCGAGGGACCGCCCGCGGCGGCAAAGTGCAAGGCGCTGTTGCCGGCGCTATCGGCTTCGACACAAATGACCTGAAGTACAAATCGGTTCTGTCAATCTGATGGAGGGTTTTTCCCAAACAAATAGTTGATCATCAACTAGAACTGAATAGTTGATATAGTTGGAGGGCGAACTAATCATTCTATTTGATGGAGGGTAAACCAACTATCTGGGTAAATTATAATAATTCACTAACCTGAATTAAGCCCATTTGGGGATGATTTCCCTTACTAACCATGATTCCCAGTGAGGTCGTAGTGAGGTCGTTATACAGTAATTTACCCAGCTTATGGATGATTACATATGATTTACCAACTCTTCAGATCCATTGGGCATAAATGGTTGGTGAATCCCTAATTGAGCAGTGTGTCTAAGACGCGAACTGTCGTCCTTTCATACTGGTTGTGGTTAATAGGGATTCCCCCTTCGTAATATTCCACATTATATTTAATATACCCTCTGGTAAACTAACATAGCTATGGAAAATCACTATTTTTTAATGGGTAAATCCACTATAAATGGCAATTTCCAATAGCTATGTTAGTTTACCAGAGGGTAATCCCTGAACTAATCATCAACCAACAGGGGTTTTGAACACTGCTCATGTGGATTTATCCAATACCCATCAGATTTCACCAGCAAGAATAGGGACTGATAGCCTGGTAGCTGGTAATGGGGTTAACTTGGCCATCTGGGGTTAATGTTTGATATATTTACAGTAAAGTATTATGTGTGAAGCAAAAAACATCACTCCATTTCGGGGCTGTGCACTTGGTAGATCCAACTGAGACTTGGATTGGAAAAATCGGACTGATCAGCTCAGAAGGATAATATATTCAAAAAATACCAAATGTAATTGAGTATTAACCACCAACAATATTTGGAAAGCTAGTCATTAGCTAATCATTTGGCAAAATCAACAAACATTGTACTGTAATAGACACATCTCGGTTTAATGCAACCAATCACGGAGTCATAACAATTAAACATGGTGTGTCAATGTGTATCAACAGCAACAACTGGGATGTAAACGAGAAAACTAAGGACATAAGACTAGATAGAATGAACATGAATGAACCAAAAACATGGAGGGAAATGGTGTGAAAGGGTCAGTGTGGGGGTTGGGTGAAAAAAATAGTGTGTGCTGTATATATATATATACACACACTTCGCAGGTGATGCTCAGTATGCAATCATGGTGGTTTTTAGGCGCCAAACACGCTTGTCTGTGGGTTTAAACGTCAGTTTTGCGGGCAACCATACATGTTTCATGGTTTAGGTGTGATATTCATAACACAACAACTAAAACACACAAACCAATGAACATAATAAACAATATAGTCTTAACATGTCTTAACATGTCTTAACAATATAGTCTTGACAAACATAGACATGTTGCTATGTTTGTTCCGTGAGAACCAGGAGGTTGTGTGTTCGGAAGTGCTTGCTGTAGCAACACGCTCTGCCATGGCCCAACTACCGTTCCCTTTCAGGCGACCCCGCGGCAGGCTTTGGTGCAAACTCCAAGAAGCATTTCACCACTTCCTTTGCAGCTGGACGCTGGGGCACATTGGAGCCTTTGGTTGGACGCAGTTATGGCGAAGGGGTACCATTCTTCGAACCCTACAGCTTTGTCATGTGTGTTTGCATTTCAATGCATAGACAAGCTCTCACGGAGGATCAATAATCTTGAGATTCCGAAAATATGATCAGCACCCCAACGTCCGGAAATCTATACGCAAATCAGGGTTGCTCCGACAGTGTTAACTGCAAGCCACTTTTTGGGGTAAAGTCATTTGACCTTTTTGTTTGCCCAAACTAACCACTAAAGCATCTGGGGTGGCCAGGGAGTAACCCTGAGAATTTGGGTGGGTTGTTCCAGATAGCCCAAAAATGAACCCCATCATTAGCCCGTTAAAATCCCAGTTTCCAGGTTGAAAGTCATGGGTTTCCCATCATTATCAGGATTACTCCAAGCCATGATAGGAAATCTATAGAAACTTCGATTTGGATGTGCCCAAGGACCCCCGAAAAAAAAAGGAAAGAAGAGACTCCCCAAGTGGTGGATTTTCCACTGGGAAAATAGAACATTATCTTCAGCAATTCCAAGTTACAGCCACTTCCACAAACCCAACATTTACCCTCTGGTTATTTAACGTAGCTATGGAAAATGAGTGAGAAAACGACCATCTTTAATTGGTAAATCATCATAAATCATCTATAAATGCCCCAAATTTTCCATGGCTATGTGAAATAATGAAGGTATCTCCATTATATCCCATGATGAATTCCATGGAAAATCACCATTTTCCATGAAATTCTATGGAAATTCCATGGAAAATCACCATTTTCCATAGCAAATTCCATGGAAAATCACCATTTTCCATAGCAAATCGTTAAGTCACCGGGTATTTCAACCAGGTGTTCCCTGCCCGGACCGCCGAGAAACCACGTGACCCTGCTTCGCCGCCCAGTGGAGGGGCCTGGCGAATGGGGGGGGTGATATGATTGAATCACCACATATACATACATATTATGGTCTACATAATATATATATATATATATCATGTATAGATACATATATATATAATGTATAGATATGTCTATATATATATATCATGTATAGATATGTCTATAATATGTGTATATATAATGTGATGGTTTAGTGGATTGGTTGAAGGAAAAATCTAGAGGAAACCCATGGGTTTTAGGTACGGTCACTGCAAAAGTCAGATCCAAAACTGGGATCGAAGGGAAAACATTGCGAGACAAACATGGCTATGATGACAAAACCCTGTGCCAAAATGGGGATGAAACTGATGAAACAAACGAAAGATTCAAGGCACAGCAGGGGCAAGTAGCCTGAAAATAGAAGATGGAACTCCGACAAATTGTATATATATATAACTATATGAGATATATATATATATAATCAGAGAGAAAACCAGCTTCCGCACATCGGTTTGGAGGTTCTGTGTTGCTTTCCGATCAATATACAACCACGATTTATCTCTCGGTATGGTCAAGATTTGGGCACCGCAGAAAAGTAGAGAGAGGAAACAGAGCTGGCCAATGGGAGACCTCCCCCATGCAAAGCAGTTTACATCACGTTGGATTGGCTGAAACTGAAATTCACCCTCTTCCAAGGTGGATTACTTCAGGATGAGAAAGAAAGCAAAGTTGAATGATTGAAATTGTAGCTTCATAGAGAATTGCTATTTGGTATCATCTTGATATCTTGAATGATTGAATTTCATTGAAAATAACCAAGATATCAAAGCACCTTGATGCACCCAAGGGACCTTCGATTCTGAAGGATAGGACGCCCCCCGCCTCAATGCAGAGCTGCTCTTCTGTGGCATCTGCAACCTCGGTGACACATCTCTGACATGGCCCCGTGGTCAGTGCTCACATCATATGTGTACATACACATATATATATATACATATATATATATATATATATGATGATCCATATGTATTTAAACATACGGACATTACATATCTAATACATCTAATACAGCTATTTCTAATGATGGCCCATGCTTGCTGTAGCGTAACATCTAATCAGCACCTCCTTTGAGGTTCAACGTCTACCCTCCAGGAATCAAGGCGTTCGCGGTCGTTCGCCGGGAAATCATCTGTAAATGGGGTTGATAGCTTGGGAAAATCACCTGTAAATGGATGTTTATAGATTGGAAAATCATCTAAAATTACAATGGTAGATTTTCCCATTGCCATGATGACACCAAAGGGGCAGGCTCTGAATAGATTCAGGAGCAATCATCTAGAAATGGTATTTCCCATTGCCAAATCACATACTTATCATTATTTATCACAAACAAAATCATAAATGCTATTCACAGTAAAAACAAAAAACAATCCATGTCTCATTTCTGCCAATTCCTTGTTCGTTTATGCTATCTACCCTCTGGTAAACTTTTACATAACTATGGAAATCACCATTTTTCATGGGTAAATCCAATCAACTATTTCTATGGCCATGTTCAATAGCAAACTGTTAGCCATTACCAGAGGGTTTTTATGGATATGACTATGATCTGACTATGGATAAATATACCCTCTGGTAAACTAACATAGCTATTGAAAATGGCCATTTATAGTGAGTTTTCCCATGAAACATGGTGATTTTCCATAGTTACGTTAGTTTACCAGAGGGTATGTCAATATCATCCCCCCGAGATCGACTGAAAAGATCTGAGGCTCGCTGACAGCGAAAATCCGTCCGGCGCCCGTTGCAGCAACGCTCGTGCCGTGGCCTGGCGCGACGCATTTCGATCCCAGGGATCCGGATCCGGTGGGGCCCCGGTAAGAGAAAAAAGGTATGGAAAAACACCAAAATCATGGGGTTTTAATATGTTTTAATCAACTATTTCAACCATCAAATGGCTTTAAATGTTTTTTTTTAATCAACTTGTTCGACTGGGTCATTTGATTTTCCATGTCGCAAACTGAACTAGTTTATAGGTTCATAACTCGAATTTCAGTATGATTTATGGTACAAACATACTAACTTATAACTAGAGTTTTCATGGGGGTTATAAAGCAACAAACATAATTGTAAGTGATTAGGAAATGGGCTTATACGCCAATTATAAATGATATAACCATGAGCCTTCAAATTTGAGCCTTCAATTTTGAGCCTTCAAGTTTGTTGGTTCAGCACCATTCTTGTGGGTTTCAAATTTCAAACCGTCCGTCCCTGGTTAAATGCCAATCCAGGATTAATAAAGCCTGACTCTGACTTTTTTTTTACAGGGGCCGAAATGTCAAAGTAAATTTCAAAGAGATATATATATATATATCATTAATGAACATTAGGTAACCCTCTATATAATATATATAAGTATCATAATATAACATATACATATATATATATATATGTATATCAAAATAAACTCTGCGGGCTTAGAAAGCTCCTGGGTTAGCCTTCCCAGCAGTTCAGTACCAGTCCTCATGACCATCACGCGCAGCGCAATGCAACGGCGCCATGCCGTCGGAATTCACTGCCAAACCTGGGGGATTGACACAAGAAATCGATTAGGGTTTCAACCCCTGGAACAGAACACATATGTGCCATGGTCAAAAGATGGTATGCGGATGTATGTGGTTTATGGATGTTTATAGATGTTTGTGATCATCCAATATTGGCAATCCTCACAATGGGTATATCAATCCCTATGACACTCCCCCCGATATTGGTATCTCGTCCAACTCTTGACCATGACACAAAACACATAGTACGGGAGGTTTGTGTCTAAAAGTGTCGCAGATGTTCAATGTGGAAGTTTAAGTGTTCGAGACCTTTCGATATTTCACCCCGTTTGAAATGTGGAGACAAATGATCACTCAATGATCAACAAGCCTTGAATCACAAGGGCAGTGGCTCAAACCTGGGGTTGGGGGACCTGCACAGTAAGTGGCTGCTGCTTTCAACCGTCAGTTGGGGTCATCATCTCATGTCTAGGGTTGAACAATGAAACCAAGTTGAAATGACCAAGCAGCTAAGCTCTTCATTTTGGAAAGAAACGAATGTTAAGTCACAGCAATATGGAACGGACCCAAATTATGGCCCTATGGCCCACTAGTGATTGGAAAATCAGTTGTTCATGGTACTACGGTCTGAATCTGTATATGGAGGTTTCCCAAAATGGGGGTTTCCCAAAATGGACGGTTTACAATGGAACATCCTATTAAAATGGATGACTTGCGGGAAAACCATTTTAGGAACCCCCCATATGTTCTTTTGCTTTGAAGCTTGGAGCTTCTCAAAGATGAGACATGATTTCGGCACCTAAAACACCAGGGTGCCCTGCACAACTGCATGGGTTCCGGTGCAAGCGCCACCAGTGTCTCCACCACATCCTGTCGCGTGGGGGAAAAGGGCACACTCTGTGGCATGACCATGATATTCTATGTCCGGGAGTGTCTGGAAATATGGATACCCATGAAAGTGTACCCTCTGGTAAACTAACATAACTATGGAACATCACCATTTTTAATGGGAAAATCCACTATAAATGGTCATTTTCAATAGCTATGTTAAATTACCAGAGGGTAGTTTTCATGGGGACCCTGATGTTTTTGTTGCATCAAATTGTGGGGTACCCCATTTTTGGACAAACTCAGTTTGATGATGTCAACACCGAAATACCTGAACAAAGGTATTGCAAGAGATAAGAGCTGATTTGCCACCTTTTCGACGAAGCCCGACTCTCTGGGAGGGGGTGAGCTTTGAAACACCATCTTAAGTTACTTGCGACATCTTTTCACATAGATTTTACTCCTATAATTGGGGATTTTATGTTCGGGGGATTGTATGTTTTGGGGATACTTCCAATTTGGATCAATTTGGACAGACCATTTTCAAGGAGACGACTTGGGCTTGTGCTTGAAGGTAACACACACACACACGGACGCACACACACGCACGCACAATCACTTTGGATACAGTCGAAATCATGTCCTAGATATGTCTTACCCAAGTGTCAAAAACAAAATTATCATTCCCAGATGCAATAAATGCTGCTGGTATAGTTACCTAATTAGTTACCTAACTGGGTGATTTATGTTGGGCACATCTTGGGATACCCAAATCGCCTTGTGCCCGTGAATGGCGGCCAAGTGAAGTCCTGTTGGATGGTTACCTCAGCACCGATGGTTTTCAGATCGATGTGAACTCTCCAATCCTCAGAAAACCTATATTTAAACCTGATGAAACCTCATGAAACCTGATATTAAACCTGTTTTTTTTTCCCAAAAGCATCTCCGATGCTTGGGTTCTCGTTTAGTTGCACTCGCCGCGGGGGAGCGAGACTGAGTGGTCGACGGAGATGTGTTGGATGGAAGGAAGGAAGGAAGGAAAAGGAAGGAAGGAAAAGGAAGGAAGGAAAAGGAAGGAAGGAAAAGGAATGAAGGAAAAGGAAGGAAGGAAAAGGAAGGAAGGAAAAGGAAGGAAGGAAAAGGAAGGA